CTCTCATTCTGCCGCTCATCCAATAAGCAGCAACATCCAAACCTCACATTAGGCAATTGAATACCCCAATTCAATATCAGCACGCTCCAACCAGACCAATTGCTTTCCATTTACCTACCCCAGACCCATAGTCACCCGGAGAACAACAGACACCAGAGGAGCAACAACAAACATGCCCACCCCGGAATCCGCCGCCTTCCTCGCCAAAAAGCCCACCGTAGCCCCCAGCTACGACGGCGTCGACTTCGAGGACACCGCCGCGCTACACAATGTGCGTGACGCCATCATCCGCGAGCAATGGGTGCGCAGCATGATGGCGCGGCTGGTCGGTGAGGAGCTGGGGAAATGCTACAGACGGGAAGGGGTGAATCATTTCGAGAAGTGTGGGGTGTTAAGAGGTGGGTGGTTTCTCTCCTATGTGTTTCCGTGCTTTATATATAATTTTATTTTTATGTTTGATTTCCCTTGGGGGGATTATATTGTGTGTTTGGTGCTAATTTCTAAACCGTGCGGTGCGGTATGGTGCGGTGGTAGATCGGTATTTCGAACTGTTGAAGGAAGCGAAGATCAAGGGATATTTGTTCCAGGAGAAGAATTACGTTTCGAAACCGGCGTCGTCGTGAGAGTGTGTTTGGGTGTGGGGGATGTAAAGTTGCTGCCGGCGGAGTCGAGGCCGGAGAGTGAGAGCGGTAATATGAGCTGCGGGGAGCAACGATGTGTGCGACGGCGGTGTGGTGGAAGCTTGAGCGTTGGCCAAATGGACGGAAGCCGGATTCTATCAGACGACGGATGATTACCTGCCTTGCACGCGAATTGGAAATGACAAGCGGTGGTGGGATCGGATTACATGGGATACAGGCACTGTCCTGGCCTCATTTGTTTCGTTGGACCAGGAGCACCTCGGTCTTGAGCGGAGGTATCACTTCGTGCCCCAATGGCGCCCTGCGCTCGAAACTCCTCTCACCTGGGTATCGGTCCTCAATTGCGACTTTTCGACCTTCTTCTAGCCGGGTCTTATACAAAATTTCGTTGCGCGCAGTTAGTTACCTCTGGTGGCGTTGCTTTCCCAGCAGCCCTAGATTATCTTTGCTCTCCCCTGTCGATGCCAGTTCGGATGAGCAGAGATATGTGCTGATAAACATGAAAAAGAAAATATCTGTGTACTGTATATATAATAGATTTAAAAGGGAAAAAAACGTTAAAACTTATATAGAAGTCATTATTATCATGTCATCTTCAATTGAGTCATAAACATTCCTCTCCGCTTGGAAAAGATATAGGGACTACATATAAGTGAGTCCATCAGCCAAATGGCTTACAGCAAACCCCGACAGAGTATATACTAGAAATATCCCCTCTCAGACACTTCCCTGTCATCAACTTCTTCATCGCTGCTACACGCCACATCGAAGGACTCATTGGTTTCTGGTGGCGCACGCATGCCTACTAGTTGTTCCGCATCGAGTTGCGGCGGGCTATATGCTGCAGGAGTGGAGTGGATGTCTCTACCTGAGGGTAGGTTTGCTAGGTACGATGATGACGAGGGGATGAGCTGGGTATTTATCTGTATCCGGCCGGTTAGCAGTTCGCAACAAATTTCTCTCTCCCCCAGGTGCTAGTATAGACATACCGTATCATTTATCTTCACCCACTTCGCCTCAAGCATATCCAGCACCCTCCCTTCCTCCTCCCTTCCAGCATCGTCCCCCCAGTCCATTTCCGCCTCGCGCTTCAGCTCCTCCCCCCTCGACGACGACGCCGCTTCCTTCTCAATTTTCCTCTCCTCCCTCCGCTCCGACCACCCCCTCTTCAATTTCGAGAATCTCGCACCAAACCCCCCCTTCCCCGTCCCTATCGCATCCCCTTCCAACGTCCCCCGAAACCCCAATACTCCCCTCCCAGCCCTCAGCCAGGCAATGCCCTCTCCCGTCTTCCCAGCCATCTCCGCATCGATGCCAAAAAACCTACAAGCCTTCGCACGACACACCCGCGCCAAACTGCGCATGTAATTGAGCAAATCCTCGTCAACCTTGGAGTCGTTCCCTTGGCCACCGACAGCACCGGCGCTCGAGAGAGCCTGCTCCGCATACTCGGCTGCGCGCACGCACAGGCGTGCAAAAAGCAACGTACGCACTTTCGGGATATCGGGCGGTTTGACCATCCATTCCGTGTCGAGAGAGTTTCGCGCCTGGATACAGGCAAAGAGGTAGGCGTCGTCCTTGATGACGGCAAGCAGCGTGGCTTCCGCGAGGGCTAGGGTTGCGAGGGCTGATTGTGTGGACGGGTCGAGGTCTGGAATGGGAATTGACGAGGTGTCTGGTCCGGCTGGCGAACTAGGTGTGGATGTAGATGTAGCTGTAGTTGAATGTTTATGGAACTTGGAAGTCTGCGGGGGAAGAGTTGTAGCCGCGCACAGGCCCGAGAGCGAAGACGAGGAAGCCAGAAACGTATGTACACTGCTGGCCTGCAGTATATATTTGGTCGCCGTTTGCACAGCCGCCGTCTTCATTTCTGGCGTAGGCGTTTTGTTCGCATAGAGCGTTTTCAAATATCTAGCCCGCCCAAGGTTGGCCAGGACATACCCCAGCGTCGCTAGCACGAAGGCAATTTCAAAGTCCAGTCCGCGGCCACGGACGCGAGAAGATCGACCCAGTCCCACTTCACCGCGTCGCAGACGGAGCAGCGAAGAATCTGACGAGAGCGTGGTGCGCCATTCGACCTCGATCTCAGAACGGAGGTGGATCTCGATATGCTCTGTGCCGTGTGGGGTAGGGTCGGAGCTGAGGCTGTGCGAGAGGGCGAAGAGGAAGGGGATGTAGTCATTTAGAGCGGTGAGGATAAGCTGTAGGTGGTCTGATTGCTGAGCAGGGGAAAGGCGCTTGTGCTTCTTGAGGGCGAGGCGGAGGGCATGGCGGGCCGTGGAAGCGGACTGGGGGAGGGAGGGGTGGGTGGGGGAGGAGAGATAGGACTGAAAGGATAGGTGGGAGGTGGTGGGGAGGGTAAACGAGAACACCATGGCTATTGGTGTTAGGTGAGCGATGGTATTGGTTTATTAAAAACGAGCTGTAGAGTTATTCTGCTCATGGGTGTGGTGTGGTTATTATGTAGATGAAAGGGGGTTGGTTCAGATTGGAGATGTTTATCTACTCACTCCCCACAACGAAATCATACTTCTATGTCCTAATGCAAGAGCCACAAAATAGTACTGGAAAGAGCCACGTATAAATATCAACGATTGATTTCCTGAGACATACAGACGGGAGAGATCCCGTATATTTATATACAACTATGTCTCGCTGTTTCAATGCTGGTAGTTGAATGGTCCCTTCTCCTCAACAAGTCCATTTCGCCATCTCTGGTATCCTTCCCTGTAGCAGCATGTCGCTAACTGTTGGGGAATATGGCTCTGTATAGAGTTCCCTACGACTTCATTGGTTCCGTTCCACCAACTTATCGCCACACAACCCTCTCTCCGTTTGCTATTGGATATGTAGAACATCGCTGAAGGGCTCCAGGTAATTTAGAAGCCGTCATGTTTCCTATCTCGATAATTTGTCGCGTGAGAAGAATTTTGTAATCGATTGTTCTGTCGCAGTTCCTCCGCCCCCCACTATTTCGTTCAAGCAGCTCGAATCTTGATGGAGATTCCAATATATCCAATAACCATGTTCCGTCCGAGTTGGCATGAGACTTTGCCTCATTCACGTTGACTGAGTGTCGTTTTGGGGCTTGTGAGTTACTGCTTGAAACAGTCCGCCTTGTCTAGGATAGCGCCACGATGGCAGGAGGTTCGTTCATACGAGTACTCAAGATGCTGCGTAGGTAAATATGGATAATATGTATTAAGATCTTCCCGATCGATATATAGGAGACGTTCATATTTCCATCTCCACCACATCGGACAGACTGCTAGGGACACTGCTCATGACGGACGAAGCAGCTTCGGTGCTCGCTTCTCTCGATCGGATCTGCATCCCCCAAGCTTTTATACTTTGGGCTCCGCCCTCTATCACAATGGGATGCACCTCTCCGCTTTTTCCGAGGACAGTACCTTGATACCGCGATTCCTCGCCGGTTTTGCTATGCTTTTTCTTCAGCGCTATGATGGCCACATGTGTCAGCTTGAAAATCAGCTCGAAAAATGCAAACAGAAAGGGGTCATATGCTCTTGTTTCAAAACATAAACACTTTTCACTAGACGTACCCGTGAGGTAATCCTCCTTCTCGAGCGTGTCTTCATCCACTACATCCCCTTCACTGGGAATGAACCCAGCTACCCGTCTAATTTCCTTATTGACTGGTCCCGAAAACCAGGCCATAAACGCCTCGAGTCCGCGCATATCCTCTTCACCCCTTAGCACCTCCTCCGAGAGAGACATCTGGGGTTTCAGGGCACCTGCATCCCGCAGCGCCATAATGACGTCGTGGAGGTTTGGGATAGGGATCTCATCGTGGCTATTGTTGGCATGGTCGCTGGTGAAGGAGGCAAGGAGGATCAGATAGCGAGCGGTCAGGTCGGTGAGTGTGTCAACGACCGCGGGACTGGCCGAATGGAAGCCTGCAGCACGAAGAATTTGGATAACTGGGGGACGTAGTAAGGTGTGGTAAAGATTGGGCGCCGACATCTTCTGCCATAGAATACCTAAGTATCTGCTGCGACTCCACAGATTTGGAAGCAGACAGAGCTGGGGATGCGGAGTGTCTGGAGGTCAAAGCTGGGACTTGACATCGAATGCAGAGTCGCACATTCACATTCGCATTCACTTTGGCATTCGCATTCACGTTCACCTCAAGCTCCTAGTATATCACTCTCCCCAGAAATAGCGACAACAGCACCGCATCTACTATTGAACAAATGATTGTTGACTGTTGATTGTTAGCTATCGGTATGGCCGGGCCTGGATGACTCAGCAAGGGTAACTATCCGCTAAGCTCAATTAGGCAAGAGAGCGCAACCTCAGCTCCAGCTCCAAGCGGGATAGATAGCTAACTGCAGTTTTAACAACCCATCGACAGCAATATAGGACAACGTTCCATAGTCTCCCTCTTTTGCTGCTCTCAGGCAGATTTCCATTTATTGTTATATACTCAATAAGTTCCTCTACGGCAAACTTCACTCTATACTACGATTATAAATTATTAAGCCCCTTTGCGATGCGCAGGAGGGCTTAGGGTCCATCGCCATGTCTTCCCGACCGATGCTCAAACTGACCTTCAGCAAATCAAAGGTTGATCAGGTTACCAAATCCGCTTCTTCTCCTCCTCCTCCTTCTACTCCAACTACACCTGGAGGATCCTCACTCCCCAAACTCAAATTCAAAATTGGTCCAAAACCAAGCGCTGAATCCGGCCCCGCGGCCTCTGCTTCCAAATCCTCCAAGAAACCCAAGGCCTCCCGCTCCAAGGCCTCTCAGGATACTCCACGAACAAGTGCATCGAAGAAACGAGCAAGGGAAACCTCTGGCCATGATGCGGGTATTCGCACGGCAGCTAGAGGGTCGGGGACTAAGGCTTCCACTTCATCTAAACCCCCAGCTGTAAAGCGCATCAAACTCAGCACTAGACCACCGCCGTCCATTCGTTTGAAAAGCAAGGGAGAACCGCTTTTCCGACCAAAGGGTGTGGGATATGACTCTGAGGCATCGGACACAGAAAAGGACCCCGCGTTGGAAGAGCAGTTCATCCTCCGCATGCAGCCAGGTGAGGATTGCGATTACCTCCGCCAAGCCGTGACGGAGAAAAGGTTTGGACCTCGAAGCCAAGGTGGAGCCGATATTAGCTTCAAGTCGTTGACAAGGGATGGAAGGCGCTCTGTTCTCACCATTCGCGGACGCATATATGCGGCATCCCTCGTCGATCTACCATGTATCATTGAGGGCATGAAGAGCTGGGACAGGCGGGGCTGGTATAAATCCGCAGACATCTGCCAGATGCTTCTTGTCCTTGGCCGCGTGAACTCAGAGGAAGAAGCACGTACCTATCCACTACCCAAGGACGTCGACGAATCCACCTTTCAATACGCGCATGGCATCACCCCGCCGCTCCGTTGGGTGCGCAAGAGACGGTTCCGCAAACGGATTAGCAATAGAACCATTGAGGCAGTCGAGCTGGAGGTTGCGCGCTTACTAAAGGAGGATAAGGCAGCGGAGAGCCCGCCTGAGTTCGAGATACTGGATTACGCGCAGTATATGCGGGAAACTAGTGCCATGAGCGAAGATGGCGCGAGGTATAACCTGGCAGGGCAGGAGTATGATGACGAACAGGATGCTGAAGGGGAAGAGGACGAGTACGGCATGGATGGCTACCCCCCACCCTCAGCGCAGGAAGAAGGTGGCGATGACTTCGAAGATGAGCTTGCTGCTGAGATGGAGGCAGCACTTGCAGCTCATGCCGATGCCCCTGGCCTCGCCTCTGGAACTGCTGGAGAAACGCCTATGCCCATGACGGCTCAGGCAGCAGTGCCGATAACAAAAATAGAACCCGGGGCCGAGATGGAAGGCGAAGTTGACGGGTACCCTGAACCCGGCACGCCCAACACCAAACTCCAAACACCAGGCGAGACGTCTGGTGACGAGGACGAAGACGATGAAAGTGAGGAAGGTTCCTCAGGCGACGAAGCAGATCTAGACGAAGACGCGCTAGAGCAGCAGCGACAGCTAGAGCAACAGCGGGAGGAGATTGCAGAGCTTGAGGCTTTGGTACAAACCGAGACGCTCAAATGGGAGAGCATGGCCAATCCGATATTGAAATCGAAGCTTGGCAAGCGGGTACAGAATCTTAAGCAAGCGCTGGAGTTGAAGAAGGTTTCGTTTGGAGAAGGGGGTGAGGATGGGTAGATCCCAAATATCGTCGGGCAAATTGCGCTGGTTAGTTTGTTACCTTGTTACGGATTATTGGCGTTTATAGTACCTATACTCATAATGAGGATATGGGGCGTTTGTTAGTGGGAATGGCATTTTTATGGAGTTCTGTCTCGTTTTATTCTTGCTCTTGTCTTTATTTATCTGAAGGGATGGAGTTTCAGGGTCACCCGTTTGGTAACTACTCACTCCCCGGAGTGAGAAGCGATTTATTTTTTATGCAGATATCATTGGCTACGGTTGAGAATAACTTATCCTTGGAATCCAGAGAGGGATATGATCGTGAGCAGTCTATCCTAGTAACGTCAAATTCCTATATCTACTATGTGCGCCGTATGGGGGCCCCCGTTTCATCGTTAGGTTGGCGTACTATACAACCGCCCAGCCTTCCACAGGAAGTAAAATTGCATGCAAACAGTGTTTTTCGCCGCCAGCCCTTTGCAAGAAGGAATCAAGCTCAATATATAGCAGCTCTGTTTATGGGCTGGCTGTTGGGATAAAATTGAACATAGCCTGATGGAAATCCAGCACAATATAGGGGAGGAAATGGGTTTGACTCTGATAGAGCTCCTCAGTTTCTTTATCCTACTCCAATCACTATGAGCATGGTCTCCTGTATTCACTTGAATTGAAGGGTTAAGTCTTGACACTTCTGTAAAATTCTGAAAAACATATAGTATGTGTTAAGCTGTCTCATTGTCCAGCCCCCCCCTTTTTTTTGTTGAAGCAATTCACAGTGTTTGTCTGTCAACATGCAACAAGAACATGTTCTGTCTCATTTTACCTTCACACTCAAGATACAAATTCTTTCATCTCTTTGCTGCTTTAGTTCTTGGTAAACAGGCATTTATCTCAATTGTCATCAGTTCAGTACACTCACGGGAAACAGCAAAGCATCATCATCAGCAAACCGAACTCACAGAGACAAGAGGAAGAGTGGAAAAAGTGGTATCATGGCCATGGCAATAGCTGCAGCTCATAAGAAGGCTAATATCCGCGTCTCTAGCTTCTTGACAGTCCCACAGGAGGGGATTGAGTAAGTACTCATGCCAATTGTCTACTTGTACCCTTTTGAACCAATCCCTAGTTATTTGAGAAAACGAGAAAGACAATCAGTACTATTTGCATTTAAACGTCCCTCTTCATTCTATCACTCGTCCCATTGCCTGGAGCTTCCGCTCTCTAGCTCAGTCGAGCGGTTGAATGGCATATGCTCTGCTTCGCAGCCCCTTTGCTTCATCTTACTATAAGTTCGCATCAAAGGAGAAGAAAAAGGACGAGAAGAAACCAATGTCACTAATGGTTCCATTGTTGGTAAACAGTATGGGCGCCTTTGCAAGGATGCCTCCGCCTGTCCCAGTGGAGGAGATGAGGATGCCCCTGACAATCCGCCAGCGTCGGTGAGTCCTGCTGGTTCCTTATTGATAGTCTCAACCCTCTTTTGTGGTGAAATACAACCCTTCTCTACGACTAGAGGGCTCAGGGGAAGTGGAGGAGACAAGGGAGGCGAATGGAAGCGGTGATGTAATCTGCCGATGCCTCTGAATAAGAAAATGGCTATGAGACGCAGACTATGCATACGTGGAGAAGAACTAATGGGGTCAAAAGGAAGAAGAGTGAGATGCTGACTATGAGGGATCTCACAGTCGCTTTCCCAACAATTTGGCAATTGTCCTTCCAGACAAATATGGCCAATCATTGCCTCAGCTTAGGAGTCAAAGTCACGACCGGCAGGTCGAGCAGAACCACCAGAACCAGCAAACCCAACAAGACCATCGGGGCGAGCAAGACAAACAGGCCGAGGAGGATCATCGGGCAGAAAAAAGCGCGGAGGCTATGGCTGCAGAATGGATGAGCTGGCTCAAAATGATGGTCCCGGACACGAATATCCAGTGGTTCGTGACGGAGAACAGGGACGTGATTTACAGGTTCTATGTGAATTATCAGGTGAGTAGGAAATCGAAAGAAAGAGAAAGAAAAGAAAAAGAAAAAGAAAAATTGAAAGCACAAGACCCAACTTGCCCCTTTTAGATGCCAGATTGTCTTTTGCTTCTCAATCTTTCTATTTCTTCATACTACTTGTATGTTGGGGAGGAGGGGGGAGGGGGGTGAGGGAGAAATGCTAGGTCAAAAAGACAAGCACAATCAAAACGAAAAGTGAAAATAGAAAATAAAATAAAAGCTGATGGGTCTAAATAACAGATCACACAAAGTCTCTGGGACGAGTTCTCAAGAGGAGATCTGATGTATCGCGGATGGAAGACAGAGGCGCCATCTTCATCTCTCACCAAGTTACCCATCGAAATAATTACGATGGTCTTCAACGAGCTTGATGTGCCCGACCAAGTGTGTCTAGGCCTAACAAACAAAACCGCAGCCAATATCACCCGTCACCTGAACGGTGGGTACGGTGTGCTATACGACAGCTCCATGCGGCTGCAGATCCTCTTCCGGCTGGAGTCGTGGATGACATACGAGCGACGGCTGTGCATGGCCTGCGGCAAATATTTCCCTCTGGACCCGCTCTTCTGGAAAGAGAGGAAACGCCAGGGACGGTGCAGAACGCGCAGCATGGTTTATGGGCGTGTGGATGCGGATTTTGAGTTTCAGGATGAGACGTGCCCGGAATGCACGGCGGCGATTTTGTGGGGCAATATTGCGATGACACATATTGGGATGCAGATGGCTATTCGTTGAAGGGAAGTTGTGTCAACGGGGGGGAAACCGACGGAGCACTTGCAAACGTACAATGACGGGGTATCTAGAGGGGAGCGTATTTTCTCTGTGTTTGGTAGATAAGGGGATGGTTGATTGTGGTACTGTTACGTAGTCGCGGTCCCTTATGCCTGCATATTGGAATATCGGTCGTTTCTCCGCTTTTCAATATTGCCGTGAAAACATCGCAGAGGGGGGTTCTGAATGTATAGTCTCGTTGTTTCGAGTTGATGAGGGCGTAAACGAAGGACCCCTCCGATAGTCGTAATAAAATGTATGTCCTGTATGTACAACAAGTATACGCGATATCTTCCCATGTGCATTATATATTTGATACCTTCCTCACTTCTTCGCTCTATTCGTACTCCGCGTTTTCATAGGTGCCTCTAGATTGTCCGTAAACGGTCGATACGGCGCCGCGATGAAATGTTCTGGCGCTCTCTGCAGCGACGAGACATCATCCCTCTGAGGCTCCCCGGACGATGGACGCCGTCTCTGCTCTTCATGAAGCTTATCCAGCGGTTCGCCGACGATGTGATACTTAGCCCAGTTAATAGGGGGCATGCGCACGACGCTCTGCGGGGCGGGGATTTTCCCAAAAGCCGGACGTGGGTGCTCGTCGACATCCATAGCACCTACATCCGTAACACTAGGCGTACTTGTATTCGCTTGAGCCATTATCCCGTCTGCATGTCCATCTTCATCACCATCTTCAATGCCGGTGGGATTGAAGATATCGCCAGACTTGGAGGTAAGGGTGCCTTTGGCGAGTTCCCGCGCAAACGCTTCCGGGTGTGCCACCGCGGCTTGTTTCAGATGATCAAGTGTTTTTATGTCACGGACTGCCTGTTGTTTTTGGATCTGGAGGATGGAGATGGCGGAGCGCAGGGCGATGGCGTCTGGATTGTCACTCTCGGATATGGGGACGGGGGCAGGCTCAGCCATAAACGTGGGTGCAGGGTTAGATGCGGGCGGCGGAGCCGTGGAGGTATTATGGGTGTTATTATTTCCGGAGCTAGTGGCAAGACAGAAAGTGGAGGCGGCGGAGGTATAGGGGGGCGGGAGAGCTTGCTGCATGGGTGATGGCGGCGGAAGCATGGCGGCGTGGGAGAGGACGGGGGTAATGGGGGAGTAAGGGGGGTGGGGAGGAGTGCGGGGCGAGCCTTCCGGTCGCGGAGGATCGTTCTGAGTATCCATCACTGCCACTATATTGCTGCAGGATCACTTACTAGAGGGATCCATTGGTGAATGTCGAACAGTAACTATCCCGGCGGAGCTATAACGGAGCAGAACCGGAGTCTGTCTGGGTTTAGGTGGAGAGGTTTCTCCATAAGGTGGAACACGTGACTGCAGTAACGTACCTAGGTAACTAGCCGGAGCAACTAGGTAACTACTGTTGGGGGTCCCGGGTTGATCGGCTCTTCTACCCTAGTTACCAGCAGTGCGCTGGTGGTGACTGAGCTCTTTTGCCCCAAGTAGTAGCCTAACAACTACCAACATCCTACTCATGCCCATCCGTGATCGATGGATTGTGCTTAACAGACAACAAATAAGTACCGTGCGTATACTCTGCAGATCAGAGGCCCAGCATAGGTGAGATATTTGCATGTCTTTCATGTTCTTTATTGCAAATGTTGCTACTGTTTTTAGCTACGCCTGAATCCCGGTGGAGAATCTCTTTGTGGCATCAAGACGCTCAAGGAACACGGTACAAGGCAGCTTACGACTGGCCAGTTTTACAGCACAGGAAAACGAAGTGAGTGGATAATTGATTTACGGCCCTGCAGACCAGCGGAACACCTGGAGATGTTGCATCGAGGGACTCATAAATACGCTCAAGTGCTATGTGATAGCCATTATAGTGACTGCATTAGTTCTCTCCTAATGGTGTCTTTTTACTGTAACATTCCCTTCTTTTTCCTCACCATTTGCTGCTTTTCTATTGTTTCCCTTTATTCTTCTCAATTGGATCCATTTCCTGCAACAGAAAGGAGTCATCCCAACATATTCATTGCCTGCGGTTGAGAAGCCTTCGCACTTCTTTATGATATCACTAGCTGCTTCCTTCGATTCGAGGATCCCCAGAGCGGCAGCGCTGGCGGCAAAGACCACATTATGTCGCTTGTCGATTACAATCAACTACAAACCAAAACAATTGGGTGGTCCATTCAGCCATTGTGCGACAATGCCGCCAACAGTCACGAAGTCACGAGCTCCATTATTTCAAATCCTTAAAGCGCGGGGAGAACAAAGAGACGAGTCGCGTTCATGACTCGACATCGGGCAATCCACAGCCACACTGACGTCCATATCCCCGAGCTACGGTTGTAATCGAAATATTACACACGGCTGAGGGAAATGACGTGCTTTCATTCCCATGATATTTTTACCAAGATTTAAAATTCCAAGCACGATTGGCCTGCTAAAATTGCTGCTGATGGAGCCGGCCTGACACAAGTAAACTTCTCAAAAGGATATTTCTTCCTCAGTCGGTGGGAGGACAAACAAGAGTTGAAAATCACATTCAGCACCTCACTGGCTGCCCACCCATGAGATACGATACACTTGCCTGTGAAGCCTGGATTGGGTTACACGATGCACGAAAGACTTATCGATTTGGTGATATGATCTCCCTCGCATGCATGGCATCCGAGCAAACGCGTCACCCTCCCCATCCACGGCAGCCAACCCCCCTGAGCCGACATTGGATGGGGGGGGCGCACAGATTGCTCAATAGCCATGGACTTCCCACGGTTTTCTCATTTGAAGAATGCCCAATGAGAGGGATCATAACAAGAGTTACTAGAACAAGGGGGCTCCATGTGTCGTCCGTTGCTGCGTTGCTGCGTAACACCAAGCGAGCAGGGGATGGTTGAGAGCAAGGATGAAAGAGGAAAAAAAAAAAAAAAAAAAAAAAAAAAAAAAATTACTTCATTCCAGGCCACGTCGCAATTCCCTGCCTCCCGCTCATGGGCGCCCATTTTTTGTCCATGGGAATCCTGGTGCGACGTTTACCCCGTGCTGGCCGCGTACAGAGTGAATTTTAACCCGCCCAGGCTGGTCACACAACGGCCATAGCCTGAAGAATGTTGGATTTTACGGGTTATATCTCATTTTGTATGTATGTATGTGCCCACATACCCTGAGCTAATCCGCACGATACTCGTGGATGGCATATGGCCAAGGCCAATGCCGATAATTTTGTATTTTTTATTTTCGTTTTACTGGCACTTGGAGGATTTGCCTAGCCGAGCATACAGCATACCCGCTACTGAACTGACAGCTGTTTAGGAGGAAGGGGTGTGGGTTTGTGCTCCCAACGCCGTGGTAGATCCCTTTTGGTTTCTCGAATGGTGAAAAACCCAGGTACCGATACAAGTGCGGGCCAGTTGCGCGTTTCTGTGTATCCCAAAGATACATATTCCTGGTTTGCGGCGCCCTGCATTTATTTTTATTTATTTTTATTTTTTATTTTTTATTTTTTTCTTCGTTTCCTTGTCTTTTTTTTAAATACGGGATGTGTAATGTATGGATTTTTGCAGTTTCGTGATGCTCCTGTTGCCCAGTGAAGAAGTGCCTCTTGATATTCTTGCTGCTTCAGACGTACCGAGGACATCCCGGAGCGCACACTTAAAGCTTTAAATAAATGAGCTATAGGCAACAAACGAACTGCTTATTTTGTCTACTCGTTGCAAATTATACATTCATTTCTTGAGGCTTGATTTCTCATTACTTCGGGAAGCACTCGGCGCGATTCCCCGTAGCTATCATGGTTGACTACTCTGTGCCCGCGATATAGATGGCTGGCAATGCAGACTTTGTAAAATAGTGAAAGGTATCCCGACATATCAGTCATTACTCCGTATATTCCTCTGTGTTGAATCAATTGTGTTCCTTGATACATGTCCAATACTAGATTGATGTGGAGGGGTTAACCTGAAACCAAGCCAACAATATGGCTCCGTTCTCGAATCATCTTGTGTATTCTCTCCATTTGAAACATAGACTGCAGGCCGTTGACAAGCATTCTCCAAGTTTTAGTTACATTCAACGGTTCTCTCCTCATCACTCTATTGTTCTGCTGTGTTGTGTTGGTTGGAAGTAACATAGTTATTTAATTCCTGGTCCCGCCAAGAATTTCCCCACTCGCGCCGTTTTAGAGCAGAACCTCCGCCATCCGCCATCCGCCATCCGCTACCAAACCACTCAATCGCTTTAAGCCACAATTGTCCCGCCCGCTTTGGCACAATCTGCCCGTCCCGTCCACATACATGTCATACCTGTAGTGGACAATGAAGCGCAAAACAACGTCTGCGCGGAATAGCCTCGATGGCAATGGCCTGCCGGGCCCCAAAAAGCGGGCGCTGGACACCAAGACCGTTAAATCGCGATTCCGCGAGGGGCTGCTTGATAGAGCTACTCTGGAGCAGTACAAACAGAGCTATGCGGCCTCCGCACCGTAAGCCGCACAGAAATTTTAATTTTTGCCGTCAACAATGCTCCTCAATCGTCAGCTAACCGCACCTCTTACAACAACAGGTACAAGCACGGCGTGATTTCCCCGCTCATAAACCCCACGCTCCTCCGCTCCGTCCGCACCGAGATCCAAGAACACCTCTCCTTCACCGAGAAGGAAACAGACATCTACAAAATCTTCCAATCAGGCGACCTCGCCAACCTAGATGGACTAGACGATGCCTCGCTGTCCAAACTACCCTCGCTCCTCGAACTACGCGACGCCCTCTACTCTGCGCCTTTCCGCAAGTATCTGTCCGAGGTCACGGGCGCAGGTGACCTGAGTGGTCGCAAGACCGACATGGCCATCAATGTCTACACTGGCGGCTGCCATTTGCTCTGCCACGATGACGTGATCGGCAGCCGGCGCGTGAGCTACATTCTCTACCTCACGGATCCGGACGTGGCATGGCAGCCGAGTTGGGGAGGGGCACTGCGTTTGTTCCCGACCACAGTCGAGAAGGACGAGGCTGGGAAGGAGGTGAAGGTCCCCAGTCCGGACTTTAGCCTGTCGATTCCCCCGGCGTTCAATCAATTGAGTTTCTTCACGGTGCAGCCAGGAGAGAGTTTCCATGATGTGGAAGAGGTTTACTATGCGGGTCCCAATGGGGAGAAAGGCGGAAAGGAAAGAGTGCGCATGGCGATTAGTGGGTGGTATCATATTCCGCAGGAAGGGGAGGATGGATATGAGGAAGGATTGGAGGAGAAATTGGCCGAGCGGAGTAGCTTGCAGCAGCTGCAGAGTTCCGGGGATACGACGTTTGACCGGCCTCAGCCACGGGTTACGCCGTATAAAGATGCACAGGGAGACAGCAAGGAGTTTACAGAGGCCGACCTGGACTTCTTGCTTAAGTATATCACGCCTTCCTATCTCACTCCAGACATCACAGAGGAACTCTGTGAGAACTTCACCACAGACTGCTCGCTAAGCCTTGAACGGTTCCTCCATGATAAGTTCGCCGCACGGCTCCGGGAATATATTGAAGAGCAGGAAAAACCATCTAATGCCCTGCCCACTGCGTCGCACGAGATAGAGCAGAAAACTGATTGGAAAGTCAGCCGGCCGCCCCACAAACACCGATATCTGTACCAGCAGCCACGACCCGCCGGACAAGAAATAGAATCAAAGACGCCTATTCAGGAATTGCTGGAGGATCTCTTGCCTTCGCAGGCGTTTAAGAAATGGCTCGCCGTGGCGACTGGATGTAGTGATCTGCTCGACTACAATATTCTTGCGCGCCGCTTTAGACGAGGCGAGGATTATACATTGGCGAGCGGGTATGAGGGAGAGACGCCGCGGCTGGAATTCACGATTGGGCTGACGCCAACGTCTGGGTGGGAGAAGGAGGGCGACAATGGCGACGAGGAGGAGGGGGAGGAGGAGGAGGAAGATGAAAACGGGGAAGCCGATGGCAAAGGGAGGGACAAGGCCAAGTCAAGCGCCAACGGAAAGGAACAACAGCCTACAAAGGAGAATTCGACAGAAACCGAAGACCACTCCGTCGGTGGATATGAAATCTACATGGCTGGTGACGATGACGACGACGATGAAGAGGAAGAGGAAGAGGAAGGGGAAGGGGAAGGGGAAGGGGAAGGGGAAGATGAAGATGAAGGGGAAGGGGAAGAAGGAGAGGGGGAAAGCAAAGAAAAAGAAAGTACTAAAAAAAGTAAAAAGCCCCAAAAGTCCGACCCAGCAGTCTACAAGGCCGCCTCGGGCGCGGACGGCGACGACGGCATCCTCTTCAGCATGGCTGCGGGCTGGAACCGCATGAGCATTGTCATGCGCGATTCGGGGACGTTGAAGTTTGTGAAATATGTTAGCCGCTCTGCGGCGGGGGATCGGTGGGATGTTACGGGGGAGATTGGGTTGAAGTTTGATGAGATGGAGGAGGATTAGGATGAAGATTGCGATTGGGATGGAACGGGGAATTTATTGGGGGTTATATATATATATATATATATATGAGGGTCCATGAAATGTAATAAAGAGGTTAAAGTATGTGTATATGAATCGGGAAATATCGTAGGTATGGAGGTAAGTAAAGCGGCTGTAGATATGTATAGTTAGGAATAGACATATAACGAAATTCATCTCCTCTTTCCCCACTCCCCACACAACGTTCCGGTTTCTTGTTTAATCCTCATTTTTTTCTAGATATAACTAGATATATATATATATATTGCTTCCACGTTAAGCAGTCCTTAATATATTAACTATCCAGGCCAGCCAAACAAACACCTAACTAACCTTTAGCTAGAAGTGTGTTCCACGCGAGCTCTCTCCCCAGTCCTCAACCTGGGGTAATTTTAGGTTTCAAATTTAAGCTTACGTGGACCTCGTGTTAGAGTTATCATGAATGGTAGAGAGAATAGTACGGAGTAGTTATTGAGGGGGAGCAAAACGGCGGGGGGACGTGGGTACAATTGCGGCTGCGAATGAAATTCCTCAGTATTCGGCGCACTGACCCATTCATCTTCCTTTTTGACAAGAAGACTCTTGTCGCGTCAGGGTTGGTCGCTGTGTCAAAGGAGACGGATGGTAAAAATGGTAATGCAAACTTTGCAATTTTCCTTTTTTCTCTTCCTTTTTTGCATTTCTGTATGCATCACCAGTTGTACATGTGCAAGTGTAACCCGGAGCCCTGCGTGGGATGCGGTAACATCCTTTCCAGAGAGAGAGAGATATATATATATATAATATGACAACGTAGCAGCGGGAGCAGACAATTACTCAAGACCATACATATATAAATATGAATATGCCGTTAGTTGTACACTTTTCTTAGAGGTGACTGCCCGTACGGTTATCCCGTAAAATGAATCAAAAGAACAAGTGAACAACGTCCTAATCGAGCTTGATTGACTGGCTGCCTACTACCTTACCTCCCCAGATTGCTCAAAGGGAGCCAAAGAGAGGGCCCAAAAAAAAGAAAAAGAAAAGAGAAAGAAAAGAAAAGAAAGAAAAGAAAGAAAAGAAAAGAAAAGAAAAGAAAAGAGAAAGAAAAGAAAACAAAGAATAACTAGCTGGTAACAGCGGATCACATCATTTTTATACCACGCTACATCCAAACCTCCAGACGTCGTTCTTCATTCGTTCCCTCCAACCTGTTTTTTGGGTCCAAGCGCGGTTGCGGGGGTGGGCGGCGGGCGGCTGGCGGCTGGCGGCTGGCGGCGTCCAGCACGGTAACAACTTACTTAACTAGTTAACTAGTTACAGCGCACCAGCTTACGCAGCGTGCGTGCAGCTAAGCCACAGAGCAGCTAAGTTAATAATTCTAACTTAGCTATTTAACTTGGCTACTTCAAGATTGAGGCAAATCCATCGATAATCGTTAGTAATATGCATGATGTGTCTTCGGAATATTAATAATAAAAAGCATGTACAGTAAGTAAGTAGGTTTCTAAAAGAAACTTTATCTCAGAGTTAAATTTAGTTGTTAAAACGGGGGTGGGGGGTGGGAGTATACTTTTTTTTTACATGCGCGCGCCAGAGGGTTGTGGGATGTTGCGGTATGGTATGAAGGAGGAATAACAAATAATAATGGAAAATAGAAAATAGCTAGCAAGTCCAATCACCAAAAAGAAGAACAAGAATAAGAAAAAGAAAAAGAAAAGAAAACACAAAAATACGGGGAAATCGATTCCGTGGAAAGTAGTCGTTGGAACCTGAGAGAATGGCAATGTGCTAACACTACTGTACTCCGTAACTAACTACTCCGTAGTTGAGAACATATCATATATTTTATATTTATTATTCACAACGGAATTTAGCTTCTGGCGTCTATTGGGTTCTTTTTTTTCTTTCTTGGGTCCAGGTTCCCGCAACCCGCACCACACGGATAACAGATCATCACTCACGGCTACTCTGTCGGAGTGTGGCGATTGGACGGAAGAGAGAGCCGACTCAGAATCAGAGAGTAGAGAGAGAGAACAAAGAAGAAAAGAAATAAGAGGAGTGAATAGCATCTTTCTCTGTACAAGTAGTGACCTGAACACTGAACACTGCATCACTGAATAAGCAGTTGTTCTTCTGTTCTTCTTTCTCCTGCACACACACACACACACACACACAGAGAGAGAGAGAGAGAGGAGAGAAACAGCAGGGAGACAAGCACTATTCGTGGAGAGAAATATATAATAAATAACCTGTAGATTGGAGAATTAAAGCCAAAAGCAGCCTAGATCAGACTACGGTGGGGGGTGTTGTACGCCGCGTATTTTCCTCTCCTCGCCCGGCCGCGTGGCAGAAGTGGGTTTGGAGATCGGCCGGGGCTGGGGAGGGAGTTCATCATTCGATCGTCATTATTATTGGGCAGTAGAATCCCCGGGTAACATGCAGTGAGATGATCATGCTCCCTTCTCTCCTCTCTCTCTCTCTCTCTCTCTCTATATATATATATAACTAGAAACAAACAAACAAATCCATTGAGGGAATATGTGTATGTAGTCAGTCAATGATAAATACTAGACACTAGGTTATAGTTATAGAGTAACTAGAGTAGTTAGTTGAAGAAGAGAAGTATTTATGTATTTTTTACAAAAATATACAAATTAGTTTATTCACTGGTAGATAAACAATAATAATAGCATGTATGTATGTAATGTATGCAAGACGGATTAGGTAGTGTACAGTACATGTACATACATACATACATACAGGCTGCCCAATAATGTCTTGTCGTCAACTGCATTCTGGTCGCTGGGACACAGTCTATCTCGATCCATGGCGCGAGTCAGCCCGCAACCCGCAACCCGCAGCTCCGGGGATGCTTGGGTGTGCACAGGTACTGTACAGGCTCAGTACATACTTTGGAGACAGCCATGGTTTGGGCGAAGTTGTCTAGGTAGATATAGGAAGTAAACAAATAAACTACACGCAGACACAGAGACAAGACACAGACAGAGAGAGAAGAGAGACAGACACTAAAGAGTGGTGGGATTAACGAAGGATAAACGAGGATGTTAAAAATAAAAAGCCGATGTAGTAGCAAGCCACGGCCAACTAGTATCGGTGCTAGCCTTAGCCCATTCTTGCCATCCCATCCTAGAAACCCTAACCCACCCCAATAATTAGCCCAATTAACCCCCCCCCCCCCTAACCCCCCCATATTAACAAATCCCCCCCCCCTAACAACACCCTAACGACCACGCCAGACAACCCCCAACCACTCCCAACCAGCCCCAAACAGGCTCTAAAGAGGCCCCAAACAGGTCCCGAACTGGTCCTTAGGGTTATAACTGGCTGCAACTGGCTCCAACTGCCTTGGACCCCGTTCTGCCGCCACGTGCCAGCTCGGTTCTGTCTTCTTCAGCAAGAGCCTGAAGGGAATCGAGTTGTTGTATCTGTGTTGTGTGTGTCTGTCCGACCTGTCTGACTACCCTGACTACATGACTGTCTTTTCTTCTCCCTCTCTCTTTATCTCTCTCTCTGTCTATCTGTCTGTCTGTCTGTCTGATGCATCTTCTCTCAATCTCTCCTCCTTCGTGGTTGCTATCTTCTCCCCGGGCAACTGAGTAACTAACCAAGCAAGCCAGGGCTGGGTGAGTTACCCCAGCTATTCTTCTCCATCGCCCGTTCTGTGTCTGTCCTCCCCTCCCCACTTCGTCGTCTTCTTCTTCTTCTCTCCTCTGTTGCACACTTCTTCTCCAACTCCTCTATTCTACTGTTCTTCTACTCTCCTACTCTCCTACTCTCCTATTCTCCCATTCTCCCATTCTCCCATTCTCCCCTCCTCTCCTCTCCTCTCCACTCCTCTCCTCTCCTCCAGCTGTGCACTCTGTAGAATAATATCCCATCTCAATCCCCTGATTCTCGCGCTGGTTCTTCTGTTCTGAGTCTCTTCCGAATCTCCTCCCCTCGTGCTTCTCTCTTCGTTGGCTTGCTTGGCCCTGCCAGCCCTTCCAGCTCGGCAACCTATCAGCCCTCCTCCTCCTTTCCTCCTCTTCTCCTCGTCCTTTCATCCTCTTCCTCCTCGACAATCTTCCCCCCCTAACGAAATCAAATTGCTTCTTCAACATTCTCGATATCAATCTTACTCAACCTGGACAGGACAGGACAGCCATAAACCCGAAACCCCTCCCTCTCGTCCCCAAGAGCCAGCCAGGTCAACCTTGTCGCCCATCCCAATCCTCCTCTCCTCCAGTCCCTCCTCCTGCGGCGCTTTGGAAAAACACACCAACCTCATCTCTCGCTCCGGAAGATGGACGTCTCGGTTGCGCGTCGTCCATGGGAGGAACCAAGGGCCGGCCAGCAGACTCCCCAGGCCGCTGCCGCCTCTGGTGGTGCTGGTGGTAGTAGCAATGCTGCTGGTGCTGGTGTTCAGCAGGTCCAGAAACTGCCTTCTATCTCTACCCTTACCGCCAGTATGTCTCTCGGCAATCTTGCCAATGGTGTTGTTGCCCCCGCAGAAAAATCGCCCGCGCAGGCCTCCATGAACACCGTCGAGCGGGACTCCGGCAATTGGTCCATGCCCCAGAGTGCCCGTATGTTGTTTTTGATTTTTTTTGTTCCCTTTTTATACAACTTGTCTATTTTTATTATATTGAAATATATGAATATACATGTGCATATATATGTGTGTTATATCTGTGTATATGTATACTAATCCATTGCTCATCTAGGCTCCTCCACCTACTCAAACACTACCAATGGCACCAATGGCACCAACGGCACCAATGGCTATGCGCAATATACCTACATGACTTCCTCTCAACACTCTCCAAAACATCCCCAGTCACAACGGCAGTCCTCAAAAGATCAACAACCACAGACTCCCTCCTCTGCTACGCCATCCTCCCAACAACAGTCCCCCACCTACTCCATGCACCAGCCAAACGCTATGCTCCCTTCTATAAACCAAAACTTTGACAGCGCCGTCCAACGACCCCCTGCTGAGTTCCCCGAGTCCCGCCGCAGCAGCATTGATAGTCGAATGAACCAGGGCATCGGCTCCTTGGCCATAAACCAAGCCTCGCCATACCACAGCACCAATGCCTCTCAGTCGTCTATTGTCTCGGGCCTCCAGCGCGACCGTGGCATATCCGGGGAATATTCAAGCGTAGCAAGCCAACGCGGGCCCCGCTACAGCGGTGAACAACGCCATCCACTCTCCCACTGGGCCCCACACGGGTCAACAACCGCTTCTTTTCCTGTGCGGGAGGACTTGCCCCCCGCCCATTTCACATCCTCACGCAGAGATATTTACAATGCAGAATCGCCCACTGCAGGCCAGGCCTATGCTTTTCCTGACCCCGACGTCGCCCGGTCATCCGATAAAGAAAGCGCCCGTGGCCAACCCTCGTCCCAGTTAGCACCACGGAGTCTCTGGCCAGCAGTGTGTTTACGACAGATTCCAGACTGCCACATGGCCAACAAGGTTGGTCCTCTTTTTTTTTTTTTTTTTTTTTTTTTTTTTTTTTTTAATTTTTTAATTTTAATTTTTTTTTTTTTTATATCTCTTCTTCTCTTCTTTTTTCTCTTTTATATATATATATATATGTATGTATGGGCACATTCAGTACTAACTTACTGTTGTGCTAGAACTGCCACAAAATGTCCATCACCATTCCCTACAGCAGAAGCAGGTTAGAGAGTTAATGGGCGATCCGGAGTCACCCAACGGCGCGACCCCGTACAGTAGAACCCCGGAATTGCGCGTCACGCACAAGCTGGCAGAGCGCAAAAGACGTAGTGAAATGAAAGACTGCTTTGAACTTTTACGTTCACGGCTGCCATCAAACCAGAGCAGCAAGTCCAGTAAATGGGAAACTCTAACTCGAGGTAAAAGCCAACCCTAACGTAACGGCCCCTCAACTAAAAATACGAAATATCAAGCCGATTTTACAAAGGAATACCAGTGCTAACGGATACCAGCAATCGAATACATCGGCCAGCTCGAGAAAACAATTCAACAAAGCCGTCACGAATCCGTCACCCTGAAAGCCGAGGTCGCGGAACTCCGCCAACAGCTCAATGAGCAGCTACAACGCCAATCAACCACAAATGGCCATCACCCCCAGCCTACCTATGACCGCGCACCACCACAGCAAACAAACGGTACACATCCACACTCCCATCCACAGCCTCAGATGTATAGTAACGGCCACGGGAGCCCCTATTCTTCTCCCGGTGCTGTGCAGCCCCCACTCCCCTCCATGGACCCAGCGAGAACTCTCCCGCCGCTGATGAACGGCTCCCTGGCACCAATGCAAGGTGTACAGTATACCGAGGGCCGGCGATGAGGGTGTTTTACGATTATTATCACTGCTACTACTACCTATTATTATTATTATTTTGTTTGACTACCTGGACTGTAATACTGTTTTCGTATCTAATTCCCGTCCGCTACTTTTGATCCGGGGAAGGTTGGACAGCATCGCTTCAGGACCGCTTTCGATCTATACCACTGCAACGACTCCTATATTTTTAAGCGCCTGCCTGAGTTTGACTGAATGTTTCCTTTTCTTTTCTTTTCTTTTCTTTTGCCCCTCTCCAGGACGATTCACCTATCTATATTAACGCCATTCTTTATTTCACCCCAATCGACCGGCTTGTTTTACGTCGTCTAACGGACAGAACCAAAAGTAACACTCGACCATCGCTTTAAATGTCGACATCGGCGCTGCCATTCCCCATGACGCACATGAATGATATACATCGGCCCCACAACAAAAACGCTTCAACTCGAAACCGCGTTAACTAGCTACTATGGGGGAGATGGTTTAGGATTTTTCCTTACCTGGATGCATGCACATCGATTTCCATCCCTACCTGTCAACTCGCCAACCTTACTGACCGACTTACTTGCGACATCGACAACACCTTCCACCTGCCCGCTAGCCTACTGTCACCACCGTGTAAATCTAATAGCAGCGAAGCCCCATGGTATATTCCGCGCTATGGCATGACACGCTGTAACGTAGCGTGGTGTTTTTTGTCTTACCATGTCATACCCTGTTTATGTCACCCGTCCTGCACGATGGGCGTCAATTACAAAAAGAAAGAAAAAAAAAAATCACCGCCAACCAAGCGGATAGTCCCGACTTGAATAAAAATAAACGAACACTGGATGAGGCTGCCAACATCATCAGGGGCAAAATGTCAGATGGGCTGATACGACGTGATACGACGCGATACTATGCGATTGCGATGCGATGGACCGGTGTTCTATGCACGTTAGGTGGAACGTTGATAGACTGGTGCCTTTAACGAGAAGAGCCCTGTCCAGGGGAATGACACAGATATTATATGCGCACCCACTGGTTTAAACAAAAATACGCCACACGATCTTCCTCTCTGACTGGCTGTCTGGCTTATATTTATTTCTGCTAGCGTGGGGAGTTGCTTTTTGATATCCGTTTCTTATTTCCCGTGGTTCCTTTCTCTCGTTTTTGTTCATGTCAATTTTCATGGTTTTTTTCCCCTTTCATTTCAATTTCGATATCATCTCTTTTTTTTTCTCTCTTTCTTTTGATGGAAATATGCGGACACGGGAAGGAAAGGGAGGCAAAAAAACCGTCTTTGGGTCTTGGATTCGGAGTTTTTTTCTTTCTTTTTTTTTTTTTTTTTTTTTTTTTTTTTTTTTTTTTTTTTTTTTTTTGGGTTCACCTCCCTCTCTTTTCATTTCCTTTTCTGGGCTTGATTTAATTTACACTTCCTGATCTGATACCGATTCCCTTGATGACCTGTCTCTTAGTCTCTGCTGCTGTCCTTTTCCTTACACTTTTTGTCTTATTCATTTCCTCATTTTCTGGCCCATTTTACAGTGCTCCCTGGCTGGTTCTTTTTTCTTTTGTTTCTCTCACCCTATACTCCACAGACTTGTCCACTCTTCTTGGTTTCCGTTCCTTTTTTTCTCTCTGTACTTTTCTTATCTCTCTATTCTTTACTCTACTCTTCTCAAAATCCATCTTCACCTCTCAAGGCCATTACTATACCCCAATCAACGTGCCCGCTCATATCTATTGACTTCTTCTTCTTCTTTTTGGGCTCTACTTACATACTATGATGTCTGATTTTATTTATTTTTCCTTCTTTTTTAATTGATATTCAACTTTACATTTCCTTTTTTTCTAATGATTCAATTCTCTTCAATTATTTATCCATTATTTTATTTATATATCTATCCTCTTTTAGCTTTTCTCTACGACTCACTCCACAGAACGCAGAATTCTTTGAAAAGGGGGAGAAAAAAAAAATATATATATATATACATTATGTCATGTCATTTTATATCACTCAACTCTTTAAATCCACATATTGCTTTGCCCACAGGCTCACAGTGATGGTCCACTGCGCATGCAACCGAGTCAAACGAGTGAAAATCATGAAATTGTGAAATATGCACAATCGAAGCCGGTACTTCGTGTGTAGGGGATGGAATAGTGAAAGGGATTCATTTCCTAACGGCGAACTATATACATTTATATTTTTCCCTTTTCTTTATAAGATGCAGACTGTTGTTATTGCCTCATGATTATTATCTTGCAACGGTTACGTTTCCACTGTATCATACCATGCTGCCATAGATATTGGGATATCGTTTTTTAAGCGCCCGCCCAGCATGACTAATTTCCCGTTGCCGCCCAATCAAGCCTGCGAGGACGATCCCGATCGCGTGATTGGCCAACGCCTTCAACCAACAACCTCAACGTGACTGCTCCGCTCCGTAGTTAATAAATGTAACTTGCCTACGTTGTGAGGAAAAACGAGTTAGAAGCAGGATAGGATAGGATGCTGTTCATCAAAGGTTGTTGCCCCAGACCACAGAGTCTCACGTGCGTTAACTAGTTAGTTACTAGGTATAGTTACAACCCATCAACGCCCGCCCCAAGAACCTTTCGTTTGTCCCTAACCGCCGCCAGAAAGCCACAACAATCCACAACAATCCACGCGCCCAACACTGTGGATTTTTAAACCACTCGATTATTTAGCCAACCAACTCTTGCATTTATGTTGAATCACCCTCCCTCCCTCCCTCCCTCCAACTGTTTCCTCCACTGTTCTTCATGCAGAGTTGGCCTAGAGCTACATGTAAGTCCCATGATTTACATGTCTGTTATTCGGGGGTTCTCTTTTCGTAGCGCCGGGCCAGAAAACGAGTTCAACTACCAGATGCCATTTGCTCCTCCATCCCGGCGCTATATCCACTGCATGCCATATCAGATCAGACCAGACCAGACCAGACCAGAGAAGTGGGAATCTCACTTCCCCTTTGATGCTTTAGGAAAAATCCACGGTTGGAGCTGGAGTTGTTCGGGGGAGCGAAAGGCTGCCGGTTTCTCTCTATAAATTGTGTCCGTTCTCATCTCCACCTGTTGTGGAAATTGGCATATTGAGCGGAGCGCCGCCGTTCGTGGGCGCCAAAGGAGAGGGTAGTAGTAGTGTAACTACTACTGTCTATCCCCACCTATCGCTCTTGTTACTGACTGACCGACTGACATTTGGATCTATTCTTGTATCAGCATCCGCTTGGCTGCTGGCTGCTGGCTGCTGAGAGAGAGAGAGAGAGAGAGATGAGGAGAAGTTTTGAATTTACTCTTCATTGATCAATTTCCCTCTCTTATTGGTGTTGCTTGTGAGATGTGTAACTAACTACTATTGCTTGCTTGCTTTCTCTCTTTCTCTCTCTCTTTCTTCTGACAACTTCCTTTCTCCTTTTTCCTTTCTCTTCTCCTTCTCTCTCTCTCTATTTCTCTTGTCACTTGTTACTCTCACATAAACACTACACTCTCATTTTTTAGATTATATTATCTTATTCTGTTGAATGCATGCTTCTTCTGTTGTTTTGATCACATCAAATATTAAATGAATATTCCATTCTTTTGTGCTATGTGAATAGCCTATTTCATTGATATTGTCATTCAATAGATGTTCGTCTTTCATTTCACTGGCAACAAGACAACAACTCATTTATCATAAACACTGACAGTGACAGTGACAGTGACAGTTATTTTCATTGTTTGTTATTGTTCTCCTCATTCTGTCCTTGTGAGGAGTTTCTAATATTGGAAAAAATTCCCTATAATGTCAGCTTTATGATCCAATACTCTTGTTGCATTTGCTACAAATATCTCTGTTGATATATATGATGGTAAGCATTTCCTACCTTGACTACTTTCATCGGAAAAGAATATGCATGCATAGAGGTACTGACTTCAACATGCCCTGTTTTAGCCCATCGTTTTGTCGTTTATGATATAGCCGAGATGGGAAATAATAACGCTCAATACGGGGTGCCGCCGTTGGCCGCTTCACATCTCCGTGCACAGAATATACCTATATTCCCATTGTCTTCGCCTATTAACGAAGAAATATACACCCCCTTCGAATCGCCCGGAAGCTCACAATTGGCAGCCCCGGACAAAGACAACCCCTTTGCCTCGTCTGAGGACTATTTGACCCACGGGAAAACACATTCTGAAACCGACAATGCAACGCAATTCGATAGCCAAATGGAGGATAAACAGAAACTTCTTGGCGAGTCCTCTCAAGCTCCCCGCCCTAGCCGTTGGGATTCAATTAAACGCGGACGGACTATTATGAAGCGGAACCCCAAAGAGGCCACAACAAACAAGAAGACGCGTCCCGGACTCAACCTCGTCACGAACTTCGCCAATGATACGCCCAAGTATAGAAGAGACGCAGTGTCGAAACGTCGACAGTCGGCTGGCAGGGGGTTTATCGACCTGAATGATCTACGGTTACTCTCGAAGGGGACGGAAACTACGAGACCAGTACAGGCACAGGGGAACAGGCTGTTGCCGGAGCGGAGAATATCGTCAGCAAAGGGGTATGAGGAAATCAAAGACAATGTCGGAGAGGCCACACAGGGCCCACAGGCCAGTAACCATGTTAAAAAGATGAAGAAATCTCCTCTGGATGCGTTGCGGGCCGGTTCTCCTAGCAAATCACAGGATCTATCCCCTTCCGATCGCCCGATTATGATTGGGCTAAGGGTTCCGTACAATAACGCGGGAGGCCAGGGGAAGACCAAACGGCTCGGAGATGATAGCAGCACGCCGATTAAAAGCAACATTGGCAGCCCAAATAGCCAGAAAAGCACAAATTCTACACCTATTACTCCAACCATCATCATCACGCCTGCCAGGGAAGATAATCCTTGGGACAGCTTCAGTAGCGGAAGCCCCGAAGCGCGGCGTGCACGACCCGCTTCGAGCATCTATTCTCAACCTACGCCACGGGCGAAAGACGGTCGTCCACCATCTATCATTCCACCTGTCCCGGCGATTCCTGCGTCCCATTCTTTCACCAAGACTGAGGCTAGTGATGTATTTGTCGACCAAGGTTCGACGACGACGACGCCCGCGCGAAGAAATCGCGCGTTCTCTATTGGGACTGTGATCGAGGATGACTCGCCTGTATGTAGACGAACGGCGCGTCCACGATCCATGTCAGATGAAAGCAGACTGCATGCGGGAATAGCCAGCAGATATAGCATCGACACCATCGCTACAAGGCCTCGATCGCAGGGATGGTGGAACCTGTTACTTTCTCCGCTCCTTTCTCGCTCAAACACCATGGCGAGCAAAATGAGTTTTAGGTCGCCCCAAGATGAAACACCGCCGGTTGTTCCCGCGTTTCCGTTTGCTGTGTCCCAGTCACTACAGGTTGACAGTAATCGGGACGGAGAGAAACGTGTGGTGGAGGAAGTTTCTTTCTTTTCACCAGATACCCCTTACAGCGCGGAGGAGAAAGAGAGCCTTTGGGCATCTGCCGCGGGCACGGTCGGCAAACCGCGTGTCGAACGTGAAGGATCCGCTTCTGAATGGGATGATGATGACGCTGATGATTGTTCACAGCCATCTTCACGCCAATCAAGGGATAAAGCTTCCCACATTTCCACGGTTTCCGCCCAGACTATTCCTTTCATGATCTCGAACCCTACTTCTACTAGCTATACACAGGAACATTTTCACCAGAGCGTACATGACTACTCTACCAATAAACAAAGTCCTCTACACTTACCATCTACGAGTCCACGCACTGGGTATTCTAGAAACTACATCGCAGCTTTCCCACCGGTGCCTGGCGAGAACGTTCAGGTTGAGAATCAAAATCCAAACAACCCGTTTTTCCAACGATTTGTCGATAGCCTGAGGAGCGGAGTAGAGCCTAGGGAGCGGTCGAATTCTGATTCAACCGTGATCGAGGACGAGCCAGATATTTCCCCTAACGTTCGTCAAGCTACGGTTACTCCGTTGCTCAGAGCTGCGGCAATAGGGCCTTTCCAAGCTGGGCCGACGGCGCCTCTACCACCGATCCCTCGACGTGTATCTTCCTCACCAAACCCTTTTGACAGCTCCCCGAGTTTAAGCGTGGGAAACTCAAGCATCCAACCTCCTCCTTACTCTCCGCCTAAGAAAATCACGAAGCTTAGGCGATATAGGGCTATCTTACCTTCAGATTTGCACCCGCAACCCCAATCGCCAGGACCGTTATCCCCGGAGACGCAGGCACAAATGACGTCAAGAGGTGGTGGAATACTATTATCTGGCATTCAGCAACCCCAGCCCCCTGCAGCAACGTATAGTGCCAGAAACGAACCCCTTCCACGAGGAGTTCTACCGCCCCGTCTGCCGAACAACCCTGTCCGCCTGTCGGACGTCGAAAGACCGGTGGATGTACGAGCAAATAGCGAATCTAGGCGTCGGAGATTAGAGCGAGAAGATCGAATGGCTAGGAAAGTTGGAGGGCTGTGGCGCGGGAGGGGCTGTTTGAACAACAGAGGATGTTTTGGTAGATCCGGTCGGGAAGGCAGAAAGAGACGCCGGTGGTACATGTGTATTGCAGCTATTTTGATCGCCATTATCATTGTCAGTGTTGTACTCGCGGTTACGCTCACGAAAAAGAGTGATGACACCCCCGAATCGCGCTGGCTGAACCTGACCGGCTACCCGCCCATGCCAACCGGGGTTTCAACCATTTGCGGGCCCGAATGCAGCGGTCGCGAACTCAGGGTGTATACGCCCGCCACCATGTGGAGTTGCGCATTACCCAAAGAAAACCAGGATGCCAATAAGCCGTTCGACCCGGACCAACCGAACTTCAGGATCCAGATAAATTTCCGGAACGGCACCTTTGCTCACAGCACAGTCCCTTCCAATCAGGCGGCTCGAAAGAGGTCGGTCTTCACAATTTTGAGCAAGTCGGGCGCCTCCCCCAAATCTCTCGATAGTCGTCAATCGCTGCAGAAGCGGAGCGGCGGGTTCTCCCCTATTCCCGCCCCGCCAAGTATCGAAGAGCAGGAATTTCTCGGAAACACGACCGATGGAGTCACCGGGCCGTTCGCAGGGGAAGACACCCCATTCCTTGCAACCTTCCTCTCCCCAGAACCAATAACGATATCCAGCCGCGAGCGACGCGCGGACACACCTCCACCTCAACTTGAAGGCATGGACGCCGACGACCTACGCGACGCCATCCCCAACCCAGCACACAACCCGGACGGGGCCGCGGCGCCCGCAAACCTCCTCCCGCTGCCGATCGCCCAGCCAATCCGGCTGTACGACCGCGGCCTCCCTACCGAGCACTACGGCTTCTACACGTTCTACGACCGCTCCATCTTCCTCAAAGCCGACAGGCCGCTGAACAACGACTCCGTCCTCTCCGTGGTTCCCGACGACGAGAACGGCGGCTCAACGCGCTCCGCCGCCCGCGTGCGCTGCACCTGGACGCAGACGCGCTTCCTCGTGCAGATCTGGACGCAGCCCGCGCGGAATGGGATGGGAGTGATACCGTCGTCGCCAACGTCATCCTCTGCTGCCTCCTCCTCCCCGCCAGAGTCTTCCACGGCAGGCCTCCAGCCGTCCGGCACAGATTTCACGCGCCCGGGCTCCTTCCCTTATCCTATCACCATCGTGCTGGACAGACATGGCGGCAATCCCAGGGCGAAGATGGTGTATTGCTACGAGCTGGATTTGGAGCAGCGGTACATTGTGAGTTCGAAGAAGCTGCAGGTGGAGGATCGCGGGTTTGGGGGCCAGCTGGTTAGGCCGGGGACGTTGCTTGGTGGTGGGAGTGGTGGTTCTTCATTTGGTGGGTTTGATGGTGGGAATGGGGGGTGTCGGTGTGAGTGGAGGAATTGGTTGACGGTTAGATGATATCTGGGGGAAAGGAGTGGGGGGGGAGAGGGTATGGATTTTATGATGTTTTAATTATTTATCATTATGGGTTTCTACATGTGGGGAGATGGATGGTATGGAGTCTTTCTTTGCTGTGCTTTTTTTTTTTTTGGTGGGCCTGTCTGGTTGTCCTTGGATTTGTTGTGATGTTTATGTGATTTTTGAGTTTGCTGAAAAGAATAATGGGATGTTGGATACCTACATCGCTTGTAGTATAGTTTAGCTTTCTTTGTGCAGATTGTGTATAGTATATAATAAGTTACCCCCTTGATCGGAAGATATTTCAAACTTTCCTCCTTCCTTGTTCCCTGTCACCAGTTTCCTTCTTCCTTGCTTCCTTGTTCTCTATGATGATTCTGTTCGGGGTTTATTTTTATTTTTATCTTTATTTATTTTTATCTATATTTATTTATATTTCTGTATTTTTTTTTTTTTGCCCAACCACTTTACTTTTTTCTTCACCATCATGCTTATTATTATGATTTGCCTTATAAGCTGAACTTCTAGCCCGAAACTAGGATGAACACAAAAGGCAAACCAGCCGTGCCATGCCACTGCCCATGTGGGCTGTGTGTCTCGTCTTTGCCCGTTTCCATTTCCCCAACCAAGCAATCGTGAATATTGATAAATTCCGCCTGCAGCTCAACCTCGGTCAATACGCATCTATACGGGCAAAGCGAGGCCAGAAGGCATACGTAGCGTAGTTGTAGTGCTTGCTCTTGGTCTGTCTCTTCCCCCACCCCACCCCCCACCCCCCAGGTGGTGTGACTCTCGGGCTAGCAGCGGAGCTAAGCAGGAATAAAATCCTCCGGGAAATGTAACATTATGATTTTATTAAACCACTATACTATATAGTACGGAGTACTGTACTGCAAGTTTTGGGCCAGCGGGGAGCTTAAGAGAGCGAACGGGGGCACGCCAAACCCAATTGATGCTCGGCGGAGCTCCCCGCCCACCAGCCTGGGCCGACTCGAGTCAAACTCGGAGCGGGAAATTGAATGGAGGTGGCGTTGTGGGGATGGGATATTAATGGACGCTTGTTCCTTCAGCTAGTTTGGCGGGCCGACTGTTGGCAAGCTGGGCTGCAACTCGCAAGCTGGAGTCCGAGAGAAAGAGAATGAGAATGAGAATAATAATGAGAATTCGGGGAGCATTATTTGCCGAGAAAAGTTCATTTGTGGCCGATGCGATGGGGTGTGTGGGGTTAGTTTGAGGTAGTATTTCGCGCTGTCGGTCGGCATTTCTTACCTTGATCATGATAATAATATTTTATTTTCTCCTCCCTTTTCGTTGTATGTATATTATATTTTTCCTATGGTGGTTGGTGTGTTGACATCTCTGCTCAACATGGGACAAGAAATAATACGGGATGGAACCTAGATGCATGGATCCTCCTTATGCGTGGACGGGTTAGTTACTTGTTTTATGCGCTTTTGCATGTGACTGGTAAAACTTGCTCGGTTGCGCAGTGCTTCAAACTCGTCAGTTTTCTCCTCTCCCAAATAATAATAATAATAATAATAATAATAATAATAATAATAATAAATACCTAAATAACCAAATCCCATGGTGACACAACGCCAACCAAGCAAGCAGTGTCTGAGTGTCTGACAGCACGGCAATAAATGTTTCCACCCGCCAATGAGCGGATGCCCGCGCTGCGGGGGAAACGGCCAGGTTGAGCGCGGCGCAACGTCTTGGCGCAGGGATGGAAGTGGTAACTGTAGGTAGGTGAGCATCGAACCAACCATGAACAGCAATAATGAAGAAGGACTAAATCGTGAGAATAATAATAATTATAATTATAATTCCTGGGATTTTCTTTTTCTTTTTATTTTTCTAGTTTCCCTTTGTTGGAAATCACATTGAAAACTCCTGCCATATCTCTGTTATCAGTGATCAGTAGAATTTGCCTTTCTTTGACTGCTGTGGGGCATAGCTTAGGAGCTTAAATATTTTAATCCCTCTCTTAGAAGTTGGAACCCCAAACAATAAAGACATGGCTAAGTTATAGAGCAACAAATATCGCATCCATCCTGCCAACCGTTTGCGGCGGACGGGGACGCGGTTGGTGGCGGAGTCGCTCGCTTTTGCCCCCTCGCGCATTTCCTGCCCACCCTCAGGGCTCAAGGCTCACCCGGTCCGCTCTGTGAAGCAGCTTCATGCTTTGCCTGATTCGGGCGTGGCGTGTAGGAAACGGTCCTTGGCGTCCCACCCCTGGATGCATGGTTTAGATCCCAGTCTCCAGCCGCCTGAATCTGTCTTCACGAGAGGATTGGCAGATATCTCCCGTATCCAGCCATCACGCTGACCCTTCCCCAAGCTTGAATCGAAACTTGGCATGTTCAGACTGCTGGTTGTCTCCACGATTGTCCTGATGATGGATCTGAACAAGAATAATCCTCCTCCTTCTTGGAAGATAGGGGACAAGTAGCGCGTTTTGAGAATTCGTGAATAAAGATCCCCAGTCGCCCGCACCCTCCTCCCCCGCAAACCCTGCTCTTTTTCTTTCCTCTCTTTTTTCCTCCCATCGTCTGTCTGTCTGTCTGCTGGCGACCTCCCTCCCCCTGGTCCTCCCCATCCCGTCTTCTTCTTAGGCAGACTTCGGCCCCCTTATCCCATCTCAAGGTCTTCTAATAATCCACAGAGTTAGCCTATGTCGTCCAACGAACTGAGGGAGACAGGGTCTACGGAGAAGAACGAGCCCCTGAACCTGAAGCAAGTCCAAAGCCCTGGAGTGGTCGAAACAATGGAGACCGTTGAAGAGCCAAAGAAAACGCTGTGGGAGAAGGTGAAGACGCCCGGCTCGGTATACCAGATTCTCATTTCTGCGGTCATCGCGATCGCGATCGGTTTCGCGGTGAACACAACCGTGGAAAAAGTGCCTGTTGCCGCTGTCGACCTGTGTAGCATTCCCGGCAAAGTCTGGTTGCGCGCGCTGAAGATGATCGGTAAGTAGTGAGAACCACACACCACTCTTGCACCCCAAAACTATATAATTATAAGAAAACACAGGAAAATAAAAAAAATAAAAATAAACATAAAAACATAAAAACATAAAAACATAAAAGAAAGGAGAGGAAGATAAATAAACCTTTTGACTGTTGACCGTTCTTGTGCTAATTCCGTGTTAGTCCTGCCTTTGATCGTGGTCTCTCTGATCCTCGCCGTCCAGCGCCTGCGGGAGATGTCGCGCGGTGGCGCTCTCCTTGCCCGCTGGACGATTGGGTACTATCTCTTCACCACTCTGGTCGCCATCTTGCACAGTACAATCCTCGTGTCATTGGTCTGGGCCAAGCAGTTCACTGAAGTCGATCCAGAGACGCGGGCTATCGACAAGGACCTGCAGAAGGACATCGACTCACGATCCGTGTACAAAGCACACGATATCGTCGTCGAGCTGTTCGAGACGCTGGTGCCGGACAACATCGTCGCGGCGTTCGCTAATGATGTCCTCCTAGGTGTGCTCGTGGTGTCGATTATTCTCGGCTATATGATTCGGGACCCGGCGACCTCTTCGATTCTGAAGGTCGTGAGAGAGATTGAAGGGCTGATCACCGTTGCCATTACGTTCCTCATCAACATGGCGCCCATCGGTATTTTCTTCCTGATCATGCCGAACCTGTTCAAGCTCGATATCAAGGAGGTTGGCATCAATCTGGGTCTGTTGATCGGAGCGGGTCTCTCCGGCATGGCCATTCAGCTTTTTATTATATACCCCATCCTCTACTTTGCTGTTATGAGGCAGAATCCTTTCGCATATTGGATGAAAAACTCACCCGCGTGGGTCACCGCATGGGGCACGGCATCGTCCGCAGGTACTATGCCGGTAACGCTGAAGTGTCTTGCAGCTCGTAAGGTGCCAGATACTATAGCCAAGTTTGCAATTCCGCTTGGTACTCTGGTCAATATGGACGGGTATGTGATTTTTTCTACTACATTTCCTCTATGGGCACATCCGTGGATACGTACGTTTAAAACTAACACGTCCCTTTCTCCTTCCCCTTTCCCTCACAGAACTGCCATATACCTCCCTATCACCGTAACTTTCCTCGCAGCCACGCAAGGCCAGGTCATCAGTGCCGGCCAGTACGTCGTAGTGTTCTTGACCGCGACGCTCGCCTCGATCGGCACAACACCAATCCCAAGCTCTTCCCTTGTCCTCATTATCATGATCGCCAATAGTATCAGCGTTGAGGTGACGGGCATGTACGGAGTAATCACAGCCATTGACTGGTTCATGGACCGTTTCCGAACCATGACCAATGTCACCGGTGATCTTTATGGTGGTGCCATTGTCGCCAAGATCACTGGCATCAGAGACCCGATTGTTGATGCTGATGGTACTATAATTGATTCGTCTGCACAAGATGAAAACGCGAAGCGAAACAGCCAAGTTTAAATAAGTACATAAGCCAAAACAGAAAATAACATTATTTAAAAAAGAAAAAAAGACGGGGTTGGAGGGGGTGAGCCGGGTTGGAAAGGTTCGAGCTTATCATGTATTTAACCAATGCTGTACTCTGGAACATACATAAGATCTATATATATATATATATATATATTGTGTGCGGCGCCTGTGTAGCATCTCCCTTATGTCCGGAGTTAGTGGAGTTGAAAAATGACCGGGCCCTAGTCAACCCCGAGTTCATAGTTTATGCCAATGGCGGAATATAAGCCGGACATAGCAGAGCATGCGCGTACCAATTCTCAGCACCCCATATATCCAGCGGAAACTGACGTCAAGGTCCTATTTCACGCGTAATACTAGCCTCGCGCTGGGGCTGGGGAGAAAAATGAAAGCCAAGTTCTTGCTCATGTGCATTTTAGCCTGTTCCGCTCATTCCTGAGATTGTCAAAGTACTGTAATATACATCTTTGGCTAACAAGTTTGGAGGGTACCTGGCCATAGGGTAAAAGCTTTGAAATCAGCAGGTCAGTTGAGATTAATGGGGAAGGGAAGGCGCAGGAAGGAGAGGAAAAGAATGCTTACTCGCTGGGCTTTACCAGCTTTTGAACGCAGAGGATATCGCCATTTCCAAGTTCGGCCCGTTCGAAAGTTGAATTAGGGTCCACGTTGAGGATCATTGTGGGTTTTACTTCCTACGGGTTCCGCGCGGTCAGCCGAATGGGATGAGGAAAAAAGGAAAGAAAAAGAAAAAAGAAAAAAGAAAGACAGGCGTTCAATTCTTACTTCATGAACTGAAAACCTCGTATCCTCTGGCCATCCCATGACAGTGACGATGTGGGGACGAATTGTGCTATCCTTCAGAACGTAGAGTGAAGTGACACCGCGCAGCGTCTGACTCATCACGTCGAAGTTCTTGATAAATATTAAGATCGTGTCTCCTCCACTTGTCACCTGAGGCAATGGGGCTGGTACACCTGCAACGACTCGGCTAACCTCAACCCATATATGAGGGTTGCTTCCAGTGAAATTTGCGTCGAGACATGCCCGCGCGATGGTAATGTTGGCGCGAAGTAAAGGCTCGTGAGGCCTGCGTGTTCCATTCTGGCGATTGAGGCAAATCCACAGGGTACATCGTCCCGGGTCCACTGCTACCTTCTGAGCGACGGATTTCGTGAAGTCGTTAACTGATGTATCTTTGCGGATGCGCAGGGTGGTCGTGTTGCCATTATCCACGCTGGGGCTAGTCATGTCGAATCCGCTATGGAGGCGGAACTGGGAGGCTGAAGCCAAGACGGTGTGTAGGTAGAGGCGTTCCTCTTCCTTCTCCTTTTTGAGACGTGCAGCCATTTCCCGTTCCTCCACCAATCCGTTTCCTATTTGTATTTTAAAAGTACATGTTAGAAGGATTAAAAGAGAAAAAGAAAAAGAAAAAGAAATACCAACGGAGTTGTTGAGGATAAGGCGGCAGGAGCTTACAGAACACCTACCGATATATGCAGGCACATCGGCTGCGGTAACGCTAGCAAGAATATCGTTTATCCTTGATTTCCGGACATAAATTAACATGTATGCGTTCGTTGCCTGTCCGTCCCCCCCGTAATTGTCTTCCATGACATTCGTTAACATGGCACTAGTAACCCGGTCATCGTTAAATTTATAAAAGGGCAGGTTAGCTCCAGGTCGCAAGAAGACCCAGTACCTTCCGCCGTTAACACCGCCGCTATGAACGACAACACCGGTCAATCGGTAAACCCATGATTCAGACCTGTCGGTGTCAGCTGAGAGATATGGAGAAGCATCAAATTCTTCCGGATAGGCAAAGAAATCATTGACTTTCATGAGCCGGCGCTGGGCCATGTCATACGCATATCTTTTCAAGTGCAGATAGAGAACATCAGGGAAGGTTTCAAAGAGAACACCACTAGTAGTTTTTTGAATACCATTTTCCGTCCGCTCCTCATCAACTATCTCGCGGATATATTCTGCCAAGCTTTCTTCGAGGGAGCGAATATTCTGGATATTGATGCTGATATCCAAGAAGTCTTCTATTCTTGATTGTTGGGCGCCGTCGATGGTAGTATAGGTATTTGTTTTGCCGCGAAAGATGTCTGGAAGTTTGGGCTCCTTCGTAAATCGATATAGGAGCAATCGAGCCATCTCCCGGACGTCTTGTTGCATAAGGAGTTGCTGAGGGGCCCATCCAAGTCCCTTGGTGAACTCCAGCGGTGACACTGGCTTATCATCGGTCTGCAGAGAGTAGAAAAGACGTTGCAATGCCCACAAGAACGTGTTCCTATTGGATTCATGGTTAAGTGGTAATTGGTAGATAGCCTAGATGCTGCCTCTTAGTGCCCCTGAAAATGAATAATATTGACATATACATCGAGTACGGGCCGGCGTCCCTTGCGAAAGCTGTTCGTAAAGTAAAAACACTGCAATATAACGTTTAGATAACCAGTGGAGCCGAGGTTTTTCAAGCCAACGAAGCCAGTCACTTTCTTTGAGTCGTAGCTGTTGTTGTGACATTAGGTTGTGGTTCAGAACGACCAATAAATGAGGAGGATACGTACTTGTAAAACGTGTGATATAAGGATCCGGTGTGATCTCGGATTACGCGAATATAAGCTGTGATATTTGCTTCATCGTTACCCAGCAGGGATGGTTTATCCCCAAGATGGCCTAACAGCCTTCGAAGTTCACAAAACTTTGTGAAGCCCCAATCAGGGTCATTAGACGAGAAACGGAAGTTTGCATCTGAAGCAATGTTAAGCTAAGACGTTGACGTTAAAAGGGTAGGTTGGAGGAGCGTATGGATGCTTACTCTGTGAGATGTAGGATTCCGGACTATTGGTATTCCACAGGACTACAGCGAACTGGACACAAGCATGCCAGTGCTCTGGCATTTCTCCATCATCGAAGCCATGTTTAAGGTAGATAGATAAATGCTGATCCCTGGTTATTTCCGCGTGGGTAGAGGAGTATTCGCCTACTCGGATTAGACCAGGGATAGTCCAAAATTCTATACACATTTCCCAAAGGGAACCACATAGTTACCATTTGGATCCACCGCACTCAAATTTCGGGCTCAGCTCTGTCTTTTCTAATTCCGTCCAATTGGGTAAGCACCAGGTGAAATGGGATTCATGCGCCGTCTCCAAGGTCGGGTCGACGGGAAGCAACTTGGCCATCATGGCTTCATCTGTAATATTTCATGGAATTAATAAGCCTCAAGTTTCCTCCTGGATCTTGACGACATCGGGGTACACGGTCTTCAGGATAGAATATAATCAGATTGAAAAATAGATTGAAAAAGAAAAAGAAAACGGGTAACCTTACAATCGGTGGCCAGAGGCTTGGATTCCTGTTTCTCAAATCAGTTCGAGATGTTTGTTCCTCTTCATGAATAGTTTGCATTTTAAGAGAGAGAAATCTCACATCTCCCGTCAATTGAGGCTGCCCGCCTTGGGACATTTGCGTAGCCATGGTGCCAAACCTTGGCTTTCAATAATGATGGCCTTTGGACTAAACAGCGGAGTGGGATCAAGCTCAACCAACAGTGAGAGATGACCATGGGCAATATAACAAGGTCGAGGATGCCAGCGGGGCGGCAGCGCGTTGCAGATATGAAATCTGTCGGGTGTTCGGGATCGACGGCCCACGATGTATAAGTATAAGTATGGGGGACGGACGTTCGTTCTGCAAGGCTCGCTTGAGTCACCACCTCGTATATACCCATGCCGCGTGGTAGGCTAGATCACGCCCTTCAGCCCACGGGTGGGCCCTACGTCCAGTTAAATGTGTATTATTCGATGTGATTATTAATGTGGAAATACTCAACTGCCATCAGGAGCCTGTGAAGCGTTTTTTTGACAAAAATTTCAAGATATCTAGTAGATGCAACAGAGTACTCTGTACTCTAACTTAATACTACTAAATAACTATATGTCAGACCATTTAATCCATGCTTAGTAACGCTCACTTATTGAAAACTTTTCTTTTCTTGAGATTTATTTCTCTGTCTCTTTATTTCTGATAATATGTATCAATATCAGAAATAATATCAGTAATAATAAAATATTAATTATAATTATTATATTATTTCAGATATATTGATTTTCCTGCAATCTCAGCTGTATACAATCGGACGAGAGAGGAGTGGCCAGTTAAGAAGATACTGCATTCTCAGATTCAAGTGCAAGGGGATGAAGAGATTCTGAAGAATCATGTCTCATCTCATGAGAGTCTACCTGGCAACTGTGAAGCAATCTGATTCCAGGTTGCAAGAAATTGGTCGGAGAATTCCATGCAGAATGGAAGCACAAGTGTCCTTCATTGACTACTCCGGCAGGCTATAGACATTTTAAGCAAAGACGGGGATCACGCAGGGACGGTAGACGTAAGATTGTAAAGTCAAGTGATTAGAATCTTCATCACTGCTCGGAACTTTCTCATTGACAGTGATTGGTAGCTCTATAGCTCTCTAAATAGGTTCTTCATGAGAATCGTTCTCTCTGATGAATAGAACAATATCATATCTCTGATTTTTTCTTTTAAATTTAATTTCCTGCAAAGCAGGAAACGCCCATTTTTGCATCCACTCAGACTCAACAACATCCTGAATGGTAGCCCTGTCACTTGGTAAATATTGAAGCATCATCTGAATCATATGCAGGAAAGCCTTCTTCTCACCCTCCCCCTGCTCTTCCATGTCTGATCGCCGCCGAGCTGCATTAACAAACCAATCATACCGTTCTTCCAGGCTATCAGCCGCTATCTTGGAAAGGAGCATCAGTCATGATATCAATAGTTGCATCCTCATTCAAAAAAATCGGCTTTGGACTCCCATTGTGACCACCATGGATCAGGGAGCTTTCCCAGAACACTGACTTGATCCTGGAGTATGCCTCCACCTAAGGTACTAAAGGGGCCCCCACTACCAATGATTTCAAATATAGTACATCCAAGGGTCCAAATTTCGCTGGGGAATGAAAGGTTATATTCATCATTTTGTTTGTCAAGAAAGACTGCATCAAACTACAACTAGCTGTTTCCATGACTAGGCAATTGTGAGCTCCATTGGGACTAATTTCAATGAAATTGTCCAGCAGCTGTCTGATCACATGGGTGTGGAGGAAGATGTTTTAGAATATCTACTTCCTGAGACTTTGAGACAGAATCAGCGGATTTTATTTTGATAGCAACTAACTCCTGTTGCTTCTGGTCAGCAGCCAGCCATACTGTAGAGCTGCCACCAAATCCGAGATTCTGGACAATAGAGTAACATCCATCACAGAGTCGATCACCAAGCTTTAAAGGATAAAAGCCACCTGGACAGTACCGCTCTAGCCGTTCGCAATCCTCAATGTATTTGTACTTCGGGGCTTTGTACTTCGGGGCAAGTTTCAGAAGCTACAGGGCTTTTGTCCCTCTTGTGTCGAGGCCGTGAGGTGTGGAATGTTTTTAAAATAGTGGGTGTGCATTTCTCTTGTGAGAGATGCCTTGATGGTACCAATGTTACAATGGATGGGAAGTGACGTCTCCATGTAAAGTGTAAAAGACACGAATTGATGGGGATCATTTCGTAGGAACCCTGGAGAGAAACGAAGCTGGCGTGATCTCCGCGTTTATCTGTAGGATAGTTGAAGGTTGTATTGATAGAGCTATCTACAAAGAGCTTAAATAGTGGTTGGTCACGTGATCTAGGGAGATCGCCACAGCCAATAGCCGCAACGGCCGTAACGGCCAACATTATCGGCTCCTTCGACCGTTTTTTCTGACTAAGCAAATATGATCCAAACAAACATATTGACACAACATGTAACTATAACAGCCTTTATATATTTTTCAATCTCTTGAGATCTTTCAATCATCTTAAGATAACTAGATGATAACATATGAATGATGATGAAAAAAATGTGAGAATTGGCAAAGTGATGATATTTTGCATAGTGGATAGTGGTGGTTTAACCAACCCACTATTAGGGATTAATCTATTAATAACTAGTAACTAATGGGAGGTAAGGAGGTAGTCAGTTTGCTTGGCACAGTTAACATCTTCGAAAAGATCGAACTACGCTGTACACACCGCTATCAACACCCTCGTTGCGCTCTCCCTTCAGCATCCCTTCAGCATCATGGAGCGAGGCTAATACAAATTTACGATGTGAATATCCAACAACGCTGGAAAATAAGTCCAATTGTGTGCGGAATCCTATTTTTGCAGCGAAACAATGTCCCTTCGAAAACCTCCGTCCAGCTCGTCGCTTCTCTCGCCAGCCGCATACGACGATGATGTTCGTTCTCTGAGATCACTGTCGGATCAGGACTCGGACTCGGAAGATGATGAGCTTGTAAAAGGCTCTAGGACGACCTTGGAGTTGTCCCGGCACGATAGAACTGTTCTGGAGGAGGAGGAAGAACGTGAGCGGCTGCTCGTAAAGAAGAGCCCAACGCATGGGCTCCGGAGAATATTTGGTCATGAAAATGGCAACAGCGTGCGCATTGGGAAACAGGAGAGGAGAAGACAGCGGCGTTTACAGCGAAGAGCAGAACGGATAAAGAGCATGGGCGACAAAGAAGAGGAAGAGGGCCTCATGTTCGAAATGGAAGAAGGCACCTTTCATGACGATGCAAGCTCCGACTCATCAGCGGCATCATCGGATTTGGTCCATGTTACGGTAGGTAGTTGTAACTACAAATCAGTATGTATTCTTTATGTTTATTCCCTCTTTGATCGCCTCCATGAGGCGCAATATCTTGCCGGCCGTGCGATTGCTGGCCTACCGGTGAACTAACTCATTTATTTTCGACTTTAGTCCAGAAGTTCATGGTGTTGGAAATTAGCCCTGTTATCTTTGAGTATTATAATTCTATTCCTTATTCTCTTCTTGGGCGCGTACAAGGAGTCAATTGGTTTCCGAACCTCTCGCCGGCAACGCACTATTTTATCGAATGGTACTTCTCTTTTCCTCCCAACGACGATTCTTATCTCCTTGGATGGATTTCGAGCCGACTTTCTCAACCGCGGTCTTACCCCAATGCTCAATTCATTTATCGCTAACGGAGTGTCCCCATCATACATGCTTCCCAGTTTCCCTAGCGTAACTTTTCCTAACCACTTTACCCTGGTGACTGGGCTTCACCCTGAAAGCCATGGTATTGTGGGTAACACCTTCTGGGATCCTGCCCTTGGGGAAGAGTTTTATTATACTGATCCTGCCAGAAGCATGCAGCCGAAGTGGTGGAATGCAGAGCCATTGTGGGTGACAGCTGAAAAGCAGGGCGTTCGGACAGCCATCCATATGTGGCCAGGTTCCGAAGCCCACATCGGCAGCATTGAACCCACGTACCTTGATAAATACAATGGGAGGGAAGACTTGGTTCAAAAAGCCAACCGAGTGATCTCATTTTTGGACTTGCCGGGCGACAAAGAAGCTGAAGACTTGCCACCAACCACTAGTAGACGGCCGCAACTCATAGCCGCATATGTGCCTAACATCGATGCGGATGGACATACTTTTGGCCCGAATAGCACTGAAATCCGAAATACGATAGCTCAGGTAGATCAAATGCTTGCAAATATTTTCCAGGGGCTTCATGACCGTAATCTGACCAACATCGTCAATGTGGTCATTGTATCTGACCATGGCATGGCAACCACCTCAACGGATCGCTTGGTCCAGTTGGAGGATCTAATCAATATTGATTTGGTGGATCGCCTCGATGGGTGGCCCCTCCGGGGCATACGGCCCAAACGGCCTGAAGACCTCGAAACCCTCAAGCAGCAGCTAGCTGAATCATCCAAGCCATATCGCGATTCAATCGAAGTTTACACCCGGGAAACGATGCCTGATCGCTATCACTTCTCCCGTAACGATCGTATCGCACCGCTATGGGTAATACCCAAAACAGGGTGGGCCATTGTTGAAAGAACGAGTTTCGATGTTAAGGAGGCGAAAAAGAACAACGAAGTTTATCACCCGAGAGGCCTACATGGATATGACCACGAGCACCCTCTCATGAGATCCATTTTTGTTGCTCGCGGCCCCAAGTTCCCTCACAACCCAAATAGTCGTATGAAAAATTTCCGTAAGTCTCATCCGTCACAAACATTGCTGCTGAGTGAATACCAACTAAAGAATGCGCGCCAGAAAATATCGAAGTATATAATATCGTCTGCGATTCCTTAGAAATAGAACCCCATCCAAATAACGGGACTCTCCGCCTCCCTCTAAATCCTATAGGTCTTCATTCTCCCGAAAATTCTCCAGGTGCCGAAACCCCAGACGATCCGCCTATTAGCACGAGCCCTAGCAATGCTGCTATTACCTCCAAGCCTCATACAGATGCACCCAACCAGCCACCAGTAACGATATCTGCCGATGCCCCAGACCCGACCTCTATATCCGAAAATAGTGGGCAAGACAGCGACGCCTCTTCTAAGAGCTCACCATCCCTGTGGGATAAACTTCTCGATAAAATCGAACAGCTAAAGAATTGGACCCAAGGACTTCTAGAATCTATCGATGGATGACATATCATGTCTCCATTTTCCATTTACTTTGGGGGATATAACGTCTTCGCCGATCTTGTACACTTTGATATATTACCTCTTGTTTGTCTCAATTACCGATACCCAGCACAGTTGCACACCGTAACATTGATTTTTGCCAAACTTCGTCGTTGCATGTATCTGCGTCCTTTACCACTTTGGTTTAGATTTTTTTGGAGTTTTGGAATTGTTTTTGTTCTCTGCATCTGTTCCTATTGTTCCTAGACTGATTGATGTGCGGCTCAATTTGATAGCTCGTAGTCGACAGGTATCTTGTTGCCTTTGCCCCATACTCCCTCTCGACTTTCCTTGCGTTTCCTCCTTCGAAGCGTTTTGTTTGTATACTTGAAAGATAGTTTGACTTTGTTTTACTTGTCATAGCTGGCTACTTGTTTAAATTTAAATTTCCCTTTCTGATTTTCTTATTTTTATTTTACATTAGGTGTCTGGCGAACAGGAGTATGAATGATGAGAGTCATATTTTTCAGCTATTGCATGAACTTCGTCTAATTACAGGAGTCTTTTCGCGTGAGGTTGTTTGGGTGCGTTTTGCAACGCGGCCTGGGACTGGGCTTGGAACTCGGGTCCGGTGGTTGATATCAGCGCTTGGGGTTTTGACTTGGTAGAGTCGTTTCTGTTTTGACTGTGTTTTCCCGCGGAGTATTTGAATTCTCTATCTAATTGACTATAGATGGCCCGGTATATGCCCGGGGGGGTGTGGAGGGGTGTGAGCAATAGTGCAATTTCCTGGCTTTATCTCGCTGCTTGACCCTCTTCCGTCCTCATCTGGCTCCACATGCAAATCATTTTTCATGATCAGTTTTGCCATCACTGTCACTGCTGAAGCGACAAATCCAGCTTTGCCATGCTGGTGACTGAAATTTCGGCGCGTTCTCTGAACATCTCTACTGCGACAACTCGTTGCGGTAGGGATATAGTTGCTCCGGCATCGTGTTAAAGTACACTGTGGAAGCAAAGTAAACCCATATTCCCGGTTCTAATGAGCGGATGACATATCTGGCGGCGACGAAAATTGCTGAAATTCCAATGAGATAGTAGAAGCATAGAGAAGTCAGGAATGGCGGGACATCCCCAGGCGTTCTAGGGTGGGAGAGATCCAACCAGTTCACGGTTGGCCGTTCCTTACCAGCACAAGCACTGTTCTCCAAACAGCTGCGGCTAACGATGTCATCCAGGATAGTTAACTCAGTTACAGCCCGTAGTTAAGCAGTTAGTTGTGGTCATCTTGGACGCTAGTCAAGGAGAAGTATGGAGTAGCACCGTGTGGAGGGCTGTTTTCGGTCTCTACATATTCGCTGCGTATATACATAAAAATTGCCCAAAAATTTGGATGACCACAGGAATTCAGAAGACTGGCTTTTACACCCATCTTCCACGGATATTGAACTGTGCCTAGAAAAAGATTTCACGGGGTTTTTAAATGAGAGCAGGCATGGCTACACTCGCCTGCATTTTAAACCGATCGAGTCGTATGTTGGAAAAAGTTCTGTTGCGGGAATAAATTATCTATGAATATCATTGGTTGATTTGGATATTCAAAAGTCGAATAAGCTAAACTAAGTATCATAACATAGGAAAGAGGAAAAATGAGTAGTAAATCCAATTCGTGTGGTAGCGATAGATATACTTCATAACAAGGATCTCGGACCAGAATAATTCCTCAAGGGCATCGGTCCCCATATTGGGCTTCTCACCAAGCCATTGATGTGGCCAGGTAAGGAATGATTACTGCCCGGGTAGCCTAACCTCGTCGCCGGAACCAGATCGAATTTGACTGACCTCGCTGTCCGCAAAACATCGGCCACTTTCAATGGCTTACGGATCTCGCCGTCCCTGGTGAAGAGATCCCAAAGATGCTTGGGATAAGCCGGTGGTATCCCCCAGTTAGTCATCGCTATAATCGGTGTAGCTTTAGTTTTGGGGTCGGTTGAGAAGGGGGCTTGGGTGCGGACGATGTGGGTTATATCTGGGCCGTGAACAACATCTCGTCCAACCTGGAACACCAGTACGTAGTAAAGTGTCAGATGAGCAGACTCGATGTAAATGGTCTGAGGACTTCCATATAGCGATTGATGCATGAAATGCACAATTTTTAGGCCACACGTGAAAGGTTTCTGTAGTCTGGTCAGAGGCACTCACATCCATGTAGATGATATCTGGCCTTGTCAAATGCTGGCCATGGATGCACCGCCCCAAGTATTCTAAGGCTTGCTGATCGTTGCTAGCCACGTCACGAGTAATACCCCTTATTTCGAGCATTTTCCCCAGGAGGCGCTGATTAACTTGACTATTGTCATTGTCAGAGTAGATGCTGGTGTCCGACTGGCAGCGCACTTATAACTGACTACATCATACACTTTGGCAAACCATAAGAAGAGGGCAAAGGTAATTCTTGCACATACTTTTCCACAACAATGAGAGCATGCATTTTGGACGATTCGGTATATTCTGTATTCTGAAGGGTAGTCGGTAGCGATGGAATAGGATGGCTCGTCTAGCTGGTGAAGGGCTGGAAGACCTAGGTGTACATATACTTCAGCAATTATTCTGACATCAATCTTTCTTCAGAAGCATATCACGCCGGCTTTGTTGAAGACCTATTAACTCTAATGGGGCTGTCGGTATTGCGATATAACATCATAAAAGACTTAATATCTTGAGGCTCAGTTTCAGCCCCTGAACAGAGCGACGTCATCTCACTAGTGCCAAACCGCAGCTAATTATAGTGTCGTTGTCACTTGGCGTTTGCACAGAGATCAAGGCGCCGAACAGCCTCCACGCGAACATTCAGAATATATAATAATGAGGCTTCGAGTTCGAAACCCGGAAGAGCTGTGCTGGAGGGAACCGTAGCCCCTGCCCTTAATTCTGGCTACCCTAACAAGGCGGTTCTTATTCCCAAGGAGCCGCGGGTAATTAGTATTATTTAACCATTATAAATAATTGAGAGATGGTGTAGTCCACCAAGCTTACTGTGTGTAGAAGAGAAAATTGTGAATTGTGGAAAAAATATAATAGTGATTATGAATTATGGGCACATGCGGATTTACCCTGGCCTGGGTAACCTCAGATATTAGACGAGGTATTGAAGGCCCGAGGGGTAGCATTCTTGGAAGGTTGAAAGCTACTCCTTCGGGGGGACTTCAACCTGGGATAACTACTAGATAGGAGATTCAAGAATTCGAGTGGGTCAGTTGAAATTGCGATCAGACAAGTTTTTACGGACAATTTTCTTCATGCCATTTTCATTGCCTGAGAAAGTTGCTCCGCCATGGTCATATGAAGGCTGGGCTTTCCGGCCGAAAAAAAAAAAAAAAAAAAAAAAAAAAAAAAGTGGTAATGGAAGCTGAAAAAAATTATCAAAATAAATAAAATAAAATAAAATAAAATAAAAGAGCAACAGAAATCTTGATTCTTCCTTGCGTTATTTGCTTTTCTTCGGCAGATTCAAGCCCCACACTCAAGATAATCTCATCTGATAAAAGGCTTTACATACGTACAGTGCGTATGTACACATACAGGACCTGGTACCGAAACAGCCCCGTTAAGCCGGTGTCAGAATGGTAATACGACTAGTAACACTTCTGGTATGGTATAGAGAGTATCTAGTAAAGTAAATTACTTGGGATGTAAACTTCATATTCGGGGAACGGAAATGACGTATTAAAATGTAATACCAATCTGGACACGGATCAGATAAGTTTAACTCGGGCCATTCTCCTGTACCACACATTCGTTTCCAACAAATCTCGGATCAGATAAGGAGACGGCAAAGGAGCTCCCGGGAACATGCCATTTGGTATGCCTCAGGTGAACCCGTTTGCATCCACGGGTGCTTGGGCCCGCTGCAGATGCATGGGAAAAGTGTTGCCAAGTGTGATTCGGGGAGTTAATTACGGAGTGGTTGTTTTCTGGTGAGCTCCACTTAGGGGGGTTCTTTCAAACCTACGATACCGGGTTTACTTCCGTAGTAGCAATTATTGCCAGTCAGGAAGCCTTAAATTCGGATCGCAAGATGTTCCAAGTTCCCCCCCACAAAGGGAAGGTCTTTCTCCCTCTGAACTCTTTACTCTGCTCTGCTATTTACTATCCTGTGCTCAGTCCACCAAACCATGCTGTCGCTTTCCTATCAGGGCATACCCACCTATATTCAGTCAATTATCTCACCCGTTGTTAGCGCCCTCTTTCCCCACGGTTTATTCCAACGGCAACCTCTTACCATGCCCAGCAACGAAGGATCTGTAGGCTCGTCCAGCACCACAATTCCGAAAAGAGTCCTTGTGATAGGCGGTTCATATTCTGGGCTTGCCGCAGCTCTGAACCTGTTGGACCTGTGCCAAGGTCGAGATTGTCGATTTGCTGGCGCCTCTAACACCGAGGCTGTTCAGCCCGCAGAAACAAGAGAGAAAGTCCCAGTACAGATAACCATCGTGGATGAAAGAGATGGTTACTGTAAGTCGACTGGCAGTCCCCGCCAATCAATGCATGTGAAACTGAAAACTAACAAAACGGAAATCGTTCACAAAAGTCCATCTTATTGGGACTCCACGCGCCTTCGCATCGGAAGAGTATGCTTCATTCTCCTGGAGAAAGTTCGCCGACATTCCCGCCCTGCAGACACCAGCCATAAAATTCATACAGGGAAGCGTTACTGGCGTGGACTGTGAGCGAAAGATCTCTACGATCAAGGAGGCCGGCACCAACAAGGAAATCACCCAAAAGTATGACTACTTAGTTGCAAGCTCTGGGTTGAGACGAACTTGGCCGAGTGCGCCAGAATCCCGGAATAAGGATGACTATTTCAGGGAGGTAGAGGGACATATTGCGAAAACAAAGCTGGCCCAAGAGTCCGTCGTTGTCATCGGTGGTGGTGAGTTCCCCAATCCAATGAGATACACAGTGTTGGTATGTCTAATGAGGCATCACACATTAACTGGGGGAATAATTTCTACAGGAGCCGTCGGCATCGAAATAGCAAGCGAGTTGAAAGAGATGCATCCAAACCTAAAGGTCATCCTAATCCACTCAAGGGACAAGCTTCTGTCATCGGAGCCTCTTCCTGACGAATTCCGTGATCGGGCCCTCGAGCTACTCCATGATACTGGCGTCGAAACGATCATGGGCTCACGGGTAATCGACACAACCCAGGCTCAGCTAAACGGGAACATAACCCCAAGCTACACACTCACATTAGCAAACGGACGTACGGTAAAGGCAGGATACGTGATCAATGCCATATCGAAATACAGCCCAACAACCACATATCTGCCCAGCTCTGTGCTTGACAAAGAAGGCTATGTGAAAGTCAATCCAACGTAAGGAGCATCTCCCCACACAACTACGTGGACAACATAGGAGTTCATATCGCAACTAACATAATACCGATAGTCTAAACTTCATCGACGAAGTTCCTAATGCTCAATACCACTTCGCAGCGGGGGATCTGGCCCTGTTGTCTGGTATCAAAAGAGCCGGGCGGGCAATGTATCACGGGCACTACGCCGGGATGAACATTTACCAGCGGATGCTAAACGAACGATTCGGGACGCCGCCGAAATTTTCCGAAGTGGCACACTTGCCGCCGTCCATGGCGATAGCTGTGGGGAAGAATACTGTCGCCTGCGGCCCCGAAGGCGTGGTGTCAGGAGAGGAAATCGCGAAAGTTTATTTTGAAGATGACTTAGGATTTGGGAGTATGTCTTCGCCTCTCTTCTGTTTGCTGCGGATCGTGTCTACATATACGAGTGGTTTACTAATATTATAACAATAAATTAGTTTGCTGGAATTACCTAAAGCTCGGAGAGGCGGCGGAGTCTTGACGTTTGCGTTTATTCATGGGATGACTTAGGCTTGCTCTCTAGGCCCTATGGTGTTTTGGCGTCCAGGCGAGATATAATGATAGTCAGGGTATAGGTTTCATTATGTGAAGGGCTACATTTTATGGGATAATCAACGGGTCAATTAGAAATTGAATATATCAGTTTATGGTAAATAATTTTCTCTTTTCGTATCTTGGTGCTTCAAGAAATGTTTCCTGTTCTAGAAGTAGATATGTAGTTACGTTTGGAGATTTATTTTTGCCAATATAGGCATAGAATTTAATAATAAAGTAGTGTATAAAGGAGTATCTAGTAGCATTATTATTATAAAAGTTGTATCTGAAATTGTAACGAAATCGCCGTAGAACAAACTCTATGTTCGATGCAAAACGCGAAAAAGCTCAGTAATAAATCAACAGGTTAAAACTTTCGCCCAATATTACTCAAAGGCTTGATGCAATGCATTTATTTTATAGCTTTCGCTGCGCTCTGCTAACTCCGTATGTGTGCCTTGATCAGTGCATCTTCCATCCTCGATAAGGAAGATGACATCTGCTTTCCGAATCGTATAAAGCCTATGCGCGATGGCAATCACAGTCATGCCTTTGGTGGCTTTCTCTAAGCCGGCTTGGAGAAGCTGTTCAGATTCCGCATCAAGGGCACTCGTCGATTCGTCGAGTAGAAGGAGCTGAGGCTTCCGGACAAGAGCGCGGGCAATTGCGAGCCGCTGTTTCTGTCCACCTGAAAGCTGGTTTCCACCGGGTCCGCAGTTCGTGTCATACCCTTCCGGCAGACTAACAATGGTGTCGTGGATATTTGCCAACCGGCAGGCTTCTTCGATTTCTGCGTCTGTTGGCTCGTGACCAGGACGGGCTCCAAGCGCAATATTGAACCGGATGGTGCCTTCGAAAAGGACACTATCCTGTGGGACAAGGGCGATGTTATCGCGGAAAGATACACCCTCGCGGCTTGAGATATCCTGGCCATCAATGTGAACACTGCCCGAGTTTGGTGTATATAACCTCTCGATGAGTGATATGATCGTCGATTTGCCGGCGCCGCTTGGGCCAACTAGCGCGGCAAACTGGCCTGGTTTGATACGGATATTGAGCCCATGAAGAACCGGAACCTCTTGACGTGCTGGGTAGGAGAACTTCACGTTGTTGAGAGAAACACTGATCCCTCCATGGGCTGAATCGGGGCGATTCTCTTTTGAATCAGGGCTCGCTTCGAGGTCATTGAGGCCCCGCTCCAGCGGTTGAATCGGCCCAGAGAGTTTCTTGGTCGATCCAAGGTCAAGGAGGTTCATAATCCGAGCAAGCGCGGTGAACGCGCGTGTCACGTCGGGAGCAAGCGTGAACATCTGGCCCCAAAGCTGTGCGCTGACCAGGAGAGCCATGAGCACAATAAAGAACTGTTTCTGCGAGTATTCCCCGGCAATAATTCTCCTTGCGCCCCACCAGTAGGCAAGTGCATATAGGAAATTGCTCAGGCCGTACGCGATCGCCAGCCAAAGGTTGGCATAGGCGCTCTGTTGTGCAATTTCCTTGGTCGGCCCTTTCAGTGAGCGTCGATAGGTTCTCAAAATCTCATGTTCTAGGGAAAGAGAAGAAATAGTCTTGATCGAGTTGACGGCTTCAACTGTGATCCCGAGAGACTTCTCAAAGGCCTTTGAATGGCGTTCTTGGAAGCGTGCCATCGTCATCACTCGCATAACACCCGCACCCAGCATCAGAGGCACAACGGCCAGACAAACCAACGCAATCTTCCATGCAATCGCGTGGGATAATGCAATTGCTGCGACCACATTCACCAGTATAGCAATAATGGTACCTACTACGGACCCAGTGAGGCCGGACAGAGCATTACCATCCTGGGTGATGACCGAAAGTAAGAGAGTAGGACTTCTTCCATCTGACTGATGCCATTGCAAGTCCTGCTCCATGAGAGCCCTGAACGAGAGAACTCGAACTTTGTAGGTAATCTTTTCGGCCACCCAGCCGAATGCTGACCAGCTTCCCAGATTAGCGAAAAATTCGATGATAGCGAGGATGAAAAACATCAATCCGTAAAATCTGCCAGCAGACCTGATGGAATCTGCAGTTTCGCATGGACTCAGCGCGCCAATCGTGTTGCCGAAGATAATTGCAGAGGCGGAATATGTGCCTCCAACTACGAAAGCACAAGTCAATGCTACGAGAAGGAAGAGGATTTGCGGCCGGAACATTGGACCCAAGGCCTTCAGGGTTGACCATATCGATCGCTTCGCATTAATATCGCCGCAACTACCTTCATCCATCTGCGTGGATGTCTCCAAAGAGCGTTTTTCGTCAAGACTAGCTTCGCCGATATGTGGACTATCGCCAGCTTTCTCGGTCATGTTGTCCAATGAATCTTTTGCTACCGACGAGTCACTCGAGATATCCTCCTCTTCTTCCGGACGAACATTGAGATTCTGTAGACGCACTAGACCAGCGTATGCGCCATCTCTTGCTATCAGTTCTGAATGAGTTCCCTGCTCAACAACTTTTCCTTGGTTCATAACGATAATATTATCGGCGTTCTTGATTGTGGAGAGACGATGAGCAATTGATATTAACGTCCTCCCGCTCATTACTCTCTCAATTGCAGACTGGACGCGTTGTTGACTGGTAGAATCTAGAGCGGCGGTCGCTTCATCGAGAATCAGAAGTTTCGGTTCTTTAACCAAAGCTCGAGCAATGGAAATTCTTTGCTTCTGGCCTCCAGATATCAAACTACCACTCGAGCCGACTAGAGTGCCATAGCCATCCTTTAGACGGCGGATAAAAACACTCGCGTCAGCGAGATATGCCGCCTTTTCCACCAGTTCTATGATTTCGACAATATCTGGCCCACGAATCTCTGCTTCTTTTGCCAGATCCTGTCCATTCCTAACGGCGGCTGCAAGATCGGAAAGCTTGTTTCCAAGCAAGGCCGATGTCAAGTGAGAGTGGGTTGGGGAATTTATTAGCCCTAAAGCAATATTCTCAAGGATGGACCTGTCGAGTAACGATGGCTCTTGTTGGACAAGGCTGAGGTTGCTTCGTAAGAATCGAACGTTCAGATCTTGGATGTTGTGTCCGTCAAAAGATACTTCTCCGCTTGCTGGATCATATAGGCGTGTTATTAGGCCTGCAACAGTGGATTTCCCGCTCCCGGATAGACCAACGATTGCAGTGTGCTGTCCAGCTGCACAAGATATCGAGACATCCTGTAGTACAGGTTTGTCTGGCCGGGATGGAAAGGCAAAGGAAACATTTTTCAGCTCAATATTACCCGAAGCGCTAGGGAGAGACCTCCCGACGCCTTCGGCTGTGCCATCTATTTTCGGTTGTCGGTTGATATCGGCTTCTAATTTTTCGAAGGTAACTCCTGCAGCATCAAAGACTTGAACAAAAGGAGCGACCTGGCTAAGGATCAAAGTAGCTGTTAAAAAGTTAAGTTAGCATGGAGGATGCTGGGTGTTGGATACTGGATACACGAATGCGAATATCTCACCATCAACCAATAAGAAAATCACTGTGTATGTAGTCCCGACTGTTGATCCGGGAGTACCAGAGGCAACCGCATCCGCGATCGTTCTAGAGCCTTGCCAGAACGCCAGGGCATTTGCGGAGAACGCGATAAAATACAGCAATCCTGACTGAGTGGCAACAGAAAGTGCCTTCCTAATTCCAGCTGCCTTTGCATCTCCCAGCAGACCAGCGAATTTTGATTCCAGCTTTGCGTTTGCGGAGAAAGCATGCACAACTGTTGCGTTCGACAGTGATTCCATCGCAACAGAGGATGCCGCAGCAACGTTCTTCAACATGGCTGCTGCATACTTCTGAGTATAGTAGCCGCCAACGAGTGACATGAGCAGATAGGCTGGTGTCAAAGACACTAATTCTCCACCTAGCTTGGGATCTTTGATGAAAGCGATGATATAAGCTGTGATGAAAAATGACACGCTATTGAGGACAACGCCGACCTTCTCAGAGGTCCCTTGTTGAATCGTCGTTATGTCACCAGTGAGCCGGGAGGCGGCTTCTCCCGCTGGCATATCGTCGAAGAATGAGACATCCTGTCGTAATAAGCTTTTGAAATACCGCTCGCGAAGCCGTTGGGCCAGACGTTCACCGAACAAGTTCCACGAAGCGACATAGATATACACCAAGGCAAAGTAGGCTATTCCAATATAGACGACTTTGAGGACCTTTTCATTGACTTCTGCTTGAATCGCCGCGCCGAATTGAGAATCCACGCTACAGGACGCAGAATTCAGATTGTCAACCAATTGGCCGAATAGAATGCCCATAAGAGGGAATGGCACGCCTGATGCAATCGCGGCTAGCAGGCCGACTATAAGGAGAGTGAGGTCAACTTTCGTCGGCTCCGCATAAACCAGAAGGCGGACATATCTAGTCGCCCTTCTAATAAACTGTGTAGTCACCTCAATAGTTAGCCACGCGCTCGACAGATGTCGTTGAGAAGGCTATTCTTACCTTTCGACCTTTCGCAGTCTCAGAATCGCCAGCAGCTACTTTTTCTGATGCTTCAGCCATGTCTGCGTTTAGGGGCAAGAGAACTAAGTCCTTTGCCTAGCTACCGTGATTTACAAGGTGATGGATATTTTTTCCGCAAGCATAACACTAGCAAAGAAATGATTCATGGCGAGAACAGAACTTACTTCTTGGTAGAGCTTGATGTCATACCAAGATGAGTGAACTTGACTGCTCTGAAGACTTCCTCTCATTTCTTTATTTTCACTTTTTGTGGGTCAATTGCGCCAACACTCAAGGGGGGCTGAGTTAGCCTGTTGAATGGACCATTGGTATCTGCAAAACGGATCTTATCAGATTCGTATCACGCTAGTAAACACCTGTATGCCAAAATACGGCCGGCGGGAGAGAAGGAAACGCCGAAACGGCGAATACATCAATACATCCTCACGTTTTGTTGTTACACTATGCAAATGTTGATACCGCGTGTAACAACGGACCCACATAGGAAGGATCAGATAAGTTTAATACGCCCGGTACCGGAGATTGATTCATCTTATCAGATCAAATGATGTCTGCCAATCGCGGGCCAGGCAATGTCGCACTGGCCTGCCCCATAGCCCATAGACCATATCCACAATAGTATTACCTGCGTAGTGGCTTCTCGTTACTCAAATTTGTGGAGCTCTATGCTGATCGTGTTAGAAAACAACCCGCGAATTACAAGAAATAATAGAAGTTTTCCCTGGTAGGACTGTGGGCCTGTGGAGGCCTGTGGAGGCCTGTGGCATAATCGCTCACGCGCGATTAGAATTTTTTTCTTTTCTGTATGTAATTATAGTTCTTACAAGTCGTTATCATGCCTTACGAGACGGTTTGCAAAATGGCTCTTACAGGAGTTTAAAAACAGCCGTGCCAAGGATCACCAAACAAAACGTGGCGGAGCCCTGCTGTAAGTTTCTACTATTTCCTGACAGAACGATATGACCCATTCGATCTCTGCACCTAGGGATGCTCCTGTGGTGATGGCACAGAGGGGAGGAAGACTGAGCTGCAGCTTACGCGGAGCTATATTGACATTTGCGGGAAAAGACGAGAAAGGAAAAGTATAAAATTCACCCGCCGCAAACACTATTGGATCCGAAATGAAATACTCCCTTTAGAAATACCTGTCTATAGCTTGCGAGGGGATATATCTCGCCTCATGAAAGTAGCCCAGAAGACGACTCGCCATTGATCTCACAAATATTCTAACTGCATCATGAGTGAGCACTTAAATATTTGCGAAGGCGACAAGGTCAGCAATCATGCTCAATTGAATCGCTCTGCAAACGGCGGGGCAGATGGGGTTTCTACTGAGCATCCTCTCCTATTTCTCAACGGTTTTGAGGATCAGCTTGATCTCTTAGTTTTGGCATGGATTTTGCTCTTGTACCGTGGGAGCGGCCTCAGTGAAGATGGAGAATTCTCATGGAGTCTGAAGGCAACATCGATAGACAACCATTCGATTTTGGAAGCAGGGTTCTCAGGGAACGTCAATGAAATAGTATCGGCAGAGAGCGATCCCATCACAAAAGCACTCAACTCCATTCGCGCAAGACGGACCTCTACTTCTAGCAGTGCACATACGCCACTAGCAGATTACTCAATATCTTTCACGAACGCCGCTCGAACCTTGAGCGGTAGTACTGACGTAAGTTTCTTTAAATTTGACTCTGCCATTGATTCTCTCGGCTAAATCCAGTATGCAGGCGCCATTTTGCATAGAAATATTAGCATTGAACCCTACTTTGTTGATCAAACAACATGGACAGCATTCCACCCTATCCTCGCATGCTATCCGCGTTCAATGTTCTGGATTCATGGATATTCTCAACGCGATCCTCAAAAACCCGGATCAGGCAATTTCGCAAGCGATGCAGATTGGGGATCTTGAACTGCAACAACTATGGAAATGGAATGCCTCAGTGCCCCAAACAATTGATGATTGCATCCATGATATTTTTATGAAAAATGCGCGAAGGCATCCTAATCGTCAGGCGGTTGTCTCCTGGGATGGCGAGTTGTCTTATGGGGAGGTTGACCGGTTTTCGACGCTGCTAGCAATTCATCTCATTGAGTTGGGTGTTAAAATTGGGAAAGCTGTGCCACTTTGTTTCGAAAAGTCAAAGTGGACAGTAGTGGCAGTCCTCGCCATTATGAAGTCCGGGGGTACATTAGTTCTCACAGACCCGAGCCAACCTGAGGCCCGATTGCAGACCATAGCTACGGAAGTGGGTGCAGATCTGATGTTGACTTCGAAACAGCAAGAGGAGTTGGGACATAAGATTCTACCTCATGGAGTCGTGTTCGCTGTTAGCCACGATTTTTTCTCACAGAGACAACCGATCTCGTTGCCGTCTTCCGCCTTACCCTCCGTTCCCGGGTCATCTCCACTGTATATCATATTCACGTCAGGAAGTACAGGCAAGCCAAAGGGGGTGGTAATATCACACACGAACTATACCAGCGGTGCGTTGCCGAGAGCAAAAGCTGTAGGCTATGGCCCACACTCACGGGTGCTCGACTTTCCTTCATACGCGTTCGATGTCAGTATTGATTGCATGCTATGTACTCTCGCCCAAGGAGGGTGTGTCTGCGTACCATCCGAAGACGACCGGGTGAACAATCTCAGTGGAGCAATAAGAAATATGAAAGTCAACATGGCTCATATGACGCCGTCAGTTGCAAGGGTTCTCGAAGAAGATATTTTACCGTCCCTTGAGGTTCTTGGTCTTGGGGGGGAATCCGTTTCCATTCAAGATGCGGCAAAATGGGGAAAGTTAACAAAAATCATCATCGCTTATGGGCCTTCAGAGTGCACGGTTGGTTGCACAATTAACAATAACATTGCCCTCGATCGATCATATACTAGCATCGGCAAGGGTGTGGGTGGTGTTACATGGGTGGTCGATCCCGCCGACCATAATCGCCTGATGCCGATCGGAAGTATTGGTGAACTTATTATGGAGGGTCCGATTGTTGGACAGGGTTATCTTAACGACCCCGAAAGAACTGCGTCTGTTTTCATTGAAGACCCTACGTGGCTGCTTTCCGGTTGTAAGGGTTTCCCTGGAAGACATGGACGCTTCTATAAAACGGGAGATCTTGTCAAATATGACCCAGATGGCTCTGGCTCAATAATTTTTGTGGGTCGAGGTGACCAGCAAGTGAAGCTCAGAGGGCAGCGAGTAGAGCTAGGAGAGGTCGAACATCATTTACGAACAAGGCTGCCCGCTGGGACTGTTGTTGCTGCGGAAGTCATCACACCAGGAGGAAAAGGAGGTGAGCCAACCCTGGCTGCTTTTATCGCAGAGGAAAACTCGTCGCCGAGATCCCAGACCAATGGAGAAATAGCAACCTTCTCCGAACAGCTCCGCCAGGTCCTAGAGGTGATGGATAAGGAACTTGGAGCTGCCCTTCCCCGGTATATGGTGCCAGCAGCATATATCCCTCTATTTGAGATGCCGTTGTTAGTGTCGTGTAAAACAGATCGAAAGAAGCTGCGCAGCATTGGGTCCACCATGTCAAGAAAGGAGCTCATTAGGCTTAAAGCATCTTCATCACAAAAGAAAAAGCCGCAGTCAGAGATGGAACGAAAGTTAGAATATCTTTGGAAAGGTTTATTCGGTGCTGAAGCGGAGATCGACGTGCAGAGCAATTTTTTCGACTTAGGGGGCGATTCACTCATGGCCATGAAGCTGGTGGCCAGTGCACGTGCAGTCAACCTTCTCACCAGTGTAGCTGATATATTTCGGTACCCAACCCTATCAGACATGGCTCTGACCCTGACGCATGTTGATGCCGAAGCACAAAGCGAAGTACCGCCATTTTCACTCATCAACGCAGACTGGAAAGAGGAGGATGCGCGTATCCAAACGGCCGCACTCTGCGGAGTCGACGCCACATCAGTCATCGATGTCTACCCCTGTACACCACTGCAGGAAGGGTTGATGGCCCTTTCTGCCAAAATCAGCGAGGCATATGTTGCGCAGAGAGTTGTCGAGCTAGCAGATCTCCAAACCGCACAACGGCTCCAAAACGCATTTGAAACTGCGGTTGTTGACTCCCCTATATTACGCACACGAATAGTTCAAGTTCCCCGCCATGGTCTCATGCAGGTTGTTTTGAGAGATGGGATCTCATGGCGCTCAGGTGCGGACCTAGAGGAGTACCTGGTTAGAGACCGGAACGAATCAATGGGATTGGGCACACCACTAGTCCGTTTTGCAGTCACATCCAACAAAGCAACAGGTAAAGTCCATTTTGTTTTGACGATACACCATGCCTTGTACGATGGTTGGTCGATGCCATTGGTCGTCCGGCGCGTTAATAGGGCGTATAACAACCTGGAATCAGAAATTTCAATCGCTTTCAATTCCTTTATTAAATACCTCGGCAACCTCAACTACAAGGAATCCGAGACCTATTGGAAGGAACAACTACAAGGCGCCAATCACTTGCAGTTTCCAGCTCTCCCGCATGTTGGATACCAAACCCAGGCTCAGTCACTTCTGGAAGAGTATGTCCCGCTAGGCAAGACTCTGGCATCAAGTACAAGCATCGCGACCGCCATTAGAGCAGCTTGGGCTATAGTTGCAGGGAAATATACCGCATCCAACGATGTCGTGTTTGGAGAAACCCTTACTGGGAGAAATGCACCGGTTGTGGGTATTGAAAAGATCGAAGGCCCCATGATCACCACCGTGCCCGTCCGTGTACGGTGGGACCGGAATGCGCGTGTTGATGAGTATCTGCGAAGCGTTCACGACGACAGTATACTTCGTATTCCCCATGAGCACATGGGTCTACAGCATATCCGACGCCTGACCCCTGACGCGCGCGAAGCTTGTGAGTTGAGAACAGGTATTGTCATCCACCCAACCACAACAGAGGATGACACGAGCGTAACTGGGGAGGGGCCAGCTAATGGCTTTGTCCCAGCTGGAGACGAAGAGGCTGCTCGTGAAGCGTTAAAATTCAATACATATGCTCTCATGTTGGTTTGCTCGTTAGATCCCAAGGGCTTCCTGGTCATGGCCAGTTTTGATTCGGCAACAATTGACGTCGGCCAGATGGACAAGGTTCTGAAGCAATTTGGACAGACTGTGCAACGACTTTGTGAAAACCCGAATGCGCTTGTCGGCGATCTGTTGCCAATGACAGAAGACGATCTAGCGGGGATATGGCGTTTCAGCAATATCAAAAAGCCGAATAGTTTAAGTGAGGCAATCTTGGGTTACGACTATTCAAAGGCAACTGCAACTTGGATAGTTGACCCTCAAGACCCGGAACAGTTACTTCCACTTGGGGGAATAGGAGAGCTTATAATTGAGGGTCAATTCACATCATCCACTTCGTCCTATATCGACGGTACCAAATGGCTTGCTGCCGGTCATCGGGATATTCCAGGAAGGCGAGCGATGCTCTACAAAACAGGCCAGTTAGCCAAGTATAACGGAGATGGCTCGTTAGTCTTTAGAGGGAAAAAGGGCGACAATATCAAGCCTAACAAGGAAGCTAAGAAACCTGAAGCCAAAAATCAGTCGCAGATATCAACCCCAAAACAACGGAAATTGCAAAAGCTCTGGAGCCGTGTCCTTGGGATTAGCGAGGACGAGGTTGGTCCGGACGACAGTTTCTTCGACCTTGGCGGGGACTCTATTAGCGCTATGAAATTGGTTTCTGAGGGGAGAATGGAAAATCTCGAACTGAGTGTGATGCAAATCTTCCAGAATCGTAGTTTTCGCGATATGGCGGATATTGCGAAGGAGTCGCAACAGCTTCAGAAACCTACCAAACAATATATCCCATATTCAACGCTTGATGTCTCAGATATTGATACTTTCGTTTCTGAGTGCATTCTCCCATCACTTGCAAACTCAAGCTGGGAAGTAGTAGATGTCCTGCCTGCCCGCCCTCTCCAGGAAATCGCCGTAGATGGGACCATCAACCTTCCTCGATATTCTGCACGGTACGAACTATTTTACCTGGATTCAGCAGTCAACCGTTCGCGTCTGTTCGAAAGTTGTCGGGAGATCATATCCCGCAACGAAATTCTACGGACAATTTTCGTCAAGTCCGGAGGTTCTTGCTTCGGCGTCGTAATAAAGGAGCTACAGCTACCCCTAGTTGAATACGAAATAGACAGCGACTTAGTTGCTTTCTCCGAGCAGCTTTGCAATCTTGATGTGCAGACAGTGATGCCCCTCGGAACGCCCTTCATAAAATTCTTCTTTGTTCAGTGTTCAACCGGGCAAAGTTGCCTAATCATGCGGATTTCCCATGCTCAGTATGACGAAATCTGCCTCCCAATTTTACTCCGTCAGCTTTCCGCTTTGTACGAGGGCAAGCCGGTTCCTGAGGCCATACCATTCTCTTCCTTTGTCCACCACGTCGTCCGAGAGAACATCCCGCAAAGCATCGAATACTGGCGAAACCTACTCCGAGGCTCCTCCATGTCAACTCTGCGCCCGTCAACGCCTTTGGAGAGTAAAAAGTCGATCTTTATATCCAAACCTTTTGATATCTCAACCCGGTCCAAAGAAATCACGCTTGCCACTATCCCTTCTGCAGCATGGGCACTATGTTTGGCTCGCCGTTTGTCCGTTCGTGACGTAACATTCGGTGAAGTGGTCAGCGGCCGCAACATCGATCTCCCCAACTGTGACATTGTGATGGGACCAACTTGGCAGTATGTTCCGTTACGTGTAAAGTTCGAGCCTGGCTGGACGGCAATCGACCTTCTCAACTTCGTGCAACACCAGCACATTTCAAGCGCGCAGTTCGAAGGAATCGGCCTCAAGGAAATCGTCCGGAACTGCACAGACTGGCCCGAGACGGTGGATTGGTTTGACACTGTGGTGCACCAAGATGTTGAGCATGTCGAAAATCTAGCGTTTTTATCAGCCAATAGCCGAATGGAGACGATATATCCACACCTCGAGCCGCTTCGTGAGTGGAAGGTACAGGCCTTCCCGAAAGGAGACAGCTTATGTATCGAGATCGTCACGTTCGAGTCCTGGCGCGCGGAGGCCGACTCTATCCTCAACGAAATGGGTGACATTATCTCGCAACTAGTGACAAAACCGGATTCCGCCCTATTCTAGACAGAAAAGAAGGAAGAAAGTCTTCCGCCGCGACCCTATGGAACTTTCTATCATGCCTTAGGAAATGGCTAAGATAGACACAGAGACGCTGCTGCACAGTCGCTTGGGGTTAGTCCATAGCCGTTTCCATTGGATATTTGAAATCTAGGTATGGCATAGGTGGTCAGCACGCGTGTATCTCCTCTTTCTATTTCCTCTATTTATCATGTTTCTATTTCTAAGGGGTATTTTGTTCGAATAAAGAAAAGGAAATACGAGTTTCGGGATTTGATTATGTTATGTTTTAAAAATTTACTCACAATTGTTTCCGTTTCACGCTTGTTAAAAGTCTATGATATATTTCGAGTAGCAGACCATTGAATATCACTCCATTCTATTACATTTTCCCTGTAAAGAAAGTCCTGTGAGCTGATAATAACCGACCTCCAGATGCCTGAGCTTCCAATTAACGTAGTAGAAATAGAATTCTGGGACCAAATGCAAACGGTTTAGAAACCCAAACTCGATCCATGCCTCTACTCAATAAATTAAGACATCTCTAAGTTCCAAGCGTGCAAAACGCAATTAAACGCAAAAAAAGACGAAGAAGGGAAAAGCAGACAAGAAACAGGGTTGGGAGTATTGAGAAATAATACACATCAATAGTCTACTTAACTTCTAACGACGAACGAGGCCTTGAGTCGAATTGGTATACATTTCCAGCTCTTCCTGGGGGTCATACAGTTTTCTTTTATCCCTCACGAACAACCCTTTGAAATCAAGCGGGTCCAGTATCTTCTGCAACAGGGGACGCGAATCGTTGAAAGCGCCCTCGATTGCTTCGTTTGCTCTCTCCTGCCCATCACGACCCACATACACCCGCGAGTCGATTGGGAGAATATGGCCAGGGTGGAAGATATTGAACATTGCGGTGTTAAGTAGCATCACAAGCGCCTCACAGATGAGGAAGGGATGCTCCGCTGTTCGAAATGAGTGGCCCTCCGGGACAAATGTTTCTAGAAGCAGAAGAGGTCAGCCCAGAATGACGGCAGCATGAGAGTAAAAGCAACAGTACAAACTGGAAAAAAAATATATATATATATACCTGCGATATGGTACGCAGATCGTATAATAATGAAAACCGACGAGGTGTAAAGAGAGTACACCACCGTCATGAACCTTCTCCCCGTACCACCATCCGAGGTAACGGACCACTTTGCACGCACTTCACGGACTCGGACATGAAATAATGTCAAAACAGCCACAAACACTGCGAACAAGGTCACCTGGATAATCATAGCAACTCGAACCAAGTTTAACCCAACTTTAAAACGAGCGGCCGTGTCGGTATCAGCACCCGCAAGTAGACCGGCACCAGCCCAGACGCATACTTCCGCCAGGACGTCAAATACGATAAACGTGCGGACGACCCTAATCGGAGACATTGGAGCGGCGGATGGGACAAAGCTAAATAGCCGTCCGCAGATGAAATAATCTGCGCCAGCATACGTCGGCCCAGCGCCAAGAATGAACATAGTGGAGATTGTGTAGAGGGATTTCACATTCCCCTTATCAGAAGCGAGAAGCGAGCGCTGGAGAAAGCCGATTGCTGAAAATATGGCGCCTAACGTCAATGGAATTGTGAATTTCTGTGGTTTCGATGTCCTGGAAGGAGGTCAGGATGAGAAAGCCCGAGTATGTATTTTTTTTTGATCGTTGGTAGAAGGATGGTCTCACCTATACTGCAATTCATGCAATGCTGCAGAAAATGCATAGGCCGCGGTAAAGAAAATAGCCACACCTTTGTTTGGAGAGTAGTGGTATAAATCTGCGTGAGCGGGCGTTAGGAGAGAAGTAAGACCCTGCGTTGGGGTGAGTAAGTATTTACCTTCTGCTGTAAGCTCTGATGACATGGTTGCTCTAAATGATATTGATATGAGAAAATAACTCCCGCTAGGGGTCGTAAAATAACAAGCCCTTTTGTCATTTTTAAGAAATCCTGAGAAGGTCAGAGGCCGTCCCATCCCATCGCCTTTATACCGTTCTGCCCATGGTCAAGCCCCGCGAGCAGCCCCTGACAAGAAACATAGATGCTGCGCCCATTCTCTTCACCAGGAAATTTACCACTTCTGGGGAATGTTTCGAAAATCATACTGCCATATTTCCTCGACCCACAAATGCTGATGGTTGTGTTGCGGCGTCGCCTGTTTCTGATGCTGTAGTGCGCTATTTGCAGCGATGGCGATGTCAGAGAAAGGAGAAGCTCGATACCCGATTAGGAAATAAGCGTGGCCAAGACATCTGCGGATGCCAAGAAAGGATTGGAAATCGCCTAAACGGGAATAGCGGTCGATCATCCATTTCAGCCGCCATTGAGATGACTTGACATAGCACAACTTCAGACTTGTTCATCTATGGATGTATCTCGGATAGGACTTATAACCAATGCAATTAACAGAGCCTGTTGTGCTTAGTTTATTAAGCCTTTCGGCACCGCTTAGGGCAGTAGCAGCAATACTGCAGAGCTGTGGCTGTTGGATTAGCAGCGATCCTTCTAATATGTGGAACAGCCAGCTGGGGCAGAGAGATATTGCAGCGCCTGAATCCACTTCAGGGCAAATGAATAAGTGAAAGGACAATCACCAGATACACCAAGCCCCATGTGTTCAAAAGGAAGTCAAGTTCATTTGACAAGGTGGGAAGCGAAACACATCTGTCCCAACCTCCACGCTGCTTTGAAGCTGACGATGGGTAACTTGAACTTGGCAAAAAGGAGGGTTAGAATAAGGGAGATGAACAGCGCAACCCCCATTTCCCAATGAAATAAATCTCTTGAAGATAAATCTTTGGATTAATTGTTGCCTATTGAAAAGCAGTAGAGGGGAATCAGCATTGATGTCTCTGAAACTACACATACAAACAAATCTACATCTTAATACACAAGTTGTATAGGGCAGCAAGAATGAAGGGGATTGCACTATTATGTCTGTCTATAAGATAAGGGAATATATCTCAACTGCGTTGCCGTGCCACGGGGACTTATTAGCCACAAAGAGAGAATATCATAGGTATAGATTAGGAGCGAGAAACTGCTCCTATCACAGCTAAAAGGCATTCTTAGGTGCAATGCTGGCAAGGCCGCTTTCTCACACACTTCAGCGGGCGGACTTCGGGAGCAGAATCGTAGCTCCACAGGGGCGAGGGCAGCAAAGACTTCGGACGTCCTATGACTTCTATGAGTTGCTGGTGAAATCGCGTCAAAGTAGCCGAGCCAAAAGACCTCCGAGTCGCCAAGCCCAAGAGCGTTTCTCACAAACTGCTCTCCCAAAACTCCAAGTCGTCAATTATGAGAGCCACCAAATCGAAAGTTGTGGCACAGGAAAAAAAAAAAAAAAAAAAAAAAACCCACGGAAGAACCTCATCAGCGGGGAGCGAGACTCTTGGGATAAACCGTGGGCAGGAGGAAATACTCCAGTCTCGGGTTGGGAACGTGGATACATGTTCGTTACCCGGTATCCGATACATACGCCCAAGGGATTGATATCAACGGTATGGTATGACAATACAGATATGTATATTGTATTGTATTTAACTGTATTTTAACTCACGCTATACGAACTATATATACTACATCAATCTTATCAATCAGCCACCTGCAAAATATGCAATGCCCTATCCTAACCACGAACAGTAACTACCCAAAAGCGAGCCATGGTCGGATCAGCAAATAGCTTGCTGTCGGAGATATCGGACCACTTCGAGCGACCTTGTTTTAAAAAGTGATTCCTCCCATCACCTACCCTACCTCTGTTGCTGAGCTGCCTCTTGATACAATCACCTTTCACCACCTTTCGTTTCCACGCTCCCTCTCCCTCTTCCTCCTCCTCCTTCTCCCTGTTGTAACTCCAAAGCGTTGTCACTATGCGGAGAACTTTCCTCTCCAAGCTTCAGACTCATGCGCCTATCGAGGAGAAGCAGCATGCAAGTAGTGTAGAGGACAAGGAAATAGGTGGTGCGCTTGTAGGCCAAGCGATTACGAGCGACACCGACGAGAGTCTTTCTGCAGATGCCCAAGATGGTGTACGCAAAATCCAGGCCACCACCCAGGTCTGGAGCAGAAGACATCTCATCTTTGCATATGTCATGTATGTTCGAACGTCCTGTCCATCCCCTCTGCCGTCTCTAACACCTCACGCCGCCATCATCGGCCCGAGGCAGGGCTAAAACGTACATAATAATAATAGGATATGGGTTATCGCGTTTGTCGACACCATGCAGCAGGGAATGTCCAATTCTCTCCTCCCATATGTCACGAGTAGTTTTCAGCTGCACTCGTTGACGGCTGCAACGGGGATAATGTCGAGTATCATCGGTGGTCTGATCAGGTTGCCCCTTGCGAAAGTCCTCGATATCTGGGGTCGACCGCAGGGCTTCCTAATCATGGTAGGAACGCTGACCATCGGTCTTATCATGATGGCTGCGTGTAACAACGTCCAAACCTATGCTGCTGCCCAAGTGTTCTACTGGGTCGGGTATGTATACTCTACCAGTTTTGACTGTTATTATTTTGTTAGAAGCTAATCCACCGTTCCGCGCTTTTCACAGATACAATGGGATGACTTACACAATAAGCATTTTCATTGCCGATACGTCTGCATTGAAAAACCGAGCCCTGATGTTTGCGTTTGTTTCCTCACCTTATATAGCTACTGTCTGGATTGGCGGACCGCTTGCAACTGCCTTCCTGAATGGCCCCGGCTTCAGGTGGGGATATGGTGCTTTTGCCATTATTACCCCTATCATCACTCTCCCTCTGTACGGGGTGTTTGCCTGGAACTATAAAAAAGCGAAGGATTCAGGCTTGTTGTCTGAAAAAGAACGTACCCGTACATTCTCCCAGTCGTGCAAGTATTATTTTATCGAATTCGATGTTATCGGGATCCTTCTCTTGGCTGGCGGATTGGCTCTTTTTCTCCTCCCATTCAGCCTTTACTCTTATCAAGAAGATCGGTGGAGGTCAAGTCTGGTCATTAGCATGATCATTATCGGTGGTCTCCTCCTCGTCGCTTTCGCACTATATGAGAAGTACCTGGCACCCGTCTGCTTCATCCCATTCGGGCTTCTTTTCGATCGAACTGTGCTAGGCGCCTGTATTCTTGCAGGAAGCTTGTTTATTAGCTTCTTCATCTGGGACAGTTACTTCCCCTCTTTCCTCCAAGTCGTCAACAACTTATCAATCACCCAAGCAAGCTATATCGTTAATATCTACAGTATCGGCTCCTGCTTTTGGTCCATCGTTGTAGGTATCTTGGTGCGGTGGACTGGACGCTTTAAATGGCTTGCGCTCTATTTCGGTGTGCCTCTTACTATTCTCGGCGTCGGTCTCATGATCGCCTTCCGCCAGCCGGATGTCAACATCGGATATATTATTATGTGCCAGATTTTCATCGCTTTCGCTGGCGGAACGTTGGTGATCACAGAACAAATGGCTGCGATGGCCGCCACATCCCATCAATACGTCGCCGTCGTTCTCGCCGTTGAAGCCATGTTTGCAAGCATTGGTGGTGCGATTGGTCAAACTGTTGCTGCTGCGATCTGGACCGGAGTATTCCCCCAAAGATTGGCTGAGTACCTACCTGAGGAGGCCAAGGCCAACGCCACTCTCATCTACGGGGACCTCAGGGTACAAAAGTCGTATCCAGTTGGAAGTCTTGAAAGGATTGCTATTAACAGAGCCTATGGCGATGGGCAAAAATACATGCTTATCGGTGGTACCGCGATCTTGGCTGTCTCTCTTGGAGCTACCATGATGTGGAGGGATATTAAGGTTAAAGATTTCAAGCAAGTCAAGGGCCTTGTTGTTTAGAGCGCTCCGTGTATGTTTTTATGATATTCTGGTAAACTGCTTGCACGTCTGGTGCGCTAGCATTGCAGCACAATGCAATGCCTTTTAGCCGTTGGGCACATGGTGAGGGGTAAATTGGCCAGGGAAATGATGGAGAAATGGGAGTAAATGGACGGGGGTTTGGGAAATATCGGCGCACAGCTTTTCGGTGGCTCTGTTTTCGTTCCCTTAATTCATTAAAGTCAAGAAGAATCTATTTTCTCACTTCTGTGAATTTCTCGTCCTTTTTTAATCGCCTTTCGGGTTTCAGATAAGTTATTTTTAGTACAAGTTCGGAGTACTGTACTATGAGATAGGATAGGCGGCGCTTCACCATTGATGTCATCCTTTCTCTCAATCGAAGTCCAACGCCCGGGTGGTAGTTGTTCCGTGGATGGGGTTCGCTACGGGAATTTCCATTTATTAAGGTTGAAAAATCCGACACCGAGCCATTATCTCTCAGTTTTATAACATGAAGGAATAACATCATCTACTTTCAATATCTTCCCCATCTCAACATCGCGGTACCTATACCTCTCTCTCTACGGTAGAGCAATTCGTTTTCACAAATTCGGTGGCAAATTCGGACCCATACGGAGTAAATAAAGTCTAATCACATATTAATTTCTTTTTTCAAGAAAGTACCAATTAAATCCCGCAACAGGGGAATACCAAACAACAAAAATGGGTCTAATCGCTCTTCCCGCCACGATCTCCGACATCACCTCAGTCTACGATGTCTACTTTGCCGCGTTCAAGGACGACATCATCATCGAAATCCTGTACCCGCGTGGCGTGGACGCCGAGCTGCGCAAGGAACATACAGCCAAAACATTACAATGGTGGCACGGCCTCACAGTGACACATACATTGAAATGTGTAGATACCGACACTGGCAAAATTGTCGGCATGGCAGTTTGGGATGTATACTGGCGGGGGAAGACCGATGAGGAGCGGAAGAAGCCAACCATCCCGTGGCTAGAGGGGGCAGAGAAGGAGAGGGCCGAAGCATTCCTTGGGGCTTTGTGGGAAATGAGGGAAAAGTGGTTGGGCGGGAGGAGACATGTTTGTGAGTGAAAATCCCATTCCCTTCCGCGCCGTTTAAGTACTTGTTACTGTACATCCATACGCTTTTAAGAAACACTTGTACAAACTAACCTACCCACAAGACTGCGCCCTCCTCGCAGTGCACCCAGAGCACCAACATCGCGGCATCGGGAAGCTGCTGATGGACTGGGGCCTGGACATCGGTGAGAAGCTGCAGTTGCCAGTGTACCTCGAATCCACTAAGGCCGGAGTGCCATTGTATACGAAGCTTGGGTTTGAGAGGCTGTCTAAGGGCGCCCTGTTGAAGGCGGAAGTGACTCACTTTTCCTCCGATATCGAGGCTCCCCTGATGGCCAAGATGCCGTCAGCGGCCCGAGGGATGATGTTTGAAGAATGGGCGCAAAAAGGATACCCGCCGTTCGGCTGAGTGTCGAGGCTCTATTTGGCTTTTTGGTGTGGCTTATTTTAGTTTACCAAGAGTGCAAGCTAGCGGGGGTTCTAAGGGACAAGCAGATCCGGTGGTTCATTTGTATATATTATTTTAACCGTAGAGTATCATGATACTTGGCATGGATTCATACACGGATTGTATGGAACAAGTACAGGCCTTTTTATCGCTGTAGTCTCTCGGTTGCGGCCCACTATGATTGGGTCAGGTGGCGGGGGAAAACTACTGTAACTACTATACAATGGAAATGCCTCAACTTTAACTTTTACCACGCGAGAAGGGCAAGAGGAATTTCCCCTGCACTCTCACGCAAGGAAGCAAGGATTTCCAGCCCCAAAGGAAAGGCGGTCTATGAGGGGTCGGAGCGCGAGCGGAATAACGAAGAAAAGAGAATAAAAACAACACCCAAGGTCCCCAGCACGCTAGAAAACAGAAAAAGAAAATATGATACAGCTGAGCGTTGCATTAGAGTTATCAGATCCGTTGTGCAAAAACCTTGTTTTCATTTCAGATCAGATAACGAACGAGCTGTAAGCATACGTACAGTATGAATGTAGCTTACAAAACATCGTAACAGACAAGTAACCATGGTACAGTACATGTATTCCGCAACCCCGAGAGCGCAACGAGAGGAAACATAGCCATGGGATAGGATGAACAATATCAATAAAAGTTTACTCCTGAAAAAAAAGGGCTGATTTACTAAGTCTCCCTATCTCCTGTTCCTGCAGGCTCGAGTGATCGTGTAATTTTTGGCTAGTTTCTCGCCTTCAAAGAAACAAGACAGGTCTTGGTGGATCAGTATAATGCGACTAGGGATTGTGATAAACCAATATCCGCATATGCACATGCCAATGCTATAACTTTTTGTCCATTTTGCGACCTCAGAAAGCCAATTCAATATTATTTATACATGCGGACGTACATAATAGAAGACAATTGAGATCATGACCATTCCAATCAGCATACCACAGTTCGAATATGCCCCGGTGAAGACGACATGGCTGACGCGCGACGTGCTTCTTTTCGCCAACTCAATTGGCTGCGAAGCAAGGAATGGGCTTCATTTTCTTTATGTACGCATTATATGATATAGGATATCCCAATTGAAAAAAATGAAAATGAAAAGAAAAAAAAAAAGAGAGTAATACCATTCCTGATGCTAATTCTGACTCTCAGGAACTACACCCAAATTTCCAAGTCTTCCCCACGTATCCCATTGTGCTAAGTATGTCATCTTCTTTCCTTGCCTACGGAGATAATCTATATATCATATATTAAATGCCAGTACCAGCCTTCAAGCACGCCGATGTAGACACCGTTGACTTCCTCGCGCGAAATGCGGCGCGAACCTTACCTCCCGGCTGCCCCAAATTAGACTGGGGTGTAGCCGTCGATGGGAGGCGACGGATGGAGTTCCTACGGCCCCTTCCGCCATCCAGCGACGGGAATACGTGGGAGATCCATTCGAAAGTCCTAGGAGTGTTCGATAAGGGCGTCGGGAAAGGAACTGTGATGGAGATGGAGCATGTGCTAAAGCAACGGGAGAGTGGGCAGGTGTATACTCGCGCTTGGGAGAGTGCATTCTTCAAGGGAACCGGCGGTTGGGGCGGGGAGAGAGGTGAAGGCTGCCCCTTTCCAGTTTCTTTCTTTCTTTCTGCTAGATTTCTAAGGCCCATTGGTTCTACTTTTACAGTGTGGTGTGGAATGCCGGATACATGGATGACAGAAAGCTTTGCTTTTACTAATTGAGAGAACTTCCAGGTCCGAAAATTAAGGGGTACCCTCCTCCAAGTCCAGCAAGAGAGCCAGACGCAGTGTCAACCTTCCAAACTAACACAGAATCTGCACATTTGTATCGGTAAGACATCCTATTGCTGCTTCTTTACCTGAGCACTTGGAGCCTTGGTTGTATTTTAGGTAATGTCTCTAAGCACTATCATTTTCTACGAATTTAGACTGAACGGCGACTACAACCCGCTTCACGCCACTCCGGAGTCCGGGAAAGCGCTGGGATATGGTGGTATAATCATGCATGGACTCTTCAGCTGGAACGTTGCAGCCAGAGAAGTGTTATCTCGGTTTTGCGGTAGTGAGGGCTGGCGTCTTCGCGACTTTGAAGCGAGGTTCGTAGCACCCGTTAAACCGGGGGATAAGCTGCATATCCTCATGTGGGATATGGGGTTGTGGAAAGGAGCAGCAGCCGTAGACCAAAACGCCGAAAGACTGCGAGAGGTAAGATTTGTGGTGAAGGTTGGTGACAGGGTCGTATTGTCACATGGAAGAGCATTGGTGAAGGAGGATGATCAGGTAGAGGATGTAAATAAGCCTAAGTTATAGATGTATAAATAGTGCAGGAAAAATAACAGGCTAGGAAGGTTTAATAAAACAAAAAAAACATCTAGCAAGCAATATACATGTCTATATTAACATAAAAGACACTGCATACAAGAAAGAAAAAAAGCTCAAGTTCATCCAAGCCGCCCCATTTAATTGTGTGCGATTAACGCCCCCCGGTATATGTAATTTTTTTTTAAGTTCAAACGCAAAACAAAAGCGGTAGGAATCATCAATAATTAATGCGTTTTCAGGTCGCCGTAGTTTCTTTGACAAAAGAGGCAACATATTTTTCGCTCCAACACTCGTTTTCTCACAAATCAACCGCCGAATGGAAAATTTATGCGAAAGCTAATGATGTGTTTCCTCTAAAAACTGGTTCCAGAACGTCATACTAGGTACCGATTTTCTAAAGCCGTGCGTAATCTGCACCTCGTTTACTGCAAGCAAGTATAGAATCAAGCAGTTCGCTGCTGCGTACCGCAAGGATTGATAGAAGACTGTCGCTCAACTGCACAAGATTAATTGTCAGTACAAAATCGGGATGGAAATCCAATTTTCTTTCTTTTTTTTTTCTTTTGGGGGGGGGGGGGATTTAACATACACCATGGCTGCTTTCACAACACCCCTGGAGCCAGATACCAGCATCACGTTTGATTTTTCCTTGGTGAAACCGTAACCGATAGTCCCGATCTGTTTGGAATTTGTCTCCATTTGCTGGAGCCTCAACAATTTGTACCAAGGGTTTGAGCATCGTAGCAATTGGGTTACGTTTATATCCCGTAGCAAGAACCACTAAGTCATATACCTCGCCCGAGGATTCGACCTGCCCAGATTGTGTGTCCTTGAGCCGAAGCTCTACCTGATTGTTTGGCAATTCCTCCAAGCCCACAACCTCGCGGCTGGTAACCAGGCGAAGTGGCCAATTAGAAGGGTTGGGATCCAGGACTTTCTGGCGATATAACTTGCCATATACTGATTCTAGAAGTGGCAGTCGGACAACACCGTAGTTGGTTGCCTTGTTCTCGAGAAGAGACTGTTGACGTGCTGAGTGGTTTAAAGAATAAAACTTATCGACACTGCGTGGGTCGAAAATTTCATTGACACTGTCGAATTTGAGAGTCATGTTAGAGTTTTTTTCCTGTCAACATTAAAGGTGGGAAATTGGCTTACAATGGGCTGTCATCGCTGGGCTTTAGTGCCGAAGCTTTCGTAATGAGGGTGACTTTAGAATTGGGATATCTCGATTGTATGTCCTCGGAAATTTCCACTGCGCTCTGGCCCCCACCAACGACGGCAAAACGGTAAGAACCATTTCTTTCTTGGAGAAGCTTTTGTACAGAATATAGATAGATAGAGGAATGGATAACAGTTTTGGGTAGGGGTTGCGTAGAAAGTCCCGGCGGAATTGCTTGTTCCCCTCCACTCGCCACAATGACGTGCTTGGCAGCCAGCTCTCGAAGCTTCCCGGAACGAACATCACGGGCCATCAGTTTGAAATATTCGGCAGGCCAGCCGGGCGTCGCTGCGACAGCAGTAACACTGACTACCTCTTGATTATACTGGACCCAATCGTTAAAATGGGACGCGCACCATTTCATGTAGTCATTGAACTCTTCGCGGAAAGGCAAATGGGTAGAGAGGTTCGTGAAATGGATGAGACGGTCCTTCTGGTGTAAGTAGTTGAGGAAGGTGAAGTGAGAGCGGGGGTTTCGTAGAGTAGCTAGGTCTTTGATAAACGAAATTTGCATTTTGCTCCCGGGAAGTAACATGCCCGTGTGCCAGCCAAATTCTGGTTGCCTCTCCAAGAATAGCACGCGACGCTCAATCCCGCGGTCCCGCATAGCAATTGCTATGGCGAGGGCTGCAGGCCCGAACCCAACACAGATTATATCATGTTGAAATCCCCCATTCGAACTACTCCCCGCATTGCTGTTCTCTTGCATGATAGCCGCTTCCCGGCCGTGGGAATTGTCGTTCTTGAGTACTGTCTCCATTGAGAAGACGATGGCGACGTTGGTAGCGGACGTGACGGGAGTAAATGATACAGGGAGGCTCAAAGAGGGGAGAAGGATAATACAAAAGAGGAGAAGATTCTAAGGGAAGGGAAGAAAATCAGTAGGGAATACCAAAATTTAAGAGAACTTTGTTCAAATAGGTGAAGACACCGTTCCCAGCAGATTGGCACCGCCGGGTTGGGGTATTATTATAGAAAGGCACGCATCTGTTTACCTGCGAAAGATCAGCCCACTTGTTGGGGGAAACACAACTGAGGTTGTTCTGTCCCACAACGATGAACCTTGCCAAACAAGAAAAGTAGCTAGGGATGAGACGTTGAAGTGGCCTGAAGCCTGAACACGGGGACAAAGCGGGAAACCGTTAGTCTCAGCCAAATACATGTCGTCACGGACCCGAATACGCTCCAACCTTTGCGGAGGCCGTAACGCCGAATTCGGTGTATTTCAGAGCTTGTAACGCTCCAGTGTAAATTTCGCCGATGGGACTGATAAGATTATCTGATTGATTAGATTTCCTGGCCCACCCACCCACGAAAAGCGAAAAAGGGATTAACATCTAGGTCCACTGTACTCCGTAGCATTCCACCTGCTCACTCGGTTAAAGGAAATCCCTTTTTTGCAACTCGTATAAATAACAAGCACGTAATATTTGCATTTATGTGCGGTATTCGTATATCGTCGGCGGAGTAGCGAGATCGGAATGACTTCGGAAGGTTTCGTTTCTCGCCCTGAATCCGAACCAGCTGTATGGGACGGGCTGGACTGGTCGCATTACTTCATAACGGGTTCCAGCAATTTCTAAAAAAGAAAAGAATATAATATATGCTAGGGTTTATCAAAGTGGACTTCTGTTCTTCGAAGCATTTGGCGGCATGTTTAGTGTCGAGTATTCAATGCCCAATTGTCAATAATGGCGACTATATCGAATGATACGCCTCTCTGGAGGCTGCAACAGACATTAAATCACATCCTGCCGCAATCCGTTCACAAAGATGAAGAAAACCTAGCTATCGTTCACGGACCCACCCAGCCAGCGCTCTGGGAGATGACATTAGGCGAATTGTTAGAATTCCAGTGTTTGCGGTATCGTGACTTAGAATGTGTTGTTGTTCCCTGGACGGGGGCGCGATGGACGTATGGTCAACTCGAGCATGAGAGTAGCCGCCTTGCGCGTGGCCTTTTGGCAAAAGGAATTCAACGCGGAGATAGAATTGGGGTTATGGCAGGCAATTGCGAGGAATATGTGTCTCTGTTTTTCGCCGCTGCCCGGGTTGGCGCAATCCTGGTAGTCATCAACAACACCTATACGCATGCTGAGTTGATGTATGCTCTTAACCACACAGGTACGTTTTTGTTGCCTTTTCTCTTGATACGTTTCCTTAAAATCTAGGCCATAATGACTGATGGGTAATAGCGTGCAAATTGCTCTTCATTGTTCCTCGGATCGGCCGACACGATCTTGAGAAGGCATTGGAAGACCTTGACTCTCCCGATATTTCACAACGACTTCCAAGTCTTGAGGAAACGGTGATGATTCAAGGGCACTTTAGAAACTTCGGAACATATGAAGATGTTGTTCTTGCCGGAAACTCCGTTCCCTTGAATGCGGTTCAGCGACGACAAGACACCTTATCGCCATTCGACGTCTGCAATCTGCAGTTCACGAGTGGTTCAACTGGAAACCCAAAAGCTTCCATGCTAACACATCAGTGAGACTGCTTTTTCCTTGCGTTGAATCAATTCAGAGATGCTGATTTATGCATAGCAATTTGATCAATAACTCGCGATTCATCGGTGATCGGATGGACTTTACTCAGTACGACATACTCTGCTGTCCGCCACCATTATTTCATTGTTTTGGGCTAGTCCTAGGGCTCCTCGCCTGCATCACGCACGGGTCCAAGGTCGTGTATCCAGCCGAAACCTTTGACCCCGAAGCAGTATTGAGAGCGATATCAGAGGAGAGGTGCACTGCACTACATGGAGTGCCCACAATGTTCGAAGCAATCTTGGCACTCCCAAGACCCGATTCATTTGACTCCTCACAACTCCGGACAGGCATCATCGCAGGTGCGCCAGTGCCGCGGTCACTTATGAAACGGCTATGGAATGAGCTCAATATGACTGAGTTCACGAGCAGCTATGGGCTGACCGAGGCTTCTCCAACATGCTTCAACGCATTCACCAGCGACTCAATTGATACCCGGCTCACGACCGTCGGCAAAGTGCTACCGCATGCTAGGGCCAAAATCATTAATCCCGAAACAGGGGAGACTGTGAAAATTGGGGAGCGAGGAGAACTCTGTATGTCTGGCTATCAAGTTCATAAAGGATACTGGGACAATCCAGAAAAATCTGCCGAGACATTGCTAGAAGATGAGGATGGCACGATTTGGTTGCGGACTGGTGACGAGGCGGTGTTCAATTCAGATGGGTATTGCAGCATCACCGGGCGCTACAAGGACATCATTATTAGGGGAGGAGAAAACATCTATCCTCTCGAAATTGAGGAACGCCTCACAGCACATCCAGCTATCTCGCGAGCTGCAGTGGTTGGGCTACCCAATAAGCATTACGGGGAAGTTGTCAGCGCGTTCTTGGTGCTTAAAACTGGGCATACTTGCCCACCTGAGGAAGAAATAAGGAATTGGACGCGGCAGACGCTCGGAAGACATAAGGCTCCCAAGCATGTGTTTGTGTTTGGCTTGGATCCAAGACTCCCGGCGGATATGCCACAGACTGGAAGCGGGAAGATTCAAAAGCAAATACTAAGGGATCTGGGAAAGAAATTGGTTGAGGACTGGCGTGCAGGTTAACGCATATATAATGTACTGTACATGCATACACACTTTATAGACCGAAAGTATCCAGTATCGTCCAAAGTAGAACTTATCTCAGGATTTCAAACAGGTCTCTGTCTTCAAAACGAGACAATCCGAAGCCAGACGCTCCAAAGTTTGAGGCTGGGTGAGGCTGATAACTTAAGTTAATACTGATTACATAAACGGCAACTTTTTTAAAGAGATCTCGGGATGGAGACAGAGCAGAGAACAATAAATCACATAAATCTATTTAACCATAATTCAATCCCAGCCTAACAGCCTTACGAATCTTACAATTTACTTTTGCTCTGCTTCGCCGTCCCATTGCTAGTCACACTTCCGAAATTCACCACCTCGAAAAACCGCACCCGCTCGCACCTCACCATGGCAGACCTCTTGTGAGGCAGGTCTCCCCATTTGTGAACGTGGAAGCCATGCGCGGCATCATATCCTAACACGGGCCCATTGGCTGCGTTCGGTTCCCCGACTACACATGTCGTGCGAGGTTCATCAAGAAATATGTAATGAATCAGACTGGTCCACCATGCCGTTGCCCGATGCGGGCCGCGGAATCGCGCATCACCAACCAGCGAGTGTCGGCCACGATCCCAATCTAGGGCAGGGTAATATGTGCCCATGTGGTCCTCCTACGTCGAGAATTATGAAGTTAGTGGTCATGGCAACTGACAACAAAATCTTTTCCGGTGGGGATAGGAACAAATAAGTTGAAAAAAAAAAAAAAAAAAAAAAAAAAAAAAAAACTCAAACGAACAGGGGAACAGATCATACCTTAGCCCAATAGATCTCGAAATAGGCGAAATAAGTATCGTTAAATCGCGCCAATACCGCCATCTGGTGCGGATCTTCATCGATCTTTCGCAAATATTCGCGATGCTCGTCCAGCGTACCAGTCTCTTTCCAGTTGACGGCGACTCGCGGATCATTCTGCCAAGTATGAAACAGCTGGAGATGTGTCTCATTTCTATAGTCGAGATGATCCATGGCGAAAAATTCATCTAGGTGCGGAATATACCTACTATATATCGGTGCGCCACGGGCAGGCTTTGCCGGCCGGACTGGATGTTGCGCATGGACTGGCCGGTTTGTGAGTTGTGATGTCAGAGTGTACTGAAGAGGGAAGGCTGGATATTCCGATGGCTGCTTTCTGGCACTTCCTTCAATCGATGGGACAAGCCATGCAGCCCGAGTCCCCAGTGGAGAACCTGCGCCTTGCCAGAAGGCCGCTCTAGAAACCAAAATATCCTCAATTTTGCCCAACGGCTGCGGTTGAGCCGGGCTGGGGAAATGCGTAGAAAGTCCCGTCGCATTGCATTCGGCGTATAACAGGTCCTTCTGCGCGCCCGACAGAGAAAGTCGGAAGGATTCTTCTGATGGCCTCATAGAGAAGATCGCGTAGACCATCGTCCATAGCTGGCCAACCGTTGGTGCCGACTCTCCATCCCAAGTCACAAATGATACCATATTGCGGCAAGCCCGCGCCCAAGCGGTGTTATCTGATTCGGCTGGTAAGGTAGCCTCAGGACCGGGGATCAACTCGCTGAAGTAGAGCATGTCGTGATGCAACGGCTCCGGGGGGGGAATGGCGCCATTATTCTGATCGCTTGACAGTCGAAGTTGGAAAATCCTGCCATTAGGTCCTGAGGAAGCCTGGTACAGTTCATATTTTGTTTTGTACGGCTCTGGAAGCCGCACGAGCGGCAAATCGCGCATCTCAGGGGAGGAGCTCATTTTTAACGTATGATAGCCTGTATAGCTGTGCAATGATATACGGATCGTGGAAGCCTAACGGAATGAAAGAATGCAACAGCCTCAGGTTTATCCAATAAGTTTCAGGGAAGCCAGGGAGGTTGACTATAGCAGGTGAGTTGTCGCACTGCTTGTCCCCAGCAATGCAACCTTTGAAAAAGCAGACTCCAAGCGCCATGCCGTGTAGTCGAATGCTAGGGGCTGCAACATGATGCTCCAACCCCTCCTCGGTTCTTTTCCAAGAATACCGAGAATGTGGACTTGCAACCGACTGGTGGATGCTTCCAACGTATCCGTCCCGGTCGGGGGAAAATACAGGGGTTTCCACTCAGGGGTAAAATAGGTATTCAAGGTATATTACCATCGGTACGAAGTATTCAAATAATACAGCAATATACGGTACAGTATCTTCCAGCCTGGCTCCAATTTTATCCATCTGGTAATCGGCAAGAATCGGATAAGATCACAGCTGACAGGAATCATCACAGGAATCATCACAACTGACAGGAATCATCACAGCCCGAGCTGAGCTCATGAAACCACCCGCTCTTCGAAAGCATGATTACGGTGACAAGAGCGCTTAAAACTTCCTTGGTCTAGCCCCGCCCCTATCATCTCGGGTTCGTTATCAGATCTTCTAGCAAAATGGCTTCGATTGTGTACAACGAGTAGAGTGCCATACTAACGCAGTGGAGCAAGATGATAAACATCCCGATTTGACCCGGCTGCTACGCTAGAGTGTTAAGAAACATTTCCAGACAATAATGCAGGAACGTGATAGACACCAGTCGGCGAAGACAGAAGTCAAGCTACGAATCGTAGAGGAAAACATCCTATTCTTTCTCAATGATATTCATCAGGCTCAGTTAAGTTAAAACCTCACATTCTCGAATCTACGCAAGAACTATCGGAGCAAGAAAGAAAACAGCAAAGATTCGAACCACCCGCTTCAATTAGCTTCATGCCGAGGAGGCTGGGCTACAGCCGCATGGTGCTTCAAGCTTATAGTTGCGGGCCTTAGAACCAGCCACCAGGAGAACAAGTTCCTGAACCCGTCGTGGCGCCATACCTGTGTCTGAATTTGGTTTGCAGAATTTCCCGGAGGGCCAGCTCCGGCGGAGCGGAAGCATACATGGAGGAAAATTTTTTCTCCAAGGCAGGGAAAAGGGCAGTAGCTTGTTGTGTCATTCCTCGGTAGCATCCACAACAACAAGGAATGGCAAATTCCTCCTGATGATCACGCTGAAGGGGCCTGTTTTTGTTATCTGATCAAAATAACCGAGGAGAATGGAGAATTGGCCCGCAAATTGGGTTTGTAATATACGAGAGGATCTGTTGAAATTACCAGTGTGGGGCATCCTGTTTGAAAGGTTAAAATTTTACATACATACATACATACATACATACATACATACATACGTACGTACGTACGTACGTACGTACATTACATTTATACATATATACAATACTGTCGCTATGGTACCGATGTTTTCGGTACCTGTTTTCAGCTCTGTAAGATTGATAAGGGACAGAGATGTCTCAGAAATGAGGGGCGGGCGGGGTAATTTCGGCTTTTTCTAGTCATTTTTTCTTTTTTTTCTTTTTTTTTTTTTTTTTTCTTTTTTTGTTTTTTTGTTTTTCCTCTGGAATCAGTAAACAACACAAATGCGACGATTTTTTTCACAATTGGCGCAACAAGAGAACGCCTACACTTGATCTAATAGGGGTTTGTAGCTTTAGCACCATGGACAGCCAGAGTATCTTGTACCACACATTGTAAGAAGAGGCCGATCCAAGCGCTGTCCCCCAAAATCCAATTGCACATTTATCTCATCATTGCGTTCAATTCCTCCACCACAGCTTGTATTTTTTTTTTCAGGGGGGGGTCAATCACAGTGACGCCATGACTTTTACAAGGTCATGCTGGAATGTCAAGATCAAAGACTGGCTGGTGTGTATAGAGTGCTCCGTGAAAGAGAGAAAAAAGTGCAAAGATGTAAAAAGGGACATGTAATGCTAAAAAAGCATGTAACAGGTCCAGGGTCTCGAGATAATCGACTCTCTATATAGCTAGCTCCCATGGTGTATGAATTCAGAGCAACATGCCTCCGTTGTCCTAAAAGTCCAAAACATTTAATTGATGAAGCTGAAATACTGTCTGATCTTCTAGACGCAGAGAATGTAGAGCTCACTTTCACTATCTCTTCACACAAGGTGGAAGCATGTGTCATATCTCAGAGTAGTATATTATTGCATAATGAAGATGTGCTGTAGATTCAATGTAAACAATAATCATTAGTGACAGAGAATAGAGATGAAGCTCAGATCAAGAGCATCTAATGACTTGATAATGGGCTAATTTAAACTATATTGTAGCATCATGGAAAGAATGGTGAAAGTTTCAAAATGGTATGTACTGTACTATCATGCGCAGGTACTTCTTAGGCCTGACCAATATAGGGATCGAGAAGTTTAATAACATCCAATTTAGTCCGGCCTCTCATCAAGTCGTTGTATCTGGGCCAATAGGTTAGCCAATACCAAAGCCGCACATTCTCCTATGTATGTGTAAGTGGCCAAGTCAGAGGAAAGCTTTGCTGTTCCTATATATATATGCCCTGATATATACCCTAACATTTCCTAACGTCGACGTGGATGAAAGAGGGAAATCAAGTGAAGCATTCGCTATATGTAGATATATTTTATATGCCTGTCTAGAGGGCAATATGGCTTTGAAAACTAAGCGCTGGGTATGGTGGGTTCGCCGCGAGAAGCGCTACTGAACAGGGTAGAGGGCAACGGTTGAACATCAACAGAGTACGTTCCCCGGATCTTGGGAAAGAAAGCGGTGATAGCCATGGGATGGGGTCTTTGCGTTCATCCAGCCATGTCAGAAACGTTTCAAGCATGTTTACTTCTCATCATTTCTAGACAATACCAAATGGAAGACCAGATATTCCGTGCTTCCCTTCCCTCCCTTCCCCTTTACTCTCAAGGGGGATAGCCCCTGTACCGTTATCCAAGTTTCAAATATAACAGGAACGTCGCAGTAGACCTTATGAGCTGCAAGCCAATTGAAAAAGAAGAGGGAAGACAGGGGGAGCTTTTGGATCCAGATCAGGTTGAAAAGGGGGCTAGCGGGTGTATATATCGCTAGGCCAAAGATAGGAATGACTATCGAATGATAAATTGAGCGAGGTGATCATGAAACAGGTTGATCGGAACAACTTGTACTGTACACCCATCGTACCATGTGGCAGTGGAGTTAGACAATCTGAAGATAATAAGAGAGCGCCAGGAAAAGAGACAAGCCATAGACAGCATCTGTTAAGAGATCGCCCCCAGTCAACAAATCTCTTTTTTCGTTTCCTTTTTTCTTTCTTTTAGAGGTGGAGAATATCTTCCAGCTCCCTGTGAAATTTTTTTTTTTTTTTTTTTTTTTTTTTTTTTTGCCATAAAATGTCCAAACCACCCAAGAGCGATTAAGGCAGCTTTTGCCCTCTTTAGCGTGAGGTCTTTGGTCATCAGAATAATTTTCCTGTGTGAGAGAAGCCTTTGGAGATGGCTGTGGTGATCAAGATATATAAACACGGAAAAGGAAGAAAGTGAAAGCAAGCAAGGAGGCAGAGAGATAAAGGAGGATTCGTCATCGTAACTTGAAACCATCGTACCGGCAGAGCAAATGTCAATATGGACAGACCGGTAGCCAGTTAAACAGTTTCAATCTTTATCAACCATCCAATTGACAGATCAACAGATGTACCCCTCACCGAAAGAAAAGTGGGTGGCAACTCGACGTCACGGGTGGTACTGCCTAGGTATCAACTATGGCAGAGACACTGCCGCAGAAGAAAATCGGCACAGTAATATAACTGTGATTTCTGCGCATCTGTCGATGTCAGAACAGAGGGATCAGCAGCTCGTGGGATGACGCCGCTCCGGGATGCCTTTTTCCAAGAGTAGGTAGGGTTAGGCAAGAGGGATATTTTCCCGAAAAAGCGGAACCGTCATATCTGAATATAGGCACATGGGGCTATATCAAGATAGGGTAGGGTTGATATGATAGATGCTGGCTCATATACATGAAATGTATATAATGTGAACACATATATAATCCCAAAGGAAACAAGACGAAATGAAACCACCGCTCGCTCACCGAGTCACACGAGAAAAGCGGCAAAAAAGGGTATCAAATTTCAAAAACCTACGCATCCGCATCCGCATCCGCATCCGCATCCCCATCCGATGCGAAGAGCGAAGAAGACATGAAACTTGGGAAAGACAGATCAGACCGAGAGAAAACGTACAGCGTCCACTGAAGACATGACTCCCAGCCACACACACTCAGCCCCATCCACGCATGCACCGGACGGAGAAGGAAGCGGTGAGCGTTTCCATTTATATCAAAAACCAAAGGACAAGCTGGGAGGTGAAACACTCGTACAGAGCTCTGCCTCAAGACTCGGAATCGGAACCGGAATCGGAATCAGGATCAGGCCAAGTCAGAGTTGGACTCATCGTGAGAAACGCACATCAACCTCCAAATTAAAATAAATAAATAAATAAATAAAAAAAAGCCTCAGCCATTCCAGCGTTCGTCATTATGGTTCTCGGAATTACTTTTTTGAAGTCGAGAGTCGGGAACCAGAGCAGGCGGGAGGGAGGTGGTAACTAGTACCTGTACTGCAATAATAATACAGAAAAAAGGAGGACAGGAATTGGCACAGAGTGGACAATGAGAGAGAAAAAGGCATTCATGTGTCCTTTCTTTCAGATCAGGATTTTATTTTACTGATCTTAATCACTGTAGGGAGTCTGTTTTGTTTTCTATTCTCTCTCTCTCTCTCTCTCTCTCTCTCTCTCTCTCTCTCTCTCTATAAAAGGCAATATGCAAGGTCTTGACAAGGAATTCATGAGCAAGAAAGAAATAGAGAAAAGAGAATGACCATGCATGGCCATATATTAATCAAGCATGCCTCGTTGCATGGTGTTAGTCGTTCCATGCCGGACAATGCCATTGTTCAAAAGCGGCTTAAGAGAAAAGGTGTACGTACATACTCCGTACATACACACTGTAAGCTTCTTAAATCACTCAATAATACTCAACACACACTCTTATTCTAAAGATAATAATTAATTATTATTATATAGAGTAAGTAGCTAGCTACTCCGTACTCTCTTCTACTCAGAATGATTCAACTGGAAAACACTTCTATTTTTCAAATATAGTCAGTCAATCTTAGTGTATTATTATTATTGGTTGGATGTGTATTTTAAGATTTTCACATTTCCCATAAGGCACAGCTGCATTATTATCATTATTGATGCGTTTTCGATTAATTCCAGGGCTGAAAGAGGGCAATGGAACTGCATGTTTAGTTTAAATAGCCACACGCGGTTAGGAAGGAAAAAAAAAAAAAAAAAAGAAAAAAAAAAAAAAAAAAAAGAAAAAGAAAAGAAAAAGAAAAAAGGCCGCCCAATATGAGACATCTTAACTGGGTAATTTCTTCAGTCAGCTCAAATTCGAGGGCTGGGTTCGCAGTGAGCTCACTGCAGAGAGAGGAGAGAGAATAATATATAATTAAAATAATAATAACTGCTGCAATGCAATCAATAAAATAATAAGAGGTAACTTAGGTATTGGTGGGAAGATCTTGGACGCAAGTTAGCTGTGAACAACATACTGCGTACTGCGTACATACATCCCTTGACCGCCCGGACCAAAATACCAGCAAACACAGCTAGTCTTTTTAAGTACAGACGAATTCTCTCACAATAATAATAGTTATCTGTACTCCGTAGGTTGATTTATACATATCACATTTTTTCCCTCTCCTTCCAAGTTCTAAACTGTCCAATATTCATTTAATAATAATATTATTATTATCTTCCCGGGGTCCCCGTTTGCGGAGAGTCAGTCAGTCAGTCTCCGTCGGGAATTCAGCGCACGGAAGATAGACGGAAACCGAGAGACAGACGGGAAAGTTACCCGTAACTAGTTAGTAAGGCGACTAAAGTTCAATAGTAATTTTCCTAGCGCACCCAGCCATTTCTAGTTTTTGGCCCCCGTCACATCATCACGATTCACGATTCAACCAGCACAGCAGGCTGGCAGCAGAAAAAAAAAAGAAGAGAAATAATAAAAAAGAATTGAGTGATTGATTGTGATTTATTCCCAGCCAGCCCGCAATAAAATCGCCCAAATCGCCCAAATCCGCCAGCCAATCATCAATCAAATCATCAGCCGCCTTCCTTGGCGATCCTTGGCGCTTCCGGACTCCGTCTTAGCTAAGCTCTGAGTCAGCAGGCCCGGCAAATCCACAGCGACGTCAACTTTCCCACCTCCAACCAGTCACGACTCACGACTCACCACTCAACCACTCACCACTCACTACTAACTCACTACTAACTTCACTACTTTCCACTCTCAACAACACTCACAACCCGCCACCCAAAACCCACTCAGAGACTTTTCTCCCCTTCCCCCTTTCTCTTCTTGTCCTGTCCTGTCCTGTCCTGTCCTGTCCTTGTCCTGTCCTGATCCAATCCAATCGTCTGCTGCCAACCCTTGAAATTCCCAGCAGAATCAATCCACTCTCCCCTCTGACTTGGTTTTTTGTCTCGAGTCCACTAGCCTGGTCACGTTGCTGGTCTCTGATTTGCCCGTTCTACTCCTCATTCTTCTTGTTTTGCCTCTGAACTGCAAAAAAGAAATAGGCTCTGCTGCTGCCACTGCACTGCGGCGCGTCTATTTCTTCCAATTCGAATCCCCCTCTTCAGCCAGCCAGTCTCCGTATTGCCACGCCACGGTTTCTTACTGCCACTATTGGTTGGTTACTGCGCCTGCCCGCCCCCCCGCCTCTTGTAGCGTGGGTAAACGTAAATTAAGCAAGGTAAGTAAGTTTGTTTTTGCCGCTGTCACTTGTTGTCCGTTTTCCGTTGTCAGTTGTCCGTTGTCTGTTGTTCAGCCCCGTCCACCCAATCAATGCGCCCCATCTCTGCCGTCGTCTTGTCTCCTCTGCCCTTGCCGGCAACGGGTCTCTGTTTTGATGTGATGGACCCGGCGATATAACTACGCATAGTACATTATTACATGTACATTGTACGTTGCTAGATGATTATTAAATAGGGCTCAATGTGTAATTCTGACAGTCAGGCTAGGCTATGTTTTAGAACCTCGAGGGTATTATTTCCCGCCGACAACAAACTACAACAGCAAAGTCCTCCCTTGCCACAGCGCCTGTTCCGACTCTCTGAAACGCGGCCCCCTCCCTCCAATAAAACATACCTTGAGACAGCAATCGGTAGTTAAATCCTCATAATAAGGAGAAACAACTCCAATCGAGCCAGATACAGTTTGTTTGTACTTTGTTTATCTATCCTACCTACATGCGCCGACGACTGTGTAAATAGTTTATATATACGGAGTACATATATATATATATACATAGATATATATATATATATATATATGTAGTATATATATTTTATTTGTTACTCGCCTCTTGCTACGAGAACAGCTGCAGTAAGTTTGATCATTTTTCTTGTCAGTTCTTCCTCTTCCCTTCTACGCGGCGTATTCCCTCCTGTGACGAGCAATGATGTATGTAGCCTGCATACAATCGCTCCCGCATTTGCCAACACATAACCCCCCCCAATTATTTTCTCTCTTTGCCATCGCCTTGCTCTCGTTCTTAATCCCTAGCCCTCTTTTGCATACCTAAAAACTCTGTTATTCTTGTTTACGTTCGCACTCTCCTTGTTGTCGTTGTCATCCATCCTTGCCAATCCTCCGATCTGCCTCGATTCCCTACCCTTATTTCTTGCACCATCCCTCCTCCCCTTATTTATATAGCCTACTTGTTTAGTCTCTCCCCAACGTTGCACTCGTTGTATGGTTGGTTCTCCGCCTGCTTGTCTCCCTCTCTGACATCAGAACGAAGCTCCAATATTTTACCTTTTTTCCCTCCCCCCCCCGCTCTCTTCGTTCTTTCACCCTCTCGACGTTGGTCCTACTTGGCAGTCCGGCAACCCTCTTTTTTGCCCCAGGATTTACCCGGCTCCAGTGACCAGCCTTGGGCACCACCTCAGATCGGGCCTACGACGTGGCAGACACTAGCCGATATCCCCCCCATTCCCCGTCCCCATCCCCATCCTTGCCTCTCTCGGGCTCGTCCGTCTGCCCTCTGGCCTCTCCTCCCCCAGGCCCAGTTATGGTTCATTGTCCTGATCAGAGACATCTGCAGAACACGAACTGAAGCCACCCACTTTCGCTGTCAACCCTTGGGCCTTGTTACGATATCTACGTATTTCTCGGTGTTTTTTAGTATTATTTCTTTCTTATTTCTCTTTTTTATTTCTCTTTTTTTTCCCCTTATTTTTTTAGTGCGACAATTCTTACATTCTTTTTGGGGGGTTCTTTTTTTTTTCAAACTCACATTATTCCCTGATTTCTCTCATTTTTGTTGTCACAACTTTCAAACTCATTATTATTGCTTTTCTTTCCCCCGCCCTAAAGAGTAAAGAAGCAAAAATTATAGTACCCGCACCAACCCCGAAAGGAAAAAAAATAAAAAATAAAAAATAAAAAAGTCTGGAAAAAGAAACGAAACGAAAAACAAAACCGACCACCGCTGTTTGACAACACATCAACGCGCTCTTCTGTCACCCACCTTGCCCTCAGTTCCCCCCGGTTTCCTGCATCAGAGCCCAACCACGTCTTCACTGAGACTGTGCTGTTCAACCATCGCTCGAAAGGGACCCTTATTTTAAACCTTCCATATTACCTGCTTCTTAAATCCCTTTTCCCGCCTCTTTGTTAACAATCGAGGCCCTCACCTGTCGTCGCGTTCGAAAAAGTTTCTGAAACCCGTTTTTGGCTCGATTGTGTCAACCAAAGAAAAGGCAGGAAAGAGAAAAAAAAAAATAAATAAATAAAAAGAAAAAAAAAAAAAGAAAACTCGTGCGTTGAGCGTGTGCACGCACATAGCCGATCAGTCTTTTGGCGCCGACCGCTCGTATTGGTCTGTTTGCCCCCTCCCAACCGGACCTAAATCCAGTGACCATCCCACTGCTGCATTAGGTGCTGACGCGACCGAAAAGGCTGCAGATTCCCCATCCCAGCGACATCGAATCATTTGTTCGCGCTTCGCCTGTCGAACGCTTTCAAAAACGTTCCTTCTCGACCCTTCGCCGCCCCCGTTCCCCGTCCCACCCTATCCTGTCCGCTCCCCTTCCCATCCTATCCCTCGATCGGAAACCACTCGCTACTCGCTCACATAATAAAATAAAATAAAAATTGCTGGCTTGCGACTCCATTGGTGCGCTTCCCAACGCATTTGCCGCCGCTGGTTTAATCCAGGTAGATAGATACCTTGGGCTGGAATCTCAGCTCCTCGTTCGCTCGCTCGATTAAATAGAATAATAAAAGGGAAAGAGGACAAACGCGAATTGTTTTCCCAAGTCGATTCCACCCAACCAGCGCGACCATCCATCATGGAGTATCCCCCTCAATATCAACAACCTCACAACCAACACCCACACGCATCATCACACATGCCTCCATACCAAACCTCGCCTGCTAATGCTGGCCCGCCGGTCGGGTCTATCACCTCCCCCACAAACGCTCAAGCACACATGCAACATCCCCACCCAAACCACCAAGCCTCTCCGATCCTCCCGTCGCAATCGCATTACCAACAAACACAAAGCGCGCCCGGCCAGGTACACCAGCAGATGAATTTCCCTCAACAGTACGCTCCACACCCACAAACATATGGAATCTCCCCTACCCAGGCCGCTGCCGCCGCCGCCATGGCCACCGCTGCTGCCTCGGGTCACCAATTCTACCAACCATTGCATCAGGACTCGATGGGTGGTGGATTGCCACCAGGCGCTCGTGGCTCACCTAGGTTACCATCTTCCCAGGTGAAGAGTGAACGACATCCAAGATCACCACCGCAAGTACCTGTCCAGATGGCGCCGCTCTCCAGCCAGGTGCAAATACCACAAAACGCGTCGATACAGCAGCAACAGCAACAACCACCATCGCAACAACAACAACAGCAGCAGCAGCAACAGCAGCAGCAGCAGCAGCATCAGCATCAGCAACAACAACAACAACAACGTCGCATGAGCCAACAAGTCAGCAGTCCACATGTACAAAACGCCCAACCCGCCCTCAACCACAGCCACAACCACACCATGCAACGACCCCCGCCAGGCCCGTCACCGATGTCCGCCCCGCCTCAACACTCTCAACACCCTCAGCATGCTCAGCACCCACAACATACTCAACACCCTCCACCTCCACCTCCACAACAACAGCAACAACAACAACCTCCCCCGCCCTCGCAAGACCTCGTAGCCACCACCTCTGCCTCCGCCCCCGCTCCCCCAGCCGCCCCAGCCGAAGAATCCCCCCTCTATGTTAACGCCAAGCAATTCCACCGCATCCTCAAACGACGCGTCGCGCGCCAAAAACTCGAAGACCAACTCCGCCTAACGTCAAAGGGCCGCAAGCCCTACCTCCACGAATCGCGACATAACCACGCGATGCGCCGGCCGCGCGGACCGGGCGGCCGGTTTTTAACGGCCGAGGAAGTGGCCCAGATGGAGAAGAATGCTGCAGCGGGCGCGACGGGGATTGAGAATTTGCCAAATCATGGGAGTAATGCCAATAATAACAATAACTCTGCTGGGATTGGGGCGAAAGGGAATTCACGTCCAAATTCACATCCGCAACCACATCCACACTCCGCCGCGCAGAATGTGTCGCCGGGGCAGAAGAGGAAGGCTGCAGCTACGGCGTTGAGTGGGAATGGACAGCATGGCGGTGGGCATGGGGGGAAGAAGTCGAAAACGAGCGGTGCGGGTGCGGTTCGGAGGCCGAGTACGAGTGCGCATAGTGATGGGGATGGGGATGATGATGGGTAGTGTTTTTATATATATTAAAAAAAAAGAGAGACGGTGGGGGGTTGGAAAAGGGAAAGGGAAAGGGAGGAAGGAGACAAAGAGTGAAACGAGGGAAGAAAAGAAAGAAGGGTATGAAGTCATGTCTATAGGATAGGTTTCTGCGGTGCTGCTTTGTCTGCATTGCCTTGCTTTTCTTTGCTTCATATGGTGCTTGCGTGCCTGCGTGCCTGCGTACCCGCTTTTGTGTGCCGTTTTTATGGGGGGTGTTGTATGATCCTTGCTGCGTTGGTTTGCTCTGTCTTTGTCCTCTTCTGTGTTGTTTTGGGAGCGTCTCTTTTTGCTAACCTACAATGTACTGTGCTGTTTTTTCCCATGCCATCTCTTTTATCCTCGTTTAATTTGATGCAATCGAATGTGTGGGAAATGGGTTCCATTTTTTCTTTTTCTTCTTTTTTTCTCCTATTCCTACTCTTTTCCTCGTTCCTCTTTTCCTAACCGTCCAACCTTTCCATTCATCTATTCCAGCCAGTCACTCTGTATTCGCGGAAAACAAAAAAAGATTGCCAATTTCAACTTCCCTTTTGTCGTTTTCTGCTGTTGCTGTTTTACCAAGCCAATTTATGTTCTTTATTTTATCTGTTTTCCGTTTGCTTTTTTTGTTTGCTTTCGAGTCATTTTTCTTTCTCTTGTTGTTGTCTCCTTTCATTGAAACCTTTCAACCTTCCAACCTTTCCTCTCCTCATTTGATGATACTTCTCTACCGGTTATCTCCCTGCCTGCGCTGTCGTCATCGTCTCTGCCACGCTTAATGCCTGCTCTATTTTTCTCTTCTCTCCAATCGCTCTAATACCTCTTTTTTCATCCATGCTGGAATTGGTCGGGGTGTTCATTATGTGATTACTTTTTCTTTTACTTTTTCTTTCCATCCCTGCTTCGTCAATTTGTTTCTCCCCTCCTTCGCCTGCTCCTCATCTCCTACTGATACCAAACCCCACAACCTACTTCATTTCAATGTTACTATTTTTCATGCCCCTGCTGCAACGCTTCTCCCATCTCACATTTCGAATTTCTACTTTTTCTCTGGTCTATATACACTATCAAATGGGCTACATGCCTAAATAACGCTTCGGTGCGTGAAATCTTTTTTCTATTCTATTTTATTTATTGACTTTTACTTCATATATTTTATTATTATATACCTTTTTGGCTTTTTCTTAGCGGATTTTTAATTTCCATATGCAACTATTTTTTTTTTTTTTTTTTTTTTTTTTTTGGCACCGCTTCTCCTCTTCTCATAACCTTTCTTACGGTCAATTTCAACAGGGTGAAAGGAAGCCCACGGCGAGTGATTAAAAATTAAGCAAAAAAGACGAGCGTCAAAATCTCCATCTTTTCATGTTTCGATCTCATTTTATTTTCTGGTTTTCTGGCCTCTTTCCGACGTATTCAATTGATTCCCTTGTTTTCTTTTTTTCTTTCTTTTTTCCTGTCTTTTTTTATTTATCAATAATTGACATGATGAACGATTCTTCTTCAACCTAAAAAAGGGAAAAAAAAAAATGTATATATTTGATATGCGAGCCTTTTATATTTTATATACAAGTGATTGCAAATTTTCTGATTTTAGGTGATTTCTTTTCTGTTTGATCTTTTCCCTTGCTTACATTTTTTTCTTCTTTTCCCAGACGTATTTGGCGAATTTCCTCATGATTGATTGCCGTGTGTATGAAATAGTTTTTGTATATTACAGCTCAGCTACAGTTTGATAGTTGAAATGAAAATTGAATCCATTCAGGAAATCAGGCTTCAGGCAATTTTCTTCATACACGCTCTCTCTTAGCAGCCATAGCTCCGATATTGAATGAGAAATCTAGAGATTAGTTAGTTATCACATGACTTGTTTAGCCCTGGTTCTTTCTCGACTTCTTCATCTCTCATTCATTCAACGACATCCAAGCTTCATTGGAGCAACTATTCTGCAAACGTCTCATTTCATCAAATCATCTTCTGTCAATATCTCACTAGAATCTTGCTAGGGAGCTCTACTGCATGGTTGATGCATTTCCATCTCGATTTCTGTGTTTGAGCTCATATTCCATATGCATGCAATCTCAAGTTTTCTACAAACACTTGGACTTTAAGTTTTCTTGAAGGTCGTACATGTCTTCATTTTTAAATAATTTCTATATATATTCATTCAATTGTCAGCTTCTTAACTGCTGCAAATCAGCATCGCCACCATTCGTTTCAATTCTAGTGTACGTACCCAAGTGCATGGGGCTTGAACGGGCACGTGTCTGCAGCTTCTTTTATTTCTGCAGATTGTCTATCAAAACCAAATGTTCCATGTTGCTCACTTCCTCCCACTCCTGGGTTTCACATGTTCTGCGAGCCATAAATAGCCTTTATCTGGCGGATCATATCGCCGCGCAAGGGCTGAAGTCCCCTATCTAGGATTAAACCGCCGGAAATGGCCCGGAGACAGCGAGTTTCAAAACGGGATACGAAGCAACTTTTAATCAATTTGACAATCGACCATGGCAAGAAACTAACATATCGCCACCTGCGAATATCACGCATCTGACACTCTTTGCGGAGCTCCCAGCCCACCCCCGCCTCGTTTTGGCATGTTTTGATATTGAGTCTTGCGTTTCGTTCTTTTGAGTGGGGAGGGAAAAGATCTCTCTGGCTACTATGCAATGCGATTGGTTTGGTACGGATGTTTTCTATCTTCTCCCTTCTAGACTCCCCGTGTTGGATGGTGGATCACGGAGCTGTGGCCTCAACAGACGAGATACCCCCTGGTGAGCGCGCGTGGAGGTAAGGGAGAAGGGCCGTTTGCTAGCCTTCCATCGTTAAGAAAGGATGAAATGTTTAGTTTACCGGGGCTGTCACCATGTCATTTTCCGGCGTCTACATCTGATAAATGGCCATCCAGCACTGGTGACTGGCTATTCGACCCATGCCAGTGCACGTCGGGGCTTTTCCTGAATTCGATTTCACGCCACTAGTACCTTAATTCTACATGCCCTTGATTCGTCTTTGTGACCGAGACCCGACCCGCTTTCGCGGACGCCTGATACCTACGTATGGTAGCCCCTAATTCGACAACGATCAGTCTCAGCTTCTCCCAGAGTCCAAGAATGCCAAAGACGGCCTACGTGCACATGATCGACGAGGCATGTCTCATCCATGTATGGTCCGTGTACGCAGTAGAGAATACATGCGCATCACGCCATGGATATCAGCCAGCAGCGCACGGTGGAGCCCCCGTCCCGTCGCACAGCCCGCAAGCCCCGCAAGCTGGCTGCGCAGGTAACTACATTATTATACATACAAAGACTGGCTGCGCAGGTAACTACATTATTATACATACAAAGAGATGACTAGCCACGGGGGCCAAATGTCAGACTTGAATGGTATGAGCGCGCAAGGCGAAACGGCCCAACTCCAAACCCAATCGGCATGATAACAATGGTGGACCCCACCCGCATTCAACTCTAACCTCCCTCCATCGTCCATTCAGAATCACCAGACGCCCTCTCCCAACCTTCACCAAGCTACCCGCCGACCCATACAGCGCTCTCTACCTTGTCGAAAGAGGTCCACCACACTCTCAGTGCGCATGAAGTTTCGCTCTCGTGACATCGCCCCCATTCGCGAGAACCAGTCGGTTCAAACCGTGACCTAGGCAGGGGGGGTAGGCAGGAAAATGGGAGAAGACTACCTAGCGAATGGCCATGGCGAACACCCCTCTCGCCACTTAAGGCGAGACGCTTCATTCCCGCGTCCCCCCCGGGCCTTGCCTATTCTCCGCCTTCCCGCTAGGGCTTCTTTGACAGCTTGCTTGATTGAAGCTGATATTACCCTTTCCATCACAGCACTGCTGCTTCGCCTCTTTCTTGCTACCTGATTTCGACAAATTGCGCCGTCCTTAAGAGTGTTTTGTGACTACCTAGTTACTACAAAGTGCTGTGTTCACTATGATTTGTGTCTAGACCTCTATCCTTTTCCTTTCCCTTTTACGATGATATCTTGACAGCCACCCTGAAATTCTTTGCCGCCTCAGAAAGCAGGGGAGGGAAGCCCTGATTTTCTTACACACCACTGATATCGCTTCATTTCTAGCGAATTCAAGTCTGAGCACTAGCCACGCCGCTTTGCAGCGATTCTGCTCACTTCACAATATTCCGAAGCATCACCCGCTCCGCTTCTCAAACTTGGTTTTGTTGGGTAAGATAGAAGTGTTTCCACCATGGATTTTGAAATCAGTTACGGCCATCTTTTATCGAACAGCATCACTCTCAAGTCTACAAAGTTTTAGAACGAACTTGCGTGTCCTACCTACCTACCGGTTCTCCTACCCTGTCTGATATGCTCCGTTGTCCGTTATCGCCGTTCGGTTCTTGACTTTTGTTCCCGATTTCATCTGCCATACAGATAAGGAACGGGAATGGGGGGGAACATAGAACAACGTGAGGTGAGATTTGAGTAATGAGATAGCTCTCTCATCCTCACCTCCCTACGTGTGACAAGGATGGGAAGGTGTGGACTATAAAGTTGGCTCAGCTGCCTGCGACTCCCTCGAAGGAATAAGGGTGTCTCAAGGGGGACATAGTGGGTGGTGCAGAAAAACGGTGGTACAGAATGGATAGAGAGGGAGCGGTGAGGATGAGCTGGGGGTCAATAGAGGCGTGGTACTTTTCTTAAAAAGGGCACACAAAACACAGGTTTATTTATAGTATGAGCCTACACGTACGTGCTTATTTTGAATGCAACGATGTTGGGCATGATTGGCTTGAGCAAGTTGCCAGTAAAGTAGGTAGTTGGCGAAAGGTATATATATATAATTCATGTATCGAAGACAGAAACCAGAAACTACACGCGTTATCTTTCACCCATCATTATTCTGCACCAGGAAAGTTGATGCGGGCTACGAGATACTTCTGAAAAGGAGGAGCAAAAGAAGAAGCAAAATTAAAACTTAAATCGAACCAAAGAATAAAAATAAAAATAAAAATAAAAAAACCAGTCCATGACACAAAGAGAAACAAACACAACAAGAAAGCAAAATCGCACAGGAGAAACGAAAACAAAATTCCTCGGCTTGGGCAGCAAAGCATAAGAAGACTTCACAAAGACCAAGACCAGACCGGGGCCCGCCTCAAGGGTGCAACGATGCTGACACGTCGAACGAACTCAAAACAAACCAACGAAGAAAATCCGCCCAATTCAGTCGTTAGTAGTTATTACCTGCAGTAGCCTCCCAGTCCGGCGGGAAATTGAAGAGGGGAATGAATGTCTTTCGCTTTGTTCACCTATTTTGTTCTACTTGCGTACTTGAGTGGTTTATTTCGCGGGGCAGAAAGGGGAGAGCGCACAGAACTGCAGATGCTCGCTGTCTAAGGTTGAAGGAAGACGCAATGCAATATATAACCTTAAAAAGAGAAGGGTTTGCCTGACGTTGGTGAAATCCAAGGAGTCTAGTTGAGACATCCAGTCCTATAGATTGTTGTCCGTCTTGGGGGCTGCTGGCTGGCTTGCTGAGTAGAATCATCGAGAGACCTCTGAATTTAATTGATCTAGTGAATATTCCCAAATCCTGAGCCTCAGATATATGTATATTTTTATTTTTATATCTTTATATACAGCGATACAGAATAAAATTTATCTTGCGCGACTAGATCAAAAGTGGAAATGGCACAGCAGAGCACTGATAGACGGGAAGAAAACGCGGGAGTAGAAGAGCGAGCAGCAGGGAAAATAAAAACGAAAAGAGGGAGACAAAACTGAGCACAAAATATGGGGTGGTATACTAAAACAAAACTTATATATATATATATATTCAAGTCTCCGTCTGGTTCTAGTCTGCGGGGGGTATCTTGTAAATTATAAAAAGAAATGAGCACTCAAAGAAAAAAATGATTAAAAAAGGGGGCAAACGAAGGGGATGATGGGAAACAAATTTTCGTCTGCGCTTATGCGCTAGTTGTCATGAATAAATATGAAAATAAGAGAGAGAGAGAGAGAGAAAGACTGATGAGGTGCAAATAGGAATGAGGTGGTCATACCCTAGGGCGTTCAAAATCACGTTCAAGGAAATAGTTGAAGTGAGTGAGTATGGAAAGACGCGGGAATAGAGAGAACAAATACGAAGGGAGAAAGCAACAATAGAAGGTACTGGTCATATACCCACTCTCGCAGCAATGTATCAGTTGAAAGCATTAAGGCGTCAGGGCTGAAACCGTAAAATGGGCAGAGGGTAGATAGAGGGGGGGAAAAATGAGATCTTATACAGGACAAATGCAACAGAAGCGGAATCAAAGAGTAAATCCAAAAAATTAAAATACTGAACAAATGGGAATATATATATGTATATCTTACTCTTCTCCAACTCTTGCCAAAAACTCTTCCTAACCAATCAAATCACCGAGGACAAAGAAGCCCGATACAAAGCTCTCATCATCTGCCACCACTGCCACCCCCGTTACCATTAGCCTGCGTGCTAAAATATCCCTGGTCAATTTTCAAAATCCACTCGACTTTCTGCGCCTCCGTCCTTGCCGCAAACAGGAACGTATTCTGCGTCCCGTAAACGGCAAACAGATTCGGGCGTCCTCTCATCGACAAGCCGTCGCCGTTCTGGCTAGTTCCGCCGCCGCCGCCGTCCAGCAGTCGAGCAAAATCCGGCTCATGGTCGACGCGCGAGTTGCGTAGATTGATGGCGTTTATTTCGTCGCCGTCGGGCACGGAGTGGATGTGAAGATAGGGGAGGCGGAGCTCTACAAAACGGCGCACCCAGAGGTTATTTGTGTCATCGGGCGTGTACAGGTAGCCGGACTTGAGGACGGTGGGATTTTTCGGCATGTGTTGGATTGTGGCAACGAAACGAGGCTTTGAGGGTTGTTGTTGATGTTGTCGCTGTTGCTGCTGTTGTTGCTCTGGCGGCGGTTGGGGCAGCGGTGCCTGTTCGGAGGGGATGGGGGAGCAATCGCCACTGGTTGTGGCCGGGCTTGTTGCGGAGGAAGGGTTTCTTGCGAAGGCAGCACCACGACTAGGCGGTTCGGTGTGATCTTTGACAAGTATGATTTCAGTTGGGTCCGGTTTAGTCGACCATAGATCTAGGTATTTCCGAAGCAGTATATCTCGTCGCTCACTCCCGTCTTGGCCCTGGAGCGGAGTAGATCGACCGTTTGTCGGCAACGGGGTTAAGGTACGAGTACTCAATGCTCCACGAGCGGCGTCTATTTCGGCAAGGCGTTGTCGCCGCTTTCGAGCACCAATGAAGTCGCGGATAAGGGATATCTTCCGCGGGGCCCATCCCGTCAGTAGCTCTTCACCCTTGACGTAATCATTCTGGGTGTTCATACGCCACAGGTCCGCCGCTCGTTTCGCGGATATGGGCCGGACAGCTACGGAGAACATCCCCACAGTCGAGTGCACAACGCGGATGGAGCTCCAGAACTGTTTAAACATCGACTGCGGTCGTATATACGCCCTGCCTAGTATCTGTAGAGTTTGGTCGAGCTCGAATACGATAGGCTCCTGAAGACGTGGTGATATCAGATTCCAGCGAAGGGATATTTGGACGCGATACTTGTCCGCCGTTGTCCGGTCGAGTAATAACGACCCATGAAGACTCGAATCCCATTGCCCGACAAGAGTTACGTTGGATGTCCCATCAGCGTTGTCAGTCACCATCGGCTCTTGTATAAGTTTGAGAGGAACATCTGAAGATTTTAGGTCCACATCAGGAATCTTCCCCCATGGGTCAAGGAGCCGCACCGTCCCGACTCTCAAAGCAGTGATATCTTCCCATGGCAGGCTTTCCGTCGAACTATGAGTGAGATTGACCACGATGCGTCGCTGTAAGCCTTGATGAAGTTGATAGGTGCCAACATCAAGGCTATTGCTCTGCACCACCTCGACAGGCATGTATTCCCCATTCTCAGCAAGCTCAAGAATTTGTACCCGCACAAAGACATCATGCCGCTCTTCCTGGTAAAATTCAGACTCGGGAATCCGCGGCGTCTTTCTCTTTTGAGGCGGAGCCTCGGGCGAGTCGCGCATTTCATCCCAACTGAGCAATTTGTCCAGATGCATTGCCGTCACCGAGGCGAAAATGCACACTTTCAAGGTCGAGTTCCTAGCGCTGTTGAGGGGAAGGCTCATGCTATGAACGCTCTCAAATCTAATTGAGTTTTCATCAAAACCACTAATCATCTGTGTGGTTGTAGCGCCGCCCTCGTCCGAAACACCGGGTACAAAGAGCTGGGCATGCACGTCAGTCCCCTCACGTTCCGCAAATCCCACCATATCCCGCATAACCACGTTGAACTTGAGAGTTGATGAAGGGGCTTGTGCAGAAGATGGTTCGAGAGATAGTTTAATGATCCCGACAACGCTTTGGGTATACGGTGAAATGGCTTCGATGGAGAAATCCTGCACTCTCGACTCGAACACCGCCGTCAGTGGGATATCCGCATCACCCACTAACGAGTACTGCGGAGTGCATGTTTCCGAGAAGGGATTTTCGAGCTTGAAGTGTTGAATATAATCCGGCCGATCGATATACTGGTGCATCTGTCGCATGGATTGAACACGGCGTTGTAGTTTGTCTATTGACCAGATGTAGATAACATTGTGCTTGAAATCAATCACCCGAACCCCGATGCACGGTTTCTTCGCATCCTCTAGAGCCACGTCGTCATCGCCCGAAATGCCGTTCAACACTAAATCGTAGGAGGAAGCCATGTTATGTCCAACATCGACAATAACGAATTGGAAAACGACATGCTTATCCATTATCTGGCTCATGATCTGCGCTTCCTTGAGTAGCGATGCATGCTGAAGAACCGATTCGGCCATCCGAACATAATTTCGCTGTTGCCAGTGCAGAACAACAGACCTGGCTATTGGGATCTCTCCAGGTTCCAACTGTGTGAATCCGTTTTCAAATATCCTCTGGGGACCTGTATACCCCATGTGCTTTATTTGCGATTCAAAATCTTCCTTTTGTTTTTGCAATTGTTGCTGAAACTCCTCCTTCGCAGCCTTGAGCGCATCCTCCATTCGTGCTTTTTCTAAACGTAGCTCTTTTAAATCTGGCGACGCTGTTCCAGCTGCCGCTGCTGCAATTTTGCCTTTATATTCTTCCTGCTGCCTGTTAAGCTGCCGTTGCATGTCGTCACGAACCATTTGTAGCGCGGTATTATCCACCTCCCCGTCTTCATCGTCGCCTTGGCACGGCGTTCCCGGCATGGTAAGCGCTGTATCAAGAGAAAAATTGTCAATAGTTCCATTTGACATGTACTTCTCCCGTACCGGATAAGAGCTAAGCGAATCTGAATCGTCCTCTCCGTCGATCAATTTGCTCTCTGGGCGGCCCCGCCTCACTGCTCGGGCCTTCTGGACATCATCAAATAATGCATCTAGTTCATCGTCCGTGAGATGTGAAATTTTCTGGTCAGGCCCTAAGATCGCACTTGCGGCTTCCCTTCTAGCATAAAACCAATCAGAGTCTCGACCCCTTTGCGATGGCAGGGGAGATTCAGCTCTACTAGAATCCCCATCGACTTCTGAGCCTGCCTTGCTCATGGATCGGTCATGCCCCGTTTTTCCTGGTGCCGGGGATCCAAGCTGGCTTGTTATGATGGAGTGTCGAAGAAGGCTCTGTTCCACTCGTTCAGCACGCGCCTCTTGGGGATGATTGAACCGGAAGATGTGAAAGTCACCCAGGATAATACGAAACCCACTTCGTAGTCGTTTGGGTTTATCGATACGCAATCCGTTGACCATAACCGCCGCGCCCTCATTAGGTACGATGGTGACAACGTTATCGACATTCTCGAAGCTACAGTGTTGATGAAGTATTTTTGAACCATTCAATCGGATTTCCGAGGTTGCCGCCGTATCCACGTTCCCGACGGTGGTTGTGCCCGGCTTAATGTTGTAAACCAAACATTCAGCAAGCAAAGGGTCATCGCTGAGGTTGACAAGATGTGGTATCTTTTTAGGGGTGCTGAGCCCGACGAAGCCTTTCTCGATACTGATACCCAATTCCTCCAGCGCCGCTTCACGTTCTTTATGAATTTCCTCGGTCTTCTGCAGCTTCTCTTCCCAAGTCTGGTTGAGATCCTTGTAAAGCTTTTCGCTCTGGTTCAGTTGCTCCACGATCTCTGCCTTGCTGACCTTTTTAATCGTCCCATCGGCCTGCGCAATAGATACCATCTGTTGCTCAAGCGGAGTGCCAGGAGGATAAACTTCTTCAGCGAGGCCCCCGCCAGGAGCGCCCCCTCCGGCAACAGCTCCTCCACCAAGCTTACTCCTAAGCTGCGCCAGTTCCTCCTTGAGTTCTCGGATCATCCTAGCGTTAGGATCCTCATTAACAACAGCATGATTCTTGATCCTCTTGGCGGAATCCGCATAGCGCAGCGTACTTAGTGTCTCATCGTAATTTATGTCGGCTGGTGAGATAGCTGCGATCATAGCAGTCATCGAGTTACCGCCCAGAGAGTCCTTCAAAAGCCAAGTCAAAACGGAGTCACGGTATGGTACCATTGAGGCGTTTTTCTTTTTCCCGGCAGATAAATCTGCCAGAGCCGCAATGACACGACCAAGTGTAGAGAGCGAACGATTGATCTCGGCACCCTCCTTGAGCCGCGCGCCAGTTGCGCCTGTTGAAGTAGCTCTCTCTGAACCAGCTAAATCGACCAAGCTAATGCGAGAGACTTTTTCGGTATCCATGGTGGTCTCCGTATCGTGTCGCTTTTGCGTCACCGTAAGGGTAAAGACAGCGTGCGATCGACTGGAGGTTTCGTTCATGTTTGTTGCCGCGACCGTTCGCGCCTTGTTACCTTCGTCCATCAGATTCTCGATTTCCTGGAAGGACCGCACTACCAGCTTCGCCAAATCTTCAACATAGGGCCCAGTTGAAGGATGTTCTCGAACTTTAAGATTACCCTTGGTTGTCGGATTGAGCAAATCCCGTACTCTCTCATTATAAATCTCCAAATACGACACCTCCACCGTACACGTTAGATTTTTGTCCGCAGATTGCAGCGCGGCGATCCTTAGGAACATGTCCTTGCAAATCTTCGGGATAACGCCAGCTTCCTCGCCATATCCCATCATGGAATACGACTTACCAGAGCCAGTCTGGCCGTAGGCAAAAATACAATTATTATATCCTTGAAATGCATTGTCCAGCAATGGTGCGCCCAGATCCTCGAAAAGGTTATCCTGGCCGGCATAATGAGGGTCGTTGCGGTTAAAAGACCAGTAAGATTTATCGAACGCGAATACTTTCGGGCCTTCGACGCTTCCCCCGCCTTGCTTCCCTCCTTTCCGTGATTTTTCTTCTGCTCCGGGAGGTGGTGTGAGCACGGTCTGCGAGCCTTTCATTTGAACGATACATTTTGCTTTCCGGTCGAGTTCTATAAGGTAGATTGGTATTCAAGAATGGCTTCCAGTCAGCATGAAGTTTCTCTAGAAGAGTATCTCGTGGAATAGTATACTTGTATACTTTGTATACTTTGTAATAATCACAGTGCTTTTCCTCTGAGGCGAGATGCAAGTATGCACAGTGTCGCGAAATCCAGGGGCTTAGGGTAGGGGGGAAAACCGGAGTAGACTGACCTCGGCCATTGAAGGGCCGCACTCTCACCACCACCTTAATATTTCCTCCTCCGCCTGGTGCCATCTTCACCCGTGCCCCATGCACTCAGTTCCTCTTCTCTTCGCCTCCTCCAATCCTAATATCGATGCCTCAAAATCAGTCAAGCACTCCAGGAGGTAACCGGCGGTCGATACCAAGGGAAACGGGGCACGAACGGGTTCGCGGAGGGATGGCGACAACAGAACAGGGTCATATGGGTTACTGGGGGGCGGGGGACGAGAATTCGCGCAGGCCTGGACGCTCAAAGGAGTGCGGGGAGAGGGTCAGCCCGGCAATATGGCGCGCTTTGTTTGGTTCTGCAGCGTGTAAACAATCAACGTCATCTAAAGGGTGGTAGCGACAAAGCAAATGAGTGCTGCAGTCATTCGCCATTCAAGTTTCCAAAGTTCAAAGGTCACGAACAGCCCAGTCGACTGGATCCCAGACGCGTGAAAAGAACGATAATCGGAACTGATATCACGGTTGGTTGCGATAGCGAGTGTCCTGGATATTTTTTTTTTGATGTCTGCATTTCCGTTCCGGGGGTTCAGCCACAGATCGCGGCCTGGGAAATTAGAATTTAGAAGATGCGGCCACCAGCCATGATTATGTCATCACCAAGCCGGTCAAGCCACACGGTCCCTTAGTCAGCCGATCTCTCGGAGACAAACACAGAGCCATTTTTGGTATCAAAAAAAAACACCGGAGAGCGAGATCTTGAGAGAGATCCAAAGAAATAGTAGTCAGTCGCAACATCTGAGTTGTCGCATATCCCTGGGCTCTGCAACTGTTGTTTGTTTGTGTCTGCCGGTTGCCTCACTGGTATTATATCCAGGTTAGTTAAGCTCCCAGCCAGCGCCTCCATTCATCAGTGCCTAACTCCGGGTATTCGGGTAGTTAGGGGAGGGAACACAGCGCCGGAGGAAAAGTTAACGTGAACTATGACAAAAAACGAACTTCTCTGGGAAACTTTCTTCTATCCTATTCGCGCCTTGAAGCCTTGAAGGCGATCTTCTCCGCCAATGAAAATGGATGATGGCACGCTTCCAAAATTCAGATCCAGGCGCTTCCCCTTTAAGTTACAGTCAAATACGATTATTCAATTCTTGTGGCACCACACTAGTTATGACCTTTTTGCCTGTGACGTGGCGGCTGTGAAGAAAAAATGGATTGAATGGATTTTGAATTGAAGGATTTAGAGTGCTTGGGGGCAATGGTTGCAAGCCACGTGAGGAGGCACGCTTGGGGGTTCTACCAACTAATGTCTGAACTATATATATGAAGTATGTACATGTACATGTACATGTACTACATGTACATACAATAATCTATCCAGGTGCTTGTTGCGTGCATTGAGCATTGCAGGATGGGATGTGGCACACACACCCCCCTCCCCTCTTCCCACCTTCCCGCCTTCCCGCCTTTCCCCCCTTCCCCCTCGCCGCCTATCTTGCCCCGTCGATTGAGGTGCTTTCTTAGCAAGAAATAGCAACGAAACCATAGGCCCGGGATGTTGCATTTTACGGGGCGGGTGGGCGCAGGTGGTGCAAGTACCGCACTTCGCTTCGGTCAGTCATTGCCCGCATCCACCGTTGTTGTTCACTGGAGGAGGGAAGGTGACATACAGTACATGTACATGTACAAGCTAACAGGGCGAATAGTGACCTCGAACTCGCAGCGGGCAGGCGAACCCCTCACTGCGCTCACTGCGCTTGCTACTACGCTCGCTGAGCTCTACTTCGCTTTTGTTGTCAGCTCTCGTGCTGGTCAACTGACCTGTATTGGGGAATAGATCGCCCGGCAACATCTTGCCGTAGTCTCCTATATATACTGAGCCTATTGGGTGTCTGCATATCCGTCCTTAGATCAGTGGCAATCTCAACGTCTATTTTGGACTCCCATTTTCCCATTTCCATTTCCATTTCCCTTTTCTACTCTCTGTATCTCTCTCTCTCTCTCTCTCTCTCTCTCTCTCTCTCTCTCTCTCTCTCTCTCTCTCTAGATAATAGATTGTTCAAATACTATGCAGACCCTTCGCTCGCCTCTAACCATGCCTTGGAAAGCTCCTTTAGCTACCAGACACTACCTCGCTTCGGGTTGCAGAGTAACTGGTTCCCGCCAGTTAACCTCACTGTGTCGGACTCCCGTACGGTGGCAAACGAGGCACTCCCCTTCGCTGCGGGGATACTCCACGGAATCTTCGCAAACTCCAACAAAAAGAAGCACCCAACTAGGAGTTGCGGCAGCAGTTGCCATCTCTATAGGCCTGGGCCTCATAGTTTATAAACGACCTGCAAAGGTTGCTCACGCCGACTCCAAAGGGGATTATCCCGTTCACATCAAGAATATAGTAGATGCCTCTGAACCTGTTGGAAAATCCCTAAATCTATCGAACCTCCCTGTAGAGGAAGCACAACTCATCAGCGCCCCAAATGTCCCCCCGCCCATCACTCGAGATCACCCTGTCCTCCTCAAAGTGCCGCTGACAACCACGACGAAGATAAAGCAGCTCACTAGCACCTACAAGTATGAGCAGTGGACCTTCAACAACCAAGTGCCGGGCCCGTTTATCCGGGCGCGGGTTGGGGACGTCATCGAGCTCTCCTTGACAAATACCGATGTGACAGGCAACCCTCACAACATCGACTGTCACGCATTTACAGGCCCTGGAGGAGGAGCGGCGCTGACAACTGCTGAAGAGAACCAAAGCAAGACGGGCAGATTCAAACTACTATACCCAGGGCTATTTATCTACCACTGCGCCGCAGCCCCCGTGCCCGTTCACATTGCCAACGGAATGTACGGCCTCATCTACGTACAGCCGGAAGAGGACCCTCTCCCCAAGGTTGATAAAGAATACTACGTGATGCAGAGCGAGTTCTACCACGAACCACCCGAAATCGAGGAGAATGGGAAGCGTTCCTCCCTGGTGGAGTTCTCATACCCCAACGCCCTCCGCGAAGACCCGGACGTGATCGTTTTCAACGGCAGTGAGACGGCTCTCACCATGGACCACCCCCTTAAAGCCACGGCGGGTGAAACCATCCGGGTTTTCTTTGGCAACGCAGGCCCGAACCTGACTAGCTCTCCGCACATCATCGGCAGCACGTTCCATAAACTCTACCGTGACGGGGACGTCCTGACCCCCCCCGCGCAGAACGTGCAGACGACCACCGTACCTCCCGGCGGAGCGACTATTTTTGACATGAACACGGTTGTACCGGGGACATACACGCTGGTGGACCACGCTATATTCCGGCTGGATAAGGGCTGTGTGGGATTCATAAACGTGACGGGGAAGCCGAGGCCGGACATATATCAGAGCAACGAGCATGCGGAGCCGTGCGTTGGATGTAAACTACATCCGTGAAATGATGAATATTTTTTCCTTTTGACTTTTTGACTTTTTAGCTTCTTTTTTGCCTAGTTAGTTATTTATTCCTGCATTTCGATACGTGTGTCTCTTTTATTCCCCCCTACTCTCTCCAAATTATCAAGAGGCGTTCTCATGAATATCATTATTACCACACAACTTTTTGGTTCAGTTGTCTAAATAAACGGGTATGCAATGTGTGGATGGAGGTTAGGTTCGATGCCCCATGTTTCTTGGTCTGTGGGTCCTACGCGTATATAATCCAGGGTTTGGCTATTAAGACCTGCGAGAATCCACGCTCCCGCAGCATCATCTCGATTTATTCTCCACGTTATTGCCCAGGGTTTGTCACTATAGATAGGTACTTTGTAATGTACATGTACAGTACATAAATAAATACAAAACTTATCACAGACCAACATCAAGTGTCATATCTTCTCTCTGATCTTTAAAATACCTGTTTTCAATTATGGAGTTCGAGCCCATTAAGAGCGGGCAATATTGTGCTTATTAATTATTTAATCTCCAGCGGGTGTCTCGCCAATCCCTTACCGGCGAATTAGTGAAGGCACGCCCGTAGCGTATTAAATATTAGTTATAGCACACCCCGCCCAGCCTCGACGTCAGCCGTTGTTTTTTAGGCTTGCGACGGGCATCAACACAAAAAAAACAACCACATCGCGTCGTCCACACCTAGGCCATCCATTCCCCCTATTTCGATCGTTTTCTCTTCAATTAATCCACCCCTTCACACGCAGTCCTTTTACTCTTTTGCCCTGCATGGAGAATAGTCTGGCGAACCTAGTCTGCAAGGTCAAACTCCGTCCATCACTCGGCCCTGGGAAGGGAAACTACAACCAAATCAACTGAGCGCAACAAAGCCTAAGAAGAAGAAGAAGGGAGAACAGACAAGAAAAAAAAAAAAAAAAAAAGAACGCAAAAGAACAAATCCCGTGGCAATCAATCAATCAATCGAAGAGGGATGGTGCTCCTGGGGCTATCAGGCCGCTACTTCACGCTCGCCGTCATCGCCGCCGTTTTCATCAGCGGCATCCTGTACGCCTCCTTCTACCACATATTCAACGGCTTGTCCTACCAGCCGAAATCCCAGTCCCAGCTCCCGCCATGTCGCCCCGTCATCCCGGCCGCGGGGTCCAATAACAACGGCGGTGCCTGTCCTGGGGACGCACCATGGAAGTTCGAAACGGAGCGTGACGGCGATAACTACGGCTTAAGCAGGGCGCAGTGTCAAAAGGCGTTTCCGAAGCTCTATGTTGAGATTGAGAAGGCGGTTGTGGCGAGGCGGGGGAGGAATATTACTTTTGATGAGCTGAATTCGAAGCCGTTGAAGACTTCGATGGTTAGAGCTATGGTTTATCAGGGAGCGGTGCGTTCGGTGTTCCCCCCAAAACCCAGTCAATCCATATATATATATATATATATGTTGTGTGCTAACATATTCCCCATTTATTCTAGCTCTATGTCATAAATTTCGAAGATATGAGATACACCTTCAGCCGAGCAAAGGCGTCCCTAAACGCCCTCAATCGTGCCATAAGCGCCATCCCAAACCCCAATGAAATACCCAACATTGAATTCATCTTCACAACAGAAGATTTCCACGACGACCCACACCCCGTATGGGTGTATTCCAAACGTGAAGACGACGGCTGGGCCTGGCTCATGCCCGATTTCGGCTACTGGTCCTGGCCCGAGATCAAAGCAGGCCAATACCGCAGCGTCCGCCAACGAATCGCCGCCATCGACGAAGGCACTGTGATAAACGGCAAAGCGCACCCGCCCCTGAAATTCCAGGATAAGAAAAAACAGCTCCTATGGCGCGGCGCCATCGCCACGGCGCCAGAACTCCGCCAGGGCCTCGTCGATGCCACAAAGGGCAAATCCTGGGCCTCCGTGCGCCCTCTCACATGGGCCGACGAGAAGAGCATGCAGGAAAACTTCATCCCGATCGAAGATCATTGCAGATACATGTTTGTCGCTCACGTCGAGGGACGCAGCTACTCCGGCCGGGGCAAGTACCTCCAGAACTGCCGCTCGGTGATGGTCGCGCACCAGCTGAACTGGCGCGAGGCACACCACGGCGCCCTGGTTGCTGCCGGCCCGGACGCCAACTACGTCAAAGTGAAACGCGACTTCTCCGACCTGGAGTCCAAGATGAACTACCTACTGGACAACCCGGATGTGGCGGAGAGGATCGCTGAGAATTCGGTGCGCACGTTCCGGGACCGGTACCTGACGCCGGCGGCGGAGGCGTGTTACTGGCGCGAGCTGATGCATGCGTATGCGTCCATGTGCGACTTCGAGCCGGTGCTGTATACTGATTCGAGCGGGGATCCGAATTCGGCGCGTGGTGTGCCTTTTGAGTCGTTCGTGTTGGATTGGAAGTTACCTGAGTCCTGAGTCAGGATGTTAATGATTTCTTTTCTTTTCTTTTTTTTCCCTTTCTTGCACTATGCATAAAAAGGGCTAGATCTGTTATTTATTTTTTTTTTCTTTTCGTCCTGCTATTTATATCCACACGGCTAGAGATTTCAGGCTTCTGTACATTTTCATCCTGTTAATATCTCATTTTCTTATTTTTTCTTCTTCCTGTTCTGGGACGAGTGCATTTTTTTTTCATATTTATGATGATCTTTTCTAATTGTCCCCGGCGCTGTGGATCAAGGGTGTTTTACTTTTACTCTTTTCTCGATTCTTCAATTGTTTGTATATACGGCGCCTTTTTTTTAATTTTTTTTAATTGTTATTTTTACCTCATGGACAGTGTGTACATGTATGTACATGTACATCACTAGGTTCGTTGAGTGTACCGGATATATTTCTGCTTAACCTTCTCCCTGATGATTCCCCCTGCCCTTCTCACCCCCGGTCCCAAATGTTATTATTGACATGGCATGGCTAGGCCTGGACGATAGATTTTTGTTGGTACATTGCACAGAGACACATACATACATAAAAGAATAGACATTAAACATACTGATTTAACATGCTCCCTTTCCATGATAAGGCCCAACGCTTCCCCCTACCCCCTACCCCCTACCCCCTACCCCCTACCATGCTTCGTATTTCCCCCGAGAAAAGGCGGCGCCTTTCTCCCCCTCATTGACAAGGAAGCAAACGTCGTATCAGGAACTAAACAAGCATCCGCCCCCAAGCCCTGCTAAATATAACGCCGCAATCCTTCGCTCAATCCTAAACATGGAACATGGCACGCAGGGAAGGCAGCAAAGCAAGCACGCAACAAGACTAACTAACCATCGCACGTGTTGACCTTTTCTCTTCTTCTTCTTCTTCTTCTTTTTTCCCCTTCCCCTCGTTTAACAGCGGCTCAGCATATAAACTGAGTAGTTCCGCGGCCAGCGGCCACCTCAACCTGGTCTACCCCTACCTATCTATGTAACCGCTCCCTCTGCTCTAACATACAGCCCGTGTCTCTGGTAGCAAGACGGGGGGGGGTTGCGGAGGAGTGACTCTGGCGAGATGGCGAGGAGGAATCTGATCAAACCACCCATCCTGCTCTTCTTCCCCCCCCCCTCCCCTCCCCCCACTGCACTGTGTAACCTCCTCGCCATCGTGTTAGGTGCTCAGCCCAGCTAGCCCAGCTGCGGCTAATATGTCATGCCGGGGGTGGCTTTTTGTTATGTTTCACTTGTCCAATAGTTCGTTTTTACTTGAGTTTTTTTTAACCGACCCCTCGAGGGAAGGGGAGGGGAAAGTACATGTACGTGTCGTATCTAAGATACTTTGCAATATCCTGTTCAGTTCTATTTTTAAGCACCGTCTACAGGCAGAGGGTGCTTGTTGGGGAATAATCCGTGCAATCAGTTATGTAGCTAGCTTTTGAGAGCGGAGAGAATGGCTTTGGTAACGAAGCTGGGAAGTGAGGGTTCACCGGGGACTTACTGCGTAAAAGACAATTTGCTGCTGTGAGAAACCGGAGGGATTCCATCGGACGGCGTCTTTAACAGGAAGCCTTCTAGAGAAGAACTAAGAAATAATAGTTCGAGGGTAAAACAAACCTTCTAATGAAAGTACTAAATTTCTATCTTCGGCTAATAATGAGCTAACTTACTCTTGACAGGACAGGGAATTGCCAGACTGGGTTCATAGCTAGCTTCCATATATCCCTGGCTGGCGCGAGATTGATAAGGGAGAGGTTTATGTATGTAACTGCGGACTTGCAGAGCCTGAGACGGAAAACACGGATGCTGCTGAACACACGTCATACTGGGCATATTGCCGCTATTTATCATTATTATTATTGGTTTATGTACATGTACCACCAGGCAGGCGAGCTGACTTCGATCTTCAAAAGCTAGGGCCATTGGATGGGTGTTCGTTATTGTTAGGGCTGAGAGCGATTTGGTGACAGGTATGTTAGTAGTAGGAGATTTCTCGCCTTTGAACATATCAAGGTTGAGGTTCTAAAGTAAAATAAAATATGTAGAAAAACGTCACCTTTTGGGTCTAGGCCTTTTGGATGTAAAGATACCTAATAAGAGCTGAAGTCAACAATGTTAAAATGACGAACCTGTACTCCATACATAGCGATCAACCAGGGGCAAAAATGACATGTACATGTACATGTAACTACAGTACATACATGTAATAATGGCCACTTCTACCGAACATCATCCATATCATATGCGGGGAATGGGGTAAACTCTAACAACATCAATATCGTACAACCCATGCGGCTTCAGAGGCAACTCATCAAAAATTGAACTGCAGCCTCTCTCAGGGATACCTGGATCCATCTGATAGCATCTGTTCTTTCGGCTGGGTCATGGCCTATTGGGGCCTTGATCTCTCTCGCACCAGATCTCGAGTTAGAGAAACCGAGATACCCCCCCCAACCCCCGTCATAACACACCACCTGCCCACAGGGAAAGCCACTAAGGTTTGTCTGTCGTCTACAGGCGTTGGCAAGCTCAAGCTCAATAGCCCCGTCGTAAACTATGGAGATAGAAGCCCGGCATGCAGAGTACAGTCCGGGGGTTCATAGCCCGAAGACACGGTGCCAAATGTGGTAGGGATATGTAGCTAGACATGCACATGCACATGTACATGTACATGCATGTACAAGCCGACCTGGTCAATCAGATGCAGCACTATCTAGATTCAGCGAGCTATTGATTCTCCGCTGCTCGCTCGCTTCGCCGGTTCCATGGGTGGGGTGGTTTGTCTGTAGAGGTTGCTTATTGGTCTGAATGTTGATCCCCCACACTGTGGCTGATCAGGCTTTGCAGTTTGCACCGTGCGGAGTCAATAATAATAATAATAATAATAATAATAAATGCGAGCTTGGAACCCTCCCTCCTCATCTTCAAGACAACAAACCGTTCGCCTCTCAAGCCTGCGTCAAACCAGTGTTGGATAAAAAATGAGGGGCTATTTTTTTAGCAACCAAGTCTCCGCGGGACGAGAGAAATATTATTAATATTGCTTAATTTTCGGTTGCCATTTTTCAGGTTATTCATTGGTTGAATAGCACCAGGTCCAAAAAGTCCCTGATTATTATTAAGTTAATTATTAGGAGCAAAGTGCGTGCGGAGAAAAAAAATAAACTCTTGGCGGCGAACCCCCGCATATAAATTTGATGGAAGATTGTCGGAGAATAATCGTCCCTGATTTTGGCTGTTTTCGGTGCAAAAGCATGCGGGCAGGCCAGAGAAGAAAACCACTTACATGGATGTAATCCACGGAGATGAAGTGATCGAGATAACTTTGACGCTCTTCAATTCAGGGTGAGCGGGAATTTTAAGAGATCGTCGGGATGATTCCAGGGCATTGCATGGGCGCTAAATTAATGCGCCGCGCTAAGTAACTAACTAGTTATATCAATCTGTCAGTCATGGCGATTTCGCTAAATATCTCAGCGTGACCGACTGCGACAAGGAAGTGTTGCATCAGAATAATGAATGGCCCATGTGTGAGATATCACTGAGCATTTCTTAATTCGGCTTGTTCTTGTCGTTCTCAATATTCTCTTTCTTGTTAATCCTTCGCCGCAGGAAACATCATGGAAATGGGCGACATCCGGTTCCCAGCGGCAAAAAAACACCGCTGTTCATGATCAAGTTGGGAGCGACTGGCCTGTTGAGATAATATTATTATTTCTAAAAACGATCTCCGCGGGTAGAACGAATGTCCAGCTTCGGTCGAATAAATATATCATCACCGTGCATGTTCCACGGTTAGAAGGATGTTTTGTATGTAAAATGTTTTGCTCGCCAGCCAGCTATTTTCCTTGGATGCAGACAGTAACTATATCGCACAATTCCAGTGTGCTTTCCCCATGGAGTTTCATATCCTCACTTGGATGAACTTCTTTGCTCTCGCTGTCTCACTAACGTTGCACATTCATTATTGCCACGTTGGGCGAATGGCAGAAATGTTTCAAAGAACCGAAGTCTAGTTGGACATGTTATTTGGGGGAAGATGAGCTTGCAGTTCAGCCTCCGTTTCTGTTTCCAGCACTTAATTTTCTTCCATGGCATATTTGTTCTGAAGGTAATCTTTGGATAATCTCGCCGTCTCTGTTTCCGATTCCAAAGGAAATGTCACTGGCCTGAAACACCTATGATCCATATGTTTCCATATCTTAACCATTGGAAAGGAAAGAGTCAGTATACATGGCACTTTTCCAGGTTAATAAACTCTTATGGATGCAGGAAGTGGTATTGACCTTCCTGCTGTTTCATTCCTCTTCTCTCTCTTCCTTTTTCTTTTGTATATGGATAATTGCGCCATGCTATCTAGCTCAGACAGGTGTCAATTTACTATCACGACCTCTGGAGTCATTTAACTCTAGATATATCCCTCCGATTTTATTTTTTTTTCGATATTCTGAAGCAGCCAAAATAGATTTGAACGTGATGTTTCAGCGAAAGCACAGATTGTTTTCGCAAAAAAAAGAAAAAAAAATTCTTCGGCCGCTTCAAAGCCATCCAGGGGAGCTCATCCGCGTGGCTCTGTGGGGTGAAGATCAATCACTAAGATAGTTCCTGTGGGGAAGAATCTTCACAGCTCCACAGAACATCTGCGAGGCCTGGATCTTCGCGCGGCGCGGGACGTCTTGTTTCCTTGCTTCTTGTCATAACTTTTCCCTGTCGTTGTTTGCCCTCTGATATTCAAAATACAAAAGGGGATGGGGATGGGACGATAGTAGAGCCTGCTCTCTCACTGTTTTTTTTTATCAGCTTTATGCTCATTGAATTCAGCAACAAAGTACATCCATGTGCCTATCCTACTCTAGAATTCGACAATTGACGAGGTGTGGTTGAGCAGATCTTGGTTGATCTTTTCTCTCTCATATGGAGAATGCCTTGGGGAGCGAGTCCAGGTCGAGCCACCGCATTAGATGCAGTTGGTACATTCATCGGCATCAATTATAAGCTCAACATGAGACGGGGCATAGCCTCAACTACCACCTCATCCATCTCCACCGCTTCCCAGTCTCTCTGCACGAGTATCTCAAAGCTCGCCATTTGTTGGAGGTTCCAAGCCTAAAAATAAACAAGGGGCGTCCATCCATATATTACGCCATCCCAAATGGGGCTAGTTAGGGTTTACTGGCTGCCATGCCCTAGTCTCCCCGATTCAGACGCTGGCGCCCTTTCCTGGGAAGTTAAATTCAGTATATATATATATATATATTGCGTCGCGATGATCTACAATAATAATAATATCAAAACCTGTCTGTCTTTTCCGTCGTTCAGGACATTGTTTCTGGCGGCCAGAACTACTACTGACAATCACTGACATTATACGATGCGAAACAATCCAGCTGTACAAAAACATTTTAGAGCGTCCTAAACATGGCATCCGGTCTACAGTTGACAGTGAACGAAGGATCATCTGAATTAACAAAGTTAACTGGTGGTAGCTGTCAACCCAACTTACGCAGGATGAAACGGACTGATCCTTCTCTCAGCCGCTCCCGCCACGCAAGTGCGAACATGGATAAAATCAAGAATGCTCTCAGGTGTGTCGATCGCACTGTTCTGGAAGTTTTGATTATTTCCATCCCGTCCCTGGGGTGTGTGGCTGGATAAATAATCCGCCTAGTTATGACAGGTTCACCAGTTCCCCTATATAAGCTATGTTTTGTGTCGAATATCCCCCCCTCGGGATCTTCTTTTGTTTTAAATTTTTTTTTTTTCTCCTTCCTCTTTTTCTTGAATCGATTAGCATTCGTCTGTTAATCAAACAAAAGAAGGAGAATCTTCATCGGTCCATACACGGGAAGACCTATTCTTTCCAAGATGCGTAGCCTTCTTCAATCATTATTGTCCGTTTTATCTCTTGCTTATACCATAAATGCCGTGAACACGACTCTTTTTCAAGGCCGCTTTGCCAAACCTGGCCCGCACCAAGTGATTCCGAAAGACTTCCCGGATCCTGCAATCCTGAAGGTTGGTGCTGACTGGTATGCATTTGGCACCAACGCATACAACAAAAAGGTGCAGGTAGCAAAGTCCAGCGATTTTGAAAAGTGGGCAGTACTCAACACAGACGCCTTGGCTAGCCTTGGTCCGTGGGAAATTCCGCGTGACCAATGGGCTCCGCATGTTATTGTGAGGGTATGTTGATGATTATTCAAAACGATTTCCTTTTCTACGGTGAATCTTTATGATTGTGAATTGGCCGCCCTTCTGTTATTTATGATATTTCTACCAACGACCTTCAAGTAATTTGGCTCGCTGTGAATGAACTAAACAATCTCATTGATACAGGATGATGGAAAACTGGTCCTCTACTACTCTGGAGTCCCCAAAGAATTCCCTCGCCACCACTATGTCGCCGCAGCCATCTCTGAAGGCAAGAATCCCGCGGGGCCCTACCACCCACTTGACGAGCCCTTCGCCCGTCACATAGAAACCGGTGGCTCGATCGACCCAGCTGGCTTTCTCGACAAAGATGGCTCCCGCTGGGTGGTGTATAAAGTCGACGGCAACAGCATTGGTAACGGGGGTGATTGCGGAAACAGCATCCCACCAATCGTCCCGACACCCATCTACCTGCAGAAGGTAGAAGGAGACGGCGTGACAAAAGTCGGCGATCCGACCACGATTCTCGACCGCGATGAGAGCGACGGCCCACTGATTGAGGCGCCCAGCCTGATACGGTCGTCGGAGGGAGTTTATTTCCTCTTCTACTCTTCGCATTGCTGGACGAGTCCTGCGTATGATGTGCGATATGCGACGTCGCGGTCGATCAGGGGGCCGTATGTGAAGGCGGCGAAGCCGCTGATTAAATCGGGTGACTATGGATTGAAGGCTCCTGGGGGAGCTACTGTTGCGGACAATGGAGAAAGGATCCTGTTCCATGCGAACTGCCCAGCAGGCAGGTGTATGTACGCGGCGGACCTCGAAATCAAGGGGAAGACTGCCCGGATAGCATAGTTATTTGCGTAGGAATTGATTAAACTTGCAAAAATGGAAGGCTGCTTGAGCATGACGTCTCTTTTCCCTTTTCACTGTGGAGTTTGTTTCACATGTACATGTACATTCACATTTGACAGGAAATGTATCACTATTTAAAAAGCACTTCAATGTATGGACTTGTTGACTCTCCTATCACTTGGTAGGCGTCTTTTTCGAAGACCATCTCAGGCGAACTCCAATTCAGCGGCAAGTGTGCTTCTACAGGGCTAAGGATGTAAGAGGCCCCTTGCCGAATAGTTCCGATGAAACCGAAACCTTATAGATCGGCGCCCCTGCCTTCGTGATAAGGGAAATGTCGATTCACTCAGCTTCCCTGACAGCCAAATGTATGTAATATACATACATGTACATGTACATATCGGCAATTATGCTCCATTTGTACACAATTTCCTTTTCAGGACACCTGATTTCTGCCTCGCAATTAAACGGCAAGGACGTTGTCCCAGGCGCATTTTCGACTTTTGCCAATTCGAAGACACCCATTGCATGATTTGAACATCTCTTCCCTTGCCAATACAAGTTTTTATGAATCCATGGACTTGGCCGAGCCGGTCAGATGACTCAGCACTGACTCAGCTCCACGTGACCAAAGCCTCACCACCGGCGCCTCCTCGTGTTCCATCAACCAACCTCGCCGTCGCCAACATCATTCAACTCTTTGTCGACGATCTCACAACGTCAATTGCTCCGCCATCCCCTGGACAGATTCTGTGCTCTGTTCGACACCTTGGGGATTGATCTTTCTAGGCTTCTTGTAGGTTGCCGAACCTCTCACCTCTTCTCCCTCGTTCTCCCTTCGCCCTTGTACTGTACTACCCTGCCCTTTGTCTTTCCACCTTAACGGCCGCCTCAACCATCCATTGTCTTGTGCTTGTTCACGTCCTCCCGTTTATTCCTTATTTACATCTTGATCCATCCCTTCCTTGTTCTTTTTCTCCTGCCAAAGCCTCGTCGCCCATCTTGCTCGGTTCCCTTTTCTTCTCATTATCAAATACCTGCCCCTCCGCTCTTGTCTCTCTTCCTGTCCTTTCTGCTTCTCCTCAAGGCGATTCTCGCGCCTCGTGCTCACCAGGAAGCTTATCATTCATATTTATTTCTCTCTTTACTCTTCTTTTATCGCTATCAGTTGGCGACCCAATTCTCTCGTCGCTTTTGGACTCCCTCGTCTCTTCAGCCGCTTTTGAATCCTCGTCTTCTTTAATTCTACATTCCTCGTCCCTCGCCCCTCCGTTTCCTTCAGCTAAATATTTTGAAAACATTACTCTAACCCTCAAAATGTCGACTCATAGCTCCAACTTTCGCCCCTTCGGTCTCCGGGTCTACGAGGTTCGTCCCCCGGTGTATAACTTTACGAGGCCTAGTTTTATGCGCCATCGCCCACCATACTCCCCACGATAGAATTCCTTAACCCTTAATACCAGTTCGGAGCCAGCAACTTCCATACTAAGCCAGTGTTGCATGACAACGCTTGGTAGAAGTGTACGTGTCTGCGTTCCTGATGGAGTCATACGATTCTTTCGGCTCCCCCACGGCCACCTCGGCTAAAGGTGATGCGAGGTGGAGCCGCGAAGAGGACGCTTTTGCTTCTTCAAGGCCAGCCATGGATTCATATCGACGAAGGTCGCCTGGTGAGTATAAATTTTCTAATATTAACTCGGATTTATGCTTTCTGTGCTGTGTCTCCTGTCGACCTTCGCCAAAATTATTAACAGCTCCCAGCCTCCCAAGACCGTCGTCGAGCCGCTGGACGTGGCCGATCTCGATCTCCTGTCGCAATTGATCGGTATCAACCTGGCGATCGAGAACGTGCGCCTCGTGGCGATGAATATTATGCCGCGTCTCGTGACCTTGCAGCCCGTGATCGAGAAGAGCGCCGTCGTTTACCATCCCCTGTAGCGGCAAACATTGACCGATATGTTCCAGGGCAAGATTCTGCGAAGCCCGTTTTACGAACCAACCCTCTGCCCAACCCGTTAACCCTCGACTTCCAAGTAGGGTTCAACTGGTTCGCAGAATGGTGGAGGGCAGACCAGGCAATAAAAGAAGAAAAAGAGCGGGCTAAACTCGGTGGAAGACGACCCACTGATCGAGTCAAGGGTGAACGAGAGGCCCGGGAAGACCGCGAAAAGGAACGCGCACAGATCCAAACGGCTTATGACGCCTACAAGGCTGAACTGCAAATCAAGATGGCTCGAAATTTTGTCCAACAACACAAAACGGAGGAGTGGTTCAAGGAAAGATATGTTCCCGAAACTAGGGACCCTCTTCGCCAGCGATTGATGGAGTTCAGAACTGGTGCGTATCGACAGTGGGAACAAGATGTCGACGCTGGAGTATTTGACGAGTTTACCCTGGAAGGTATCTACAAAAGTGAAAGCGACGGAGCAGGTGGTATCATTGAAAAGGAGGAAGGAGAAGCGACGGCCGTGGGAGAAACCCTAAGTGTGCTCGATCTGGTTCCCGCACGCGGAGGAGATTTACGCGACGATTCGCAATTTCAACCTGCTCTTTTGATCAAAACTTTAGCGCCCAATGTAAGCCGTGACAAAATTGAAGATTTCTGCAAAGAACACCTTGGTGAAGGAGATGGCGGGTTCAAGTGGCTTAGCTTGAGTGACCCTAACCCTGCCAAAAAGTGTCACCGGATGGGTTGGATTATGCTTCATCCAGCAGCTGAAGGTCCATCGGTTATCGAGAGAGGCGATGGTAGGGATGAAGAAGGTGAGGAAGTGGATGGCAGTGCGGCAAATGGATCCAACAACACGTCTGCTGCTGAAAAGGCTCTGGATGCGGTTAACGAAAAAACCATCCATGATCCTATTCGCGGCGACTTTGTATGTCACGTTGGCGTCCACGTTCCCCCGACGAATCCGAGAAAAAAAGCACTTTGGGATCTGTTCTCCGCCCCTGAACGTATCGAGAGGGATCTCGAGCTGGCTAAACGGATGGTATCTAAACTTGATTCAGAGCTTGGGTCAGCTGACGGCCTATCGAAGATTGAGAGTCGAGTCGAAGAACTACGTGGAAAAGGGTTACTCCGCCCTCCTGTTACCGGCACCGCAAAGGAAAAGAAAAGCAAGCCGTTCGAGTCAGACGTTGACATGATCCTCTTGGAAGATGGGGAGGCCGAGGAAGGAGAAGAACAAGAAGAGTCCTACGATGAGGAAGTCGATAGTGAAGACCTGCTCATTAAAAAGAAGCAGCTGGATTTGCTAGTTGAATATCTGCGTCGCGTTTATAACTTCTGCTTTTTCTGCGTTTTTGAGAGCGATTCGATTCACGAGCTTGTTCGTAAATGCCCTGGTGGCCATCTTCGCCGCCCTCGCTCCGGACTGAGTACCCAAGCAAAAGCCGCGGCAAAGGCCAGCGCTCTCGGTCAGCCGTTCCCTACGAAGAAAAAAGAAACTACCGAAGAAGAACAGAACGGAGCGTCTCCAGTAGAAGAGAAAAAACCATCACACTTTTCATCGAAGACTGAACAGCAGACTCAGCGTGCTTTCAACTGGGTGCGGACGTTTGAGGAAAAGCTCCTACAGATATTGGAGCCCGAGAATGTGGACTTGAAAAAACTTGGAGGAAAACCCGTGGATGAGGCAGTGGAAGAAGAGCTCTCGAAATTTGTCAAGCAAGAAGATGAAGCTAAATTCCGCTGCAAGGTACCAGAGTGTACCAAATTATTTAAGGCCCACCACTTCTGGAGAAAGCATGTGGAAAAACGCCACCCGGATTGGTATGGCGATATCCGCAGAGATGTAAGTTTGAAGCACAGGACAATTCCTTTGCTCATTTGTCTTATCATACTAATTTCGCATCTTAGCTACTCCTGGTCAATGCCTATGTCCTCGACCCAGCGCATATCTCCCCATCAAGATCCGATGCTACCAGCAACGGCCATTTCACATACCCATCCGGCCATATGGCCACCGGAACACCTCGTGGATTCAATCTTGCAAACATGCCATTTGGTTTCGGAGCAGGGAATGGCCCAATGCCTGGCGGACATCCTTTCTCGGGCCTACCGCCATCCGCAGCAGGATTTACCGGTTTCATGAATGCAGCCGGCCCAGGCTGGACTGGCAATGGACTCCCAATGACAGGCACTGCATCTGGAGACCCATCAGGTTTGCATAACCCAGGAGTTATTCGACGGGGTAACCGCTACGGCGTCAATAGAATGGGCCCATATGACCGGCGGGGCGGTCGTTTCGGTTCGGGAGGCGCAGGCGGAAGTATGGGCGGCAACGGTCGACTCAGCCCCCTTCGAATGGGCGGCATGTCTGCGGCTGGTGGTCGCCTACCTTCAGCCTCCGGGGCGGCGTACATCCCACCCGGCCACCCAGCCGCAATCGCCGCTGGAGTTGGTGGTGGGTTTGGTCCCGGGAGCGGTCGGTGGGGTGATGGCGCAGGCGGGAGCGCACAAGCCATGGGTCCAAAAGAAGCAGTACAAGGCCGTAGCTTGAAGAGTTACGAGGATCTCGACGCAGTTGGGGGAGCTGGAAGCGGGGAGTTGAATTATTGATTTCTTGCGTTTTTTCTTTGTTTCTTTCTTCCCCGTTTTCCCGTTCAAATTATTTTCCCTTTTCTAATTTTTTCGTTTGGGCTTTTTGCCAAATTTGCCTGAAAGGAGTGTGCTAGCTAGCTCTACCTTTTTTTGGTCGCGTCTTTTATCGCTTCTTTTATCGCTTCTTTTCTTTTTCCCAAATCAAATCAGGAAGAAATGTGTGTATCTATATCTATAAATCTTCTAACGTCATTTTATTTTTCTCATCCCTTTGCCTCTTCTCATGAATTATCATATCAATGTTGCCCAAAAAGGAATGGATGGACGGATAGTTGTGGGTGGATGTGGAATCAAGCCAGCTTATACCCATGCTTCCCTTCCCTCATAGATACCTTCAGTCGACAGAGAACATGGAGTATATTTATTTAGGCACAGCCCACAGCTATAAGATCCTTAAATTGAACATTGAACATTTCAGAGCCGTCAATCTCGGGAAGGCTCTAACATCCCGAGCAGAAAAAGTCGCTTTCATCAGACTCTGAGAGCCTGAGAAAAGGCCTAAAAATCTCTCTATTTATTTATAGAAAAACCAACTTTTCCATGCAAAAAACATGTAGTGGCGCCTGCTCAGTTGGCTTCCTAGCAATTACTCCATCTATATGGTCTCTCATATCTCTCTCTATTTATTATAGAAAAACCAACTTTTCTGAGCAAAATGAATATTTGAATGCTCTGACTCATACAGCTCAGATCAATCTTCAAATCTTTATTCTTTTTTTTCATTCTGCTCTTCTCATACATTCTCTACAGTATTTACATTTCTTATACTTTTCTCTATATTCATTTTTGATCTCTGTGTTCATGGTCTACACTGCTAAATGCTCTGTAATATGATCTCGTGTGATGTCATGTGCATCTCTTTGAATTCATGGATGGGATTGAACAGCCAGCTCTGCGGCCTGTATGACTCTGATTAATCTGATAATGGTGATAGGGGTGATACAGGGTAGAAGGGGGTGGTAGGGGTAGAGGGTGATAGGGGTAGTAGAGGTGGTAGTGGTGGTAGAGGGGGTAGGGGTGATATGGGGGTAGAGAGTGGAAGGGGTGGTAGGGGTGGTAAGGGGGGCGTAGGGGTAGAGAGTGGAAGTGGTAGGGGGGGCTGCGGGGCGGTAGAGGCGGTGGTGGTAGAGGGGGCAGCGCAAGCAGCAAAGCGAGCGTAAGCGAGCGTTTGATGCTTGTTAAAGTATAAAGAATATCGTCATAATAATTGGTAAGAAACGCCAATCAATCCATAAAAATTACCGGCTCCTCCGCTCCATCCCTCCACTGAACACCCGGTACTTTTCGCACGCTTCTATCACTAGCAAGATACATTAATAAGTAAATATGCGGCGCGACTTCGCCCCATGTGTATATTTTAACCGTGACATGTTTCGCGTTAGCAGCTCCTCCCGGGCCTCCCCTGCCCTCTTGTCGATCAGACTGGTTTCCAGTTTCCGCAGAACATTGGATGTGGTCTGGAGACGTGAGGTCGATTACAGAGTGTGAAAGGGAGGAGGAGGCAGAGCACGTCGAGCAGGAGGGAGGAGGGTGGGGGTGTGGTTCGCAAATGCACCAGACGCCCCAGCCGGCGCGGCCATCGTCGGCGATGAATTTTGAAAGGAAGTCCCAGAAATCGAAGAAGTGTTTACTGGTCCAGGGCTTGCTGGTGGGTGTGGCAATGCTGTGCGGAGCCCAGGGGGGCGCATTTATATTGTACTTATTATTCCCGTTGGTATTGGTGATGGAGTCGGAGATGGTGAGGTTCAGAAGCCAGTAACCGCGCTCCAGGGTCCGTAAGGGACGCGTCTGTCGCGACGGGTTATAAACCCTGGACAGTTTGAGCTTGCTGGTGAGCATTTGGAGGGTGGGCGTGATGTGGGTTGTAAATTGAGCGGTGGAAGAAGGCACGGGTCGCGGTGGGTTGATCTCAAGAGGCAAGGACGAGAGTCTCTCGAAGGTTGCGGACGGTGCCGTTGCTACTGGGTTATCTAACGCCTGGTAACGCTCCGGCTGTGGCTGTGATTGCGGATGTGATGGTAAAGTATTTGGAAGCTCAGATGCGGATGATGCAGGAGTAGCTGAAGAAAGAGGAATGGAAGACGGTATGCATTCTGGAGAAGCCGAGATTCGGCGTCGTTTTGCCTGAGATCTCTGGGCCTCTAATGGTGTTCTTCCTATTTGAATAACCTGTCCTGAATGTCTCGGCGGGCTATTGTCCCTTTCAACATCCCAGCTGGCTTGAAAGGAGGCCTGGGAATCGGGAACTTCGCTGGGCGGCGTCTCGGTAAACGAAGAGTTCGGAATGGCTGATTGTAGGCTTCGGCCGCCGCTGATAGCAGGGACCTCAGGAGAATTAATACTTGTAGTCACAAAGGAATTCTCATTCACATTCTCTGTATCACTCTGCGAAAAAGATCTTCGAATCGAGATCTCCGGAAAGTCCAACAGCCCACATGTCGTTTCCCCGAAGCTTGGGCCCCATGCCGATGACAAAGATGTACTCTTCCCTGAAGATAGAATATTAGGGATATTTTGTGATCCGCTTTGGCCTCGTTCCTCTAGCTCTGCGAGGTGAAGGGCATCATCGCCTTCGGCCTGCGGGGTTGTCTGGTGTGGAGCATCAACGATTTCGTCCGTACCAGTTTCGCTGCTCGGAGACTCAGGATAAATCCTAACCCTTGACACCGGCTCGAAGTCAAAATATGCATCTGCATGAGCCCGGTAGTTTGCATCCTCGTTTATAGTACCGGGAGCCGAGATGTGGACGAGTATTTCAGTGCTGTTGGGCATCGGAGCAAATCATCAGGGAACGGGATGGAAGCCCAAAACTATCATCGTCATGGTAAGATGCGCTCCGGGATATTATTACTTGACTTTTCTATTTCTTCCATCAATATGTTGATACTCGCCAGCGCTTTCTGGGCGAGATTATAAACCGCGGTCAAAAAGTTGTGGTTGGAAGCTGAATCGCGGGGTGAGGTTCAAAGTTGCCTCTTTGGGACCATCCATGTCCTAAATATTATTATATTTAAACCTTTAAATATTTATTTAGTTCTGGAAAACTCAACTCTGCACAACCAAGCCGGAATGTTGTCTCGCCATCCAACAACAAATGAAATGTACATGTACCATTTAAGTAGCCTACAAAACGCTGGATTGATGTTGGTTTAAGATAGAGATAGGCCACCACTCAAGATATCTGTTATGTCTTGCATTTAACTTACAGCTAAAATCCATACACGATGCAGAGAGAAACTCATGTCAGACGCTCCAAATTGATTGAAATGCAATTCTTGCTCCCAAATTCATTTCCCTACTCGGTTCACTCTCTCCCCATCGCCTTCTCAATCGCCTCAAGCCCAGCGATAACCTTCTCATCACAGAATTTTCTACCCACAAGCTGCAAGCTCACCGGAGCTCCCTCATATCTCTCTGGCCCCGTATAAAGATCATAATTATATCGATCCTTGTCGTTGCGGGGCTGATAAGTCTCGTCGCGCGTGTCTACCGCCGGATCTACTGTGGTAACAGGGAAAACAGCACCGGGGTAATCGAGCAAATTCCACTGTGCCGTGTAGCCCCAATATCGGGCGGTTTCGTGAGGCGGAGCGCATCCAGGGCCGACAGGGCTTAGAATCAGGTCAACTTCACCGGTAGGCATGGTTGCTGTTGCTGACCAGTGTTTGGCGTATGCTTCGCGGTAATTGTCGCGCTCAAGGCACAGCTGAGAGAATTTCTGTCAGCTCCACTAGCTACGGTTTACCAAGGCGAAGGGCATATGTTGTTACATAAATACCTTCCAAAATTCTGCAATGGTATGTGGCTTCACGGTTGGCTGCTCGTGAATAATGAATTTGGTTAATGGTAGGATTGGTTCACCGGATGCATTTATGGAACTAAGGACATCTTCACCTCCGTCCGTAAAGTACAGAGCGGAAATGATATCCCATGCTTTGGAGTGGTTCAGCGGCACCCAGTCGACAACTTCCATGCCAGCATTCCGGCATGCATTGGCAACTTCTCTGAGCGCACGGAGAATAGGAGGATGCGGTTTAACAACACCATCGTCCCATTCGATGGCGATTTTCAGCGGCTTCGCTAAGGTGACTGGGGCCCATGGAATCGGTGTCAATGACGGGTCCATACGCCAGGGTTGGCCATCCAATGCGACCTTCATGAACAGATTGATCGCTTCCCGACTGCTACAGAGCGGGCCATAAGTGGCAAGGATAGCGTCAGAGCCAACCATTCCAGTCTTCTTTCCCTTTGCAGAGATGCGTGTGCAGGTCGGTTTAAATCCGTATACGCCGTTGTTGCTCGCGGGACAGCGGATGCTGCCTCCAATATCTCCACCCACACCCTTTGGAAGTTTAGTATTTTATTGTCTTGAGTGCTTTAAACAAACAGTTTTTATACAGATCAAGAAAAACTTTGGTGTTGATGTAGCTCACCAAAACACTACCCCGCATTGCAACCAAAGCTCCTTCACCACCGCTGCTACCTCCTGAGGTGAGGTTACGGTTGTGGGGATTGACAGTCCTGCCGTATATATTGCTTGTGCATTCCAGATGCATGAGAAGCTGGGGGCCAGTGGTGCGAACATAGAAGACACAACCGGCATGATATAGCGTATCATTCAGAAACCCTTCTTCTGAGGGATGATCGATCCAACCGACGCTGGACGCGTTGCATTTCTTACCTTTCATGCCATGATGCTCTTTGATGGAGATAGGTAGTCCATGTAGAGGTCCTATGGGGTTCGGGAGCGAATCGAGATATTTTGCTCGTTCAACGGCCTCGTCCCACATAAGTTCCGTAACACAGTTTACCTGGTTTAAAAACAGGTTTGATCAGCAAAAGTCGACAACTTCATACATACAAATGCGTAGTTACATCATAGCGGGAGAAGGAGAATGAATGAATGTCGGGAGCACGCACTGCATGTTGAGCAATCGCAGCTCTACGGAGGAATGCTCTGATTAACTCTTCAGAGGTAACCTCCTTGGCGCGCAGCATGCGGAGAAGAGCAATGGTATCGTAATTCTGAGTAAGTTCATATTCACGAGCAGTGAGGAGCTGCTTGGGCAGATCTATTGAGTTCAGCGGCAGCGGATCAGGCAACGGGGTGAGCGGAGGGTCGACTTTGGCGAGAGTCGCATCGCGGTAATCGCGAACGGTCTGGGCCTTTTCCTCCCAAGGTTCGATCATCATTGTTGGAGTAGAAGTTTGATACTAAAAATTAAGTCTATGGAAATAAATAAACACTTCCGATAATTTTAATTTATTGTCAAGAGGGCTTTTGAGTGAGTGAATCTTAATTCGAGTGGAAGGGATGAATGGCTTTACATAGGTAAATTAACTGTCCACGGCACCCGTTTTAACCCCTTCCTTCCCCTCATCCTCATGATCAGGAGTTTCAGTCTGTGTCTCCTCTCCCCAGTCGTCCGCCGTTGATAGGGCTGCTTGGTTCTCTGTACGCCTGTAGCTTATACCCCTCATTTGCTGACTGAGAATTCGGCCGCAGAGGGGCATTGCCAAACTCCATCTGCGGTCTATGGATCTCAGATTCGGGACCCAGCTCGGCCCATCGTATCGACATGTTGGTTGCTTCGGCACCTTGAGCATTTGTATGTCGGCACGGGGAATAAGTCTCA